TATCGTCCTGAGTGACTGGTGGGAACCCGCTGGCGTGTTCATGTCTGGCATACTCACGCCCGCCCAATCCAAGGTACGGCACGTACAGCGTTGACCTCGCCATCAATGCCGGGCTCGACCTCGAGATGCCCGGCCCGTCGCGCTGGCGCACGCCTGTCCTCGTCACACATATGCTCTCCTCGCAGAAAACGTCTGACGCAGCGCTAGACGCATGCGTCGAGCGCATGCTCACGTTCGTCCAGCGCCAGGCGCGGCGAAACCCTGAAGTAGTGTACGGCGACGGGGAAGAACGAACGTTGGACACGTCCGAGCGGCGCAGGTTCTGCAGGAGGCTCGGCGCGGAGGGGATGGTGGTGCTGAAGAACGAGGGAGGGGTTTTGCCCGTTAAGGGAGGGGAAAGGAGGAAGGTGAAGGTGGCGCTGATTGGCCCGAACATGAAGGAGAGGGTGATCAGCGGAGGAGGAAGTGCGGCGTTGAAGCCGAGCTACGTCGTCACGCCGTACGACGGGCTGATAGCGAACGCGCCGGAAGGTGTCGAGTTTGAGTACGAAGTCGGGACTTACGGTACATGTTCCCAACCCATCCGCTACAGAGTTGTTCAACTGACGCGACGGGCGAAGCATTTAAGTATCGGCCGACGCTGGAGAACTACTTGAAGACCGCGTCGGGCGAACGCGGCTGGACGTGCACATTCTTCAAGCACGACGCTCACGGGAACCCGACTGGGGCTCCCGTCGCGGAGTTCGTGCTTAGCGACACACGGATCCGACTAAACGACTTCCTTCCCGCGGGTCTGACACCGACATGGTCGATCAAACTGAAGGGACTACTCACGATGGAACAGACGACGACGTATGAGCTGGGTCTGACGGTTGCTGGGAGAGGGAAATTGTATGTAGATGGACAGTTGACGGTAGATAACTGGACGAAGCAGAGACCGGGGGAGTTTTTCTATGGGTAGGTCTCCCCTCGTGACTATTGACGCGTCATTGAGGTGTTCCAAAGACAGGGAACAGTGGAGGAGATCGGCGAGGTGGACTTCGTGGCTGGAAAGCCGGTCGAGATCATGGTCGAGTACACGAACACTCGCCCGCCAGAAGGTCCAGAGTCTGACAGGTCGCAGCCTGCACTGATGCGCGGTTTGGTATGTCAGACACTCTACAGCGATCCATCTGTCAGACCTGACGAACATGCACTAGCGACTGGGAGGATGCGAAAAGATCGACTCGGACGAGGCGATGACAAGAGCCGAAAAGCTGGCTGCGAAGTCAGACGTCGTTGTGCTCGTTGCCGGGTTGTCTCCGGACTGGGAAAGCGAAGGCTTCGACAGGCCGACGCTGGATATGCCGAAGCGGACCAATGAGTTGATCACGCGTGTGGGCAAGGCGAATCCGAACACGATCGTGTGCTTGCAGGCGGTAAGTGCGCTCGACAAGTGTCGCAACTTGCGCTGTAACCGCTTTGCAGGGCTCGGCGGTATCGATGCCCTGGGTACACGATGTGAATGGCATTATACAGGCGTGGTACTCGGGCAACGAAGTCGGCAACGCTCTCGCGGATGTCGTCTATGGGTATATCAACCCGAGCGGCCGCCTCTCACTCACGCTGCCGGTGAGCGAGCGGGACGTACCGGCGTATCTAAACATGCGAAGCGAGAATGGCAAGATACAATATCGCGAGGACATATTCGTAGGGTACAAGTACTACCAGGTAAAGGGCGTTGAACCCTTGTTCCCCTTTGGGTGAGTGTTCGGTGCGATGATTATCTGTGCAGAACTGTGCTCATGACGGCTGCAGGCATGGGCTGTCATACACGACGTTCAGCTTCTCCAATCTGTCCCTCTCCGGGCCATATACGCATGATGCGGCGTTCAGTCTCGGGGTCTCGGTGACGGTAACGAACGACGGCCCTATTATCGGGTCCGAGGTCGTGCAGATATACATATCGCTGCCGGAGATTCATCTCACAACTCCGAAGCTGCAGCTGCGCGGATTCGCAAAGGCGCGCGATGTCGCGCCTAAGAGCTCGAAGACGGTGAGCATCTCGCTGGACAAGTACGCAGTATCGTTCTGGGACGATGTCGCGGGAGCGTGGAGGGCGGTGCCAGGGACGTACAGAGTTTATGCTGGGAAGAGCAGCGCGGAGATGGTGCTGCAGGAAACGTTTGTGTTGAACAAGGGATTTGTTTGGAACGGACTGTAATATCATGAATGCAATCATATGAGCTGTGCCTTGGCTTGGATCTGAGATGGGAACGAGCGGCGCTAGTGCAGGGCACGTGAGGGCAGGTACGCGGGGTGTTGCAGCGGGTGCTGCCAGTGGCGGTGACAACGACCTTTGCACTCCTCCTGGCCCCATGGCCGAAAACATCTACAGCAAGGGGACCAGAGTCTGGTTCGCGGACAAGGACCAGGGATGGATATCTGCAGAGGTCTCGTCCGTCACCAGGAATCCCGACGACTCTATCAAGCTCTTCTTCGTTGACGAGCGCGGCAAGGTCTGCCTGCCCTTCTCTTCGCCCCCGCCCCAGCGCTGACCGACGCGTACCCAGGAAATCACGATAGATACCTCGGTGCAGGACATCAAGGATGGAAAAGAGGGTTTGCCTCCATTACGCAACCCGCCGCTGCTGGAGACCGCGGATGACTTGGCTACGCTCTCGCATCTCAACGAGCCCTCCGGTATGTCTGTGCTAGCATCGCTCACGGATTAACTCTCATACCACCGCCAGTTCTGCACACCATCCGCAACCGATATGCCCAACATAGCATCTACACGTACTCCGGCATTGTTCTCATCGCCATGAACCCCTTTCAACGCGTCACGCTGTATGGACCCGAGATCATGCAAGCGTATAACGGGCGCCGGCGCGGAGAGCTGGAGCCACATTTGTTTGCGATTGCGGAGGACGCTTATACGGCAATGGCGAAGGATAGTATGGGGCAGACGATCATCGTCTCCGGAGAGAGGTGAGTTCCAACGTTTCTTGCATGCTGCGTGTGCTAACTCGGTCGCAGTGGTGCCGGGAAGACAGAGTCTGTAAGTCGTGCTGCGTGGGGTCAACCGAACTCATCCTGACTGTGTCGCTCAGGCCAAGTATATCATGCGGTATCTAGCCTCTGTGGATCCTCCGAACTTCAAGGGCAAGGGAAAGACAAAGATATCCATGGACGAGTCGAGTGAAGTCGAGCGTCAGATCTTGGCCACCAATCCTGTCTTAGAAGCGTTCGGTAACGCGAAAACGACGCGAAATGACAACTCGTCTCGATTCGGGAAGTATATCCAGGTGCGTGGGTCAGTACTACGCGCAACTGCCTTCCTCTCACACCGTTTCGAAGATTCTCTTTGACGGCGAACAAGAGATTGTCGGAGCGCGGATACGGACATACCTTTTGGAGCGTTCGCGAGTGGTGTTTCAGCCCCTCACCGAGCGCAACTACCACATCTTCTACCAACTGTGTGCCGGTGTTCCGACGAAGGAGAGAAAGGACCTTGGTCTCGATGCGGACGTCTCCAAGTTCCAGTACCTCAGCCAGGGAGGCCCTCAGTCTAGCCCTATACCCGGTGTCGACGACGCGGAGGAGTTCCGACAAACGCAGACGGCACTGTCGACTATTGGCATCAGTATCGACAAGCAGTGGGCCGTGTTCAAGCTCTTGGCTGCTCTTCTCCATCTCGGCAACATCAAGGTCACACAGACACGGTCGGACGCCGTCATTGACGATGCGGATCCCGCGCTGCAACTCGCCACACGCTTCTTGGGTGTCCCCATCGCAGAGTTCAAGAAGTGGACCATCAAAAAGCAGATCACTACGCGGTCAGAGAAGATTGTCAGCGCGCTCAATGCCTCACAAGCAACCGGAGTGAAAGATAGCGTGGCGAAGTTCGTCTATGCCTGCCTCTTCGAATGGCTCGTCGCTATCGTCAACGAGAGTTTAGCGGGGGAGAACGGCGAGGCAGCCAACCGCGCGGAGATGTTCATCGGTGTGCTGGATATCTACGGGTTCGAGCATTTCAAGAAGGCAAGTACATTCCATTGTCACTTGTCATGTCATACTGACGAGTCTGCGCAGAACTCGTTCGAGCAGTTCAGCATCAACTACGCAAACGAGAAGTTGCAGCAACAGGTACGTTGGGCCCCGATGTCAGTTCGATGCATGCGGTGATGCTCACCGGATGGCCTAGTTCAATGCTCACGTCTTCAAGCTCGAACAAGAGGAGTATGTCCGAGAGAAGATCAACTGGACGTTCATTCAGTTCTCAGACAACCAACCTTGCATCGATGTCATTGAGGGGAAGCTGGGCGTCATGGCGTTGCTCGACGAGGAATCTCGATTGCCATCCGGTACCGATGCGTCGTTCTTGCAGAAGCTACACAACCAACTACTCAAGCCGGAGAACGCAAAGGTCTTCAAGAAGCCGCGGTTTGGCAATTCCGCCTTTACGATCGCTCATTATGCTCTCGACGTCACCTACGAAGCCGAAGGGTTCCTGGAGAAGAACCGTGATACAGTGCCCGACGAACACATGTCTCTCCTAACGTCGACCAAGAATGCCTTCCTAAAGGAGGTCCTCGACGCTGCCTTTGCTGCTACCAAGGGCCCCGACTCCGCACCGCCCGCTTCGCCAACGCCATCTGACTCTCCCAGTGGCGGTTCACGACGCTCCTCTGTCATTCCCGATCCGGGGCGTCAGTCTCTTATGTCTTCTGCTGTCTCGTCTGCGTCGGGTGCCAAGCGGCCAGGAGCCGTCGCCAGGAAGCCTACACAAGCATCAATCTTCAAGGCTTCGCTCATCAGCCTGATGGAGACACTCAGTCAGACGAACGTGCATTACATCCGATGCATCAAGCCCAACGAAGTGAAGAAGGCTTGGGAGTTCACGCCCCAGCAAGTTCTCGGCCAGCTCAGGGCGTGTGGTGTCTTGGAGACTATTCGTATCAGTTGTGCAGGGTATCCTTCACGCTGGACGTACGAGGAGTTTGTCGAGCGGTATGTCATACATGCGGTGCAGAAGTATACGTCGATGCTGATAGCATCATAGATACTACATGCTGGCAAACTCGTCTGAATGGGGGCCGATGATTCAAAACCTGGAGCTGAAGGCTCTCTGCAATCTCGTCCTTGATCGCACACTGAACGATCCGGACAAGTACCAGACTGGCCTAACCAAGATCTTCTTCCGTGCCGGTATCCTCGCGGCTCTAGAATCCCTGAGAAGCGAGAAGCTGAACTCGCTGGCCACTGTCATCCAGAAGAACATGCGGAGGAGGGTAGCCGTCAAGAAGTATGAACAGCTGCGCCGAGCAACGATCAAGATTCAGACCTGGTGGCGCGGCATTATTGCCCGTCGATTCGTCGAGGGCGTTCGTCGCGAGGTTGCGGCCATTCGCCTACAGGCTGCTGCGCGAAGATTCGTCCAGAGGCGCAGCTTCCTACAAGTCCGGAATTCGATTGTTCGATTGCAGAGCCGTAGGTCTTCAGTGTCCTCTGTGCAGTGATCGTTGCTGACACAGCATAGGGGCTCGCGGTGCTCAGACTCGGCGACTGTTCGCCAACTCCCGACGCACTCATGCGGTTGTTTTGCTGCAAAGTCTCTCGCGTGGAATGTGCGTTGCCATGCTTCGGTGACTGTGGGCGACTTGCTAATTCACATCATAGCCTTGTGCGACGAGCCCATCGTGTCGACGTCGCCAGGGTTGTGCTCATACAGTCTTGCATCCGTCGTCGTTTGGCTCGCAAGGAGCTCAAGGCCCTCCGTCAAGAGGCGCGATCAGTCTCGAAGTTCAAAGAGATCTCCTACCGACTGGAGAACAAGGTCGTGGAACTAACGCAGACGCTGCAAAAGCGCACAGAGGAGAAGAAGGAGCTTCAGGCGAAAGTCACGCAACTAGAGCAGCAGCTACAGCTCATGACGTCTCGGCACGAGGAGTCGGACTCGCGAATGAAGCAATTCCAGTCTGACTTGCAGTCAGCACAACAGGGAATCAGTCGCCGCGACGAGTTGTTGCTCGCGAAGGAGGATGTGGAGCGGCGTTTGGAGGAAGCGTTGACAAAGGCTGCTGAGAAGGAAGACGCGATACAGAAGCTGACAGAGGACCTGGCGCGACACGCCACTCAGTTGGAGAGCCAGCAAAGAGCCATCGACAGTGTCCCCCCTCGAAACGATGACGACAGCTCCATCATTCTCACACTCAAGAGTGAAGTCAGCAACCTACGGGAGCAGCTGAACCGTGCAAACGCCCTCAACGTCCTCACGAGAGGCCCGAGAGCCGAACCTTCGTCTCCTACTTTTGCCACAGGATTGCGTTTGGGAGAAGTTCCTAACGGCACGGTGAACGGGAATGGTACCGCTATGCCTCCTGGCGCTCGTGCACACCAACGGCGGCATAGTTCAGCAGGTGTCTACGCAATCAACCCCATTGATAACCGGACATCTGCAGATGAGCTCATGATCATGGCGAAGCGTAGCCAGGCGAACAACCCTCGCGCAGTATCTGTGGCGTACAACGGTGAAGACGGACTCCCTCGCTTCCGGGCTCCGAATGGCCTGTCGGACATCTACGATCCCGCGGAGGAGAAGATCAGGCTCATGCAGGAGATCAAGCGCCTCGACGAAGACGTCCTCGACGGCCTTATCCGTGGCCTCAAGATTCCGGCTCCGAGCACGGCGAACCCCTCTGCAGTGAAGGAGATCCTATTTCCGGCCAACCTCATCAGCCTCATCACCAACGAGATGTGGAAATACGGTCTTATCCCGGAGAGCGAACGATTTTGGCCAATGTCATGCAAACTATCCAGTCGCATGTCATGGTGAGTGATATCTCTCACATCCACTGCAGTGGCGCTCATCATTGGCACAGTCATTCTCGGGAGAGGACGCGATCATCCCCGGTATCTTTTGGTTATCCAATGTTCACGAGATGCTGTCCTTCATTTGCGTTGCGGAGAGCGATATGTTGCAAGGGATTGGGCCGGCGAGGAGAACGCCGTTCGTCCATTCGAGTGGTCGGATTATGAGCGGCTCGTCTCTGTCGTCAAGCACGATCTCGATAGCCTCGAGTACAACATCTATCACACATGGATGCTGGAGACGAAGAAGAGACTGTCCAAGATGGTCATACCTGCGCTGATAGAGAGCCAATCTCTTCCGGGCTTCACGACCACTGACGGCGGTGGCCGGTTATTCAACCGCTTGCTCAATTCAAATGCTCAGCCGGCGTACAGCATGGACGACATCTTGAATCTTCTGAACAAAGTGTGGAAGAGTTTGAAGAGCTACTACATGGAAGACTCTGTCGTCCAGCAGGTCGTAACAGAGCTCCTCAAGTTGATTGGGGTAACCAGTTTCAACGACCTTCTCATGCGCCGTAACTTCTCGTCGTGGAAACGAGGTGCGTCATTGTTTTGAGGTCGTCTTCATGCCGCTGAAGTGTGCGTACTGCAGCGATGCAGATTCAGTACAATATAACGAGAATCGAGGAATGGTGCAAGTCGCATGACATGCCGGAAGGCACTCTCCAATTGGAGCACCTTATGCAGGCTACGAAGTTGCTCCAACTCAAGAAGGTGCGTATGCCTATGACTCCGGCATCGTAGTCTTGTAAGCTCACATCCTTGCAGTCGACGCCCGCTGACATTGAGATAATATACGATGTCTGCTGGATGCTGACGCCGACGCAAATTCAGCGGATGTGCACCAACTATTACGTCGCTGATTATGAGGCGAGTGGCTTGTGGATTCGTGTATTCCGTTATTGACCACAGCTTAGAACCCCATCTCCCCCGAGATCCTTCGCGTAGTCGCGTCGCGAGTAGTCGCTAATGACCGCAATGACCATCTGCTCCTTGCTCCTGAGACGGAGGAAGTCGGGCCTTACGAACTCCCACTCCCACGAGAGGTGTCGGGTCTAGAGACCTATGTGCCGGCATATCTCAATGTGCCTCATCTCCGCCGACTAGCTGCTCTGGTAGCGTGATGTCGTATACTTCATTGCTTTCCTTGTGTCTGGGCTCAATGTAATTTGCTTTTTACTCATACCCACATTTAGTTCTTAAGCATCATGTTCTCCCATTGTCCATGAGCATGATAGATGGTCTAGATATGTTGTCTGAGCAACAATACACCATGTATATCCCTATCATTTGTTGGGCAACAATGTATCAGAAAGCTTCATCAGTTGTGCAGGCTACACCCACCAACCTGCACATGAGACTGCCTACCTCAGAAAAGCATGGAGAATGTCTCCCAGATTGAAAAGTAACTATATTGTACAATTGACCATGTGATCAGTCATGAAAGTTGACACTGCTTGGATGCCCAGCCTGTCTGTGGCTTACAATACAAATGTAATTGGTATTCATATCCTCAACATTACAATAATGATCCTATGTAGAAGGATTACATAGAAGCTAATGCATGTTCACCCTAACTGAAAACTGCTTATGAGAGCTACTTGTGTATTCACCCTGGTACAGGATGGAATCCACAGCACAAAATCTGTACTATACAGTCAGACAATCAGGAAATGGTGGATATTGCTCACCAAATTAGCCTCAGCAGTCAACTTCAAGTTGCTCAGAATGCCTTGACTCAGTGGTGATGTAGCATAAGGTGCAGTCATACCATTTTAAGCCTTTACCTCCAGGGCTGTACTGCTGCAAAGAATGCATGGTACACAGGGGAGTGGTGAATGAGTTGACAATGCTGCTACAAGTCAAAACAATTCAACTCAGTAGCTGTTGATCCATCATATGGTATCCCTTGGAGTATGTCCTGTTTCAACCACACAATGCCAAGGTTGACAATATGCAAGTGTACACACCAAATCTATGTGCATCTGTGATATACACAAAAGGGTGCATTGAATCACTATATATTATGGACTGATACCTACCTCTGATCACATGAAGTCCTGTTGTCATTCAGTGGTGAGAATAGCCTTTGGTGCATGGATACATAATTCAAATTTTGCCTAATTGATACAGGGTCCCACTGTGAATCATGACTCACAGACCCCAATATCTTTGAAAAGCAAACTTCAAAGTATTTCCAGCTTAGCACAGGGCTAGTAGCCCTTGGGTCACTTGGCAGTAGGAAGTACATAGCCTGGAAGATGACCTGTGTATCACTGGATGCCTCAGTTATCAACAAAGTATATGTGAAAGTAAGATGTGGCAGCAAAGATCTAGGGCCCTTCTGGTGGGGACTCAAGTCAAGGGAGGCAGGTAGGCAGACACTTGTTATCAATGTTTTCGAGAAGGCCAGCATCCTTTAACTCGTGATTACAGGCTGCGAAGATATAGTCACACCGGTCCGTTTGTCGTAATATTTGTGCCCATATTCGAGAAGCCTGCAAAAGGATTGTCAGGTCAATGGTCTGTTATGCTGGTGACATGAGTACGTACCAATCCGGCTCTATCTCGGTCAGAATGCGTATTCTATCAGAGTAAGGTTATCGATAGCACTTTCTGATGGACTATAATGAGACGTACTGCGTCTTTTTCGTCTCCTCCATCTCGTGGAACATCACCCAGCCCGATCGAGGCTTGCGGGTGAAGAGGACAGAGTTCGGGTGGACATGCAGAGTCTGCGGTTCCACGATGTAAATGCGACGCGCTGCTCCGCATTGAGGAATGAGACTTACTGTGTTGCCCCGGACAGACCGGTATGTCCCGTCAGCAACCCAGCGTGCACCGTTTCGCCAGTAGCCGCTGACGAGGCACTTGCGCAAGCGCTTCGCATCGCCCTCGCAGCTCTCAAGGGGTAGGCTGAAGCGTTGCATGTATTTCTTGAGTTGGGAGCGGATGGACACTGCTCGGGACATTGCGCGAAAAGAGAGTGCGTGAGACTTGCACCAGGCAGATGAACGGCCATAGCGAGTGAACGCGTTGTATGCTAGGCAAGCACGTCAGTAACGTGTCTCGACGTGCGTCCGGGACATACCATTCAGTAGTGTCAGGTGGTCCTATACAAATCGATGGACGTGAGTTGATGTTCATTCGGTCTGGTTCATCGTACTCACCCCCTCTTCAGCCGTGAACTTTCTCCTTTCCAGCTCAGCCAGGGCACCTTGAGCCCCATCTGGAATAATGAAGACGTCCTGGACTGCGGTCATGGCGGCAATAGTGAGAATCTCCTCTCCACACTTGTGTTCCTTCGACATGAAGAGCTTGTGCGGATATCATCAGCTCCGAAGGCTACATAGTATAGGTCAAAGCTTACCATCCGTGCAATATTCACTTCGACTGGACATTCCGCGACTTTCTCGCCCATAACCGTAAGCCGGCCGTCCTCCCCAATCATCCCAGCCGCGTACAAGCCCTCCAACGCCCGCAAGACGCTCTCCGCCGGCGGGCTCGAGACCCACTCGAATTTCATCAGATCATCTATCCCCAAACTCTTAAGCTGTAGTATGGGCGTCGTCAGGTCGGTTCGGGTGATCTCGGCAGGCGTCGTGAGTGGGAGCTTGTCGTATGCGATCTCGGGGTACAACCGGTAGCAGATCCCCGCGGAGGTGCGCCCAGCGCGGCCCGCGCGCTGGGTGGCAGATGCCTGCGAGACGGGGACGGTGACGAGGGAGGAAAGGGCAGTTGTTGGGTTGTGTGTGCGAATCTGGAGGACGTCGGGCGTAGTGAGCAGTGGGCGGGAGCTACGTAATTGTGTGGGGCATACCTTGACAAAGCCGGAATCAACGACGAACTTAATCCCGTCGATAGTCACGCTAGCCTAATGTCTGTGAGCAACATGTATTTTGTTTTGCAACAGGACGGCTCACTTCTGCGATATTAGTCGAGACAATGACTTTTCGGCTACCCCGTTCCGCAGGTTCGAAGACGGCAAGTTGTTCTTCCGTCGTGAGACCGGCGTGTAGTGCCAGCAGCCGAAGTCGCATCGCATTGCGTGGTAAACTGGGGCAGACATGACTTTCGTTGAATATGGATTCCAACATTAGCAACTCACCTCGGCAGCATCTCAGCAAGTTCCTCCAGGCAGCGATCAATCTCTTCCCGACCTGTCAAAAACACTAAAATGTCTCCACTTCCTTGCTGGTGAACATGGGTTGAGCTCATATCGCATTTTGCTGTTGAAGCAAACACTTACCTGTAGGTGTATATTCCAGACGACTTCCGCTGCTTTCCTCACGTAGTCCGGCGCAGGCTCCGCCAAATAGGCTGTCTGCACAGGGTACATCCGTCCCTCCAGACTGACGATGATGGCCTCGTCGGGGCTGTTACCCGCGGTGAAGTAGTCAAGGAAAGAGGTAGCGTTGAGCGTGGCGGATGACACGATGAGGCGCAGAGATGGTCGTTTCCGGCGGATCCTGGGCTGAATCGTTAGCAGAACGTCAAAGATCGGCGCTCACGATTGGCGCACTTTTTGAGTATACCGAGCATCAAATCTGTGTACACGCTTCGTTCATGGGCCTCGTCAATCTTTGGGTCTCTAAGTCAGGATGAGCTCTCGCGGCAACATTGTAGGCAGGAAAGCGCACCATGATCACGCTGTAGCGGCTGAGCAGCGGGTCGAGTAACGTTTCTCGGAAGAGCATACCGTCCGTCATGTACAGTATCCGCGTACGCTCCTTGTCGCTGACGTCTTCGAAGCGGATTGTTAGCCCACTTCGTCTCCGAGCGTCGACCCGACCTCTTGAGCGACGCGTCCAGCGACAGACGTAGCGGCGACACGGCGGGGTTGTGTGCATGCTATGATGTTGCCGTCTGCTGACCAGCCGGCTTCATGTAGGTACTGAGGGAGTTCTACGCGGTTAGGCAGAGCAAACGGGTGGAGGGACTCACGAGTGTCTTCCCACCCAGTTTGTCCCACTACTATGACTACCCGTATTCTCCAACATACAGAGTTATCTCCTGAGAAACATACCCGACTGAGTGTAGCACACGAAGACGTGGAAGAACGCACTGTGCTTGAATATAGGCAGCCTCTCCCTGGCGCCCTGTACGCCCATATACACGCGGAGGGCGCGCTTTGAATGACATTCCCTCAGTCTCAGTCGCCTGTCCAGAGTACTGCCTGGCCCGGTTGTGCCAGGCTTCCAGAATTGGAGAGACGTCATTTGTCGTGAATGGGGATGGATGAGTAGCCAAATTGGGAAGCGTTGTTTGGTCCGAGGCTCTTGCACGCGGAGCCAAGCAAGAGCAAGCAGCGCTCGGTGGCGCCGACTGTAAGCGCTCACTCAGCCCTACTGAACGCTCTCTCCTTGACCGTCACCTTCTCCGACTATCTTTGCTAGCCCACCATGTCTGAGCGTAAAGGTGTGTTCAACGACCTCTACTACACAGTCATGCATCTAATATACCCTCCACAGTCCTGAACAAGTACTTCCCGCCGGATTTCGATCCGGCTCTATTCCCCGCAGGAAGCAGCCCAAGAACTCACAGCAGGTGGTTCGTTTGATGGCTCCTTTCTCTATGTGCGTGGTTTTCTGACGTCCTTGTGTGATCATTCTGATCTCGCCACCCGTCTAGGCGATGTAACACCTGTGGAGAGTATATCTACAAAGGGAAGAAGTTCAATGCTCGAAAGGAGACGGTCGAGGAGAGGACTACTATGGCATCAAGATCTTCCGCTTCTACATCAATGGTGCGTCTCCTGCTTTGTTCCGCTGGTTGTAGTGTCTCATCACCGTTGCAGCACATTATGCTCCGCCGAGATCACGTTCAAGACCGACCCCAAGAACACCGACTACACAGCCGAGCACGGTGCGTCGCGGAACTTCGAACCATGGAGAGAAGAGAAAGCGGTAGAGGAGGAGGACCGTCTCGCCAAGCTCGAGGAGGAAGAAAACAACCCATGAAGGCGCTCGAGAACCGGACGGTGGACTCGAAGCGCGAGATGGACATCCTCGATGCTCTGCAAGACATCCGTGCGCGGAATGCCCGCAACGAGCGCATAGGGCAGTCGGTGGACCTGGTGGAAGAATGGGTGTGGAAGAGATCGAGACGGAGGAGGACAGGCGGCGGAAGTTGGAGGAGGATGAAGACGAGAAGCTGGTGCGGGAGGTGTTCCAGAAGATCCCTGCGACGGGTTCGTCTTCATCCAGCGGGTCGTCAGGACACACATCGCAGTCTCCAGAGGAGCCAGCCGCGCCGGTAGTCACTCTGAAGCGCAAGGCCGAGGGCGCAGAGCCGGACCTTCACAGCCTATTGCCCGAGGAGACGCGTGCGCTCATCTCGTCGAAAGTCTTCACCGCCGCACCACCTGTCAAGAAAAAGAAGACAGACATGAAGAACTCGTTGGGTATCAAGATCAACAAGGGCAAGGGCGTTGCGAAACCCAAGCCTGTTACCGCATAGGACTTGTATTCTACTGTACCATTGTATTCATTGTATGACATCTGCTTAGGGGTCCTTGTATTCGTTCGTTTGTGTGGGTTTGAAACTGGATTGAAATGGAGTAATTGTTTCAAATGATGTCAGTTTTGATCGAGGGCCGTGAGTCTCGCGAGGTCTCGCGTGCGCTTGTATCTCTTGAACACCCCCGACGAGCTCCTCTCCGACAACCCTCACGTTCGCGACACCAACCCTTGCACGACGACCCTCTGTCCAAAGAAAAACTCTACCGCGCGGTATGGCCAACCTCGGCTACGCGCAAGCTGCGGTCTCAACCGCATTCCGCGCAACCGCCTATCTCTTCCTCGAAGTGGTCCGTACACTATCCGGAGAGCAGTGCACAAATCATTCTAACGTTGCGTATCTAGATTCCCCACTCTTCTGCGAAATATCTGCTCTCCATCTTGTATGTGACATACCTAGTGTTGTACTCCTTCCAACCACCTGCTCTTGAACAATCGCCCACGACCAAAGACGAGCCCTCGAACGGGGAGGCCAAGGTACCTTTCCCGACTGACGAGAAGAGCGTAGAGGAAGACAGTGAGGACACAAAGACCGAGTCTGAGGACTCGAAACCCTTGCCACCGGTGAGTGCTCCTGGTTGCTATCAACAGACCCAGTGGCAACTGACCATACTGCAGGTCCCGACCTCTCCTGAAGAGTCTAGCAGTCTATATACCCTTCTGCTATCCTTGCCCACGCCGTCGCGTCATCTGCGTCTAACCAACCTCTTCATCAACACCTTGCTCGCTGTTGCTGCACTAGAGTTCGTCACCTACCCATACTTTGACGACGCAGCAGACGTGGTGTACACTCGCATCGGCGCGGTATACCCAGATGCTGCCAAGATCGTCGTTCGATACCCCGGGCTTGCTGGCTTTAACCAGACCAACGCCACTGTTCAAATCGCCTGGAGACAGGTCCCCAACTCAGGGGCCGTGGAGTCGGAAGCGTGGAAGGATGGGCCTGTCACACTACTGAGCGAGGAGCTTGACTGGGTGAACACTGTCAAGGTCTCTGGTCTCTGGCCGAGCACTACCTACGAGTGTGCGTTGCACGCGAAGATATTGTCAATTTTCGTACTGACAACCATGCACAGACACGCTCCGCGACGCTAACAAGACGTTGCTCCCTATCCCTCGTCGCCTATCCGCTTCCACACCTTCCCAGACCCATACCTCAACAGTGGCGTCAATTTCCGCTTCCTGGCTTCCTCATGCATCACCCCCAACTTCCCCTACGCCCCGCTCCAGGGCCGCAGGATCAAGGGCTTCGACGTGCTCGCGGACTATCTCTGGCCGAAGATAACGCCCAGCAAATTCACGACGCTCTCCCCCGAACCGAGCCCGCCCACGCCTCCCGAGACGGAAGCTCCAGAGAAGAGTGCCTCTGGGACGTCTGCGTTGGACGCACCGGAACCTACGGCTGCGCCTGTCTTTTCAGTGAATGCACAGACGGTAGAGGCCGTGTCGAGCAAAGCGCCTACGGAGTTCATGATCTTCATGGGCGACTTCATCTATGCGGACGTGCCAATTTATTACGGAGACGACAAGGAGGCCTACCGCCGTCTGTACAGGAGGAACTACCAGAGCCCCAGCTTCAGGAAGGTGTACGAGCGGCTTCGTGAGTCGGGACTGAGGTTTACCCCGCGACGCCTACTAATGAATTACCTTCACCAGCGTTCATTCATACGTACGATGATCACGAGGTGAGTGAAGGCGAGTTGAGTTCATAGTACAAGCTCTCATGAAGTTACTATCCAGATCATCAACAATTACGCCGGGCATTCCAATGACTCTGCCCCACCGTTCGCGAACGCAAACGATGCTTTTGCGCTGTACAACGCACAGGGCAACTACGACTCCTCCCATTCTGGTCAGCATTACTACGACTTCCGCTACGGCGACGTCGCGTTCTTCGTCATGGACACGCGGAGGCACAGGTCTATCATTGAAGAGACAGACGAGCCCAGCAGGACGATGCTCGGAGAACAGCAACTGACGGCCCTATACGACTGGCTGGGGAAGGTGCGCGCTGTCCTGAATGCATCATTCCAGTGGAAATCTGACTACGCGTAGGTGAACAACACCGCGACGTTCAAGTTCGTCGTCACCTCCGTGCCCTTCACGGGCCTCTGGACCTACGAAGGCGTGTTTGAGACCTGGAACGGCTTCCAGTACGAGAAGACCTCCCTCCTGAACGCGTTCCACACCGTCCCCAACGTCATTCTCTCTCCGGGACAGACACGAGTTTGCCGCCGTCGAGTTCCCGAGCGCGAACCCAGCGCGGACGGTGTATGAAATCTCGACGAGCCCGCTGAGCATGTTCTACGTGCCGCTGATCGGACGCTCAAGTCGCAGAGCGAGGACGTGATCAATAGGACGAAGGAGGTGTAACGTGCTGGAGGATGGTACACGGAAACGGTGACGGTGACGGAGGAGGTGCCGCAGGAGAAGTCTTGAATATATTGCGGATGGGAACTACAAGTGGTAAGTGACACGCTCACTCGTCGGTGCTGGCGAGCTGACACGATGATCTCCAACAGGTCCTCGATTGAGGTCGACACCAGGGATCGACAGAATCCTGTGGCGAACATAGACATCATCATTGATGGCAAGAATGCATATTCGTATGTAATCTGACAACGTCTACATGCATACCTCCCTGACAGATGCATCGCGCAGGTTGACCATTCACGGAGAGCCCGTGAAACTGTCGCCCTCGATGGCCCTGGGTGCTTACGTTCCTCAGAGCTTCAAGGGCGTCCTCGGCAAGATGGGGCTGAACCCCGGCAGCTGGTTCTAATAAGCGTAGAAGACGAAGCGTTGGTTATATCAAAGCATGTAGTAAAGTGTCTCGTAATTCCGTTATGCTATTCAGAAATACCTGGGATAATCAACACAATGTTCACAGTCGAGTGCAGTCACGATGCTGCGTTGATTGTTTCCTTTGAAAATCGCTGCTGCACGCGAGCGTAATGCTCCATTTCAGCGTGGCTTACACTAGGAATGAGTTCCCTCAGTGCAGCTTCGAAGTCCTTTTGCATGACGAGGACTTCCATCTCTGCGGGCTTTGCCAATTCTGCAAGGTAATATTGCGGAGTGAGAGGGTATGGATGTCGCGGATCCGGCGGTTGATTGTTCAGTTCAGCTGTCGAGAATGTTGCATAAGACTTGGGCAGGTCAACGATTGTCAAATAGCGCACCAATGGTTGCCTCAAGTTCCTCGGCCTTTCTTGACATCGCTTTGAGCAAGGCATCCGCACACAGGGCGTAGAAGTCGGCGCCGGTGTAGTGGAAGGGGCATTGTTCTGCGATGTCTTCCAATCTCAAGTCGGGATGGAGCCGGAACTTCCGGGTGAGGGCCTGGAGAATGTTGAGCTGCGCTGCATGTGTAGTGCTCACGCCGAGATAGAGCATCCGGTCGAATCTGTCCATGGAGGTGAGCGCTAGTTGTCATATGTTTGAAAGTCCATTACCTGCCAGGTCGTAGCAAAGCAGGATCTAGCAAGTCAGGTCGGTTCGTTGCACCAATGACGAACACGTCCGCCCCAGCCTTTCCGCCGGACAGACCGTCCAGTTCAGCCAATATCTGACTGACAATTCGGTCCATCACTCCGCCAGAATCACCGTGGTTCCCTCGCTTGGGAGCCACCGAGTCCAGCTCGTCAAAAAAGATGACACACGGGCGTGCATCGCGTGCGCGCTGGAACACCCTGCGGACATTGGCCTCGGACTCGCCGATGTACATGTTGAGCAGTTCTGGGCCTTTGACGGAGAAGAAGTTGAGCGCGCAGGAGGTCGCGACAGCTTTTGCGAGGAGCGTCTTGCCCGTGCCAGGCGGTCCGTATAACAGGATACCTGTTCGAGGGTTGGCAACCGAGACGTAGCGCTCAGGATACTAAGTACGTACCGGATCGTTTCTTGAGCCCGTCGGCGAAGAGCTCTGGACGCTCCAAAGGTAATTGGATGGTGTCCAGGATATCCGCCTTGACATGCGCAAGACCTCCGACGTCGTCCCACGATACGGAAGGTATCTTAGGGGCACCGATGTTCTCCGAGTACGCTGCTCGCGTTTCCTTCAGCGCGACCTCGAAGTCCGCTGCAGTGAGCGGTATCCCTGCATAGAAGAGGTCGATGCCAGATGCCGAACTGCACCGGTGTATAAGCAAAGCGAAGAGTAAAGTAGACAATTACACACGATTCAGTAGCAGCACGCTCAGCAGCTGCTGTCTGAGTGCGAAAGACGAGGTTCACAAGGTCAGCTGCGACGAGTGCTGCGGTTTGCACGGCTATTTCCTTGACGGACACGTCAGGAGCTACGATATGACCCTGAAGCAGTGCGTTAAGGATCTCATGGCGTTCTGTTTCGCCAGGTGTCTAACATACCATGTAAACGGCAAAACAAACTGAGAATTCTGAAGATCCAACGGGCGTACCTCAATGGTGATCTCGTGTTTAAAGGAAGATAGAACCCTCGAGGGGACCTTGTCAGCGTCACCGGTCGTGCCAACGACAAGGACTGGATATCCTGTGAGATTCCAACCCTGCTGCAGGCTCGCTATGCACTCTTGCAGTGCGTTGGCAATGCTAGTAGGCTCTTCGAATTGTCAGCATTGCAGCCAAAGTGTGAAGTGAGGCGTGTTCTTACCCTTCCCTGGCTCAAGCCCTTGCGTCGTTTGCGCGAACGCGTCGATGTTCCTCAGAAGGAGGATGCAGGGGGAGCAGGACTCTGCTCGCTCGAACCGCGCCCGGAGCGTTCCCTCCGTCTTGGCATCGTTCTCCCCCAGAACATCGTAACAGTTCACCTGAAACTCCTTGAGCAATTTGTCGTGGAAGAGGAAGTGACACAAACCTCGAAAAGATGAATGCCTAGATGTTGTGCCACCCAGCTGGCCGTCGTGAATTTCCCCGAGCCCTTCGGGCCTTTCAGCAACACCGATAACTGCAGTTGATACTCTACCGCGTGCGGCTTCAGCGCTGCCGCCGTCAGTGCGAGCAGCTTGCCGTATGCGCTATCAGGACCGACAAGAGTGGACACGTCGGCCTTCATCGGCGGGAAGGGCACGGATCCTTCTGGAAAAGGATGAGCGTTGAAGCATGCAGTACATTGGCGGCGATCTCACTTATGTTCAGGTAGCGAGCCATATCGGGGACCCTTGCATGCTCGACACCGGTCTGGATCATGCGAGTGACAGACGGGTCGACCCAGCACCCAAGCTCGCCAACGGCCGAGCCCAGATACACGTCCGACGCCGACATGGACGCGTCGCCGTTGCTCGACACAACGTGATGTTCGATGTTCGTCACGGTGAAGTACACCAGCTCGTCTGCAGCGTCAGCGGCGTTCATGAACCTTCTCACCGTCGGTTATAAGTAAATATATTGCCTGCTCGAGCTACGGGGAAACCTAACTTGTACTCGAACGACGGCTCGCCCTCCCCGCTGCCTGCATCGTCCTTCGGATCTGCATCCGTCTGCCAAAGGACTTCGTCGGTGTTGATCTTGACGGTGATGATGTCGCCCTGCTTGACGAGACGCGTCGTGTCCTTGAAGTAGTCTTGTAACGCTCGCAGGAAGAGAGGCTGGTATGCACGATCAGTAGATATCGGGGACGCGACGCGCGCGATTGTGACGGAGCGAGCTGTCGGGATAGATGGCTTTTGTGAGCCGAACGGGCTAGGACGAAGGCATACTCCGCGAGCCGTCGAGGGAGTCCCCGAAGTGATGTTGTGCAAGAGCTGGGGCGATAGACGGACGGGTCCGCTGTGGTACCACGAAGTAAACAGGTTTGGCGTCGCATGGATGCACGTACCCTGATTCCGTCTCGCTGTCTTCGGCACATACACGAACGAGTCGAGATGAGGATCCATTGCACGCACGGATGACAGCCTGTGATGCATGAGCCTTATGCGTGCGATGCGCTTGAATAGATACACACCCAATCACCACTAAGCACTCCAACGCGACCAAGTTCGGACGTCGAAATGTAGACTCTACAATCATCCTCTTCGGGCGACCGAGGTGAGGTGAGTGGTTCTGCAGCACGAGCATACTCGGCAGATGTTATACGGGTCCTATCTAGAGTAGCATCAGGAGAGTTATCCAGTGTATCAGGCTCGCCAGGAGGGGTCCCATTGCTGGGCATGGGGTGTAACACAGAGCCAGCCAAGAATGCCTCGTTGATCTCGAAGCCGTCCTCAGAATCCATCGCTTCTTCCTCGTCGGATGGTATCTCTTGCAGGTCTTCGAAGACAGGCTCAATATGCCCGTTAGAGGTCGTTGCGGGTTCAGATGCAGATACGACGTAGAGCCGGGTATGCCCTCTCTTGGCGTATCCTTGCAAGACAGGACCAGCCATGACTAGTCCGTACTGGTGTACAGAAGATACCGAGCTGTCGTCATCCGGGATACCCAAGTCGCGTGCGTGAAGGGTGTAGACTTCGTTCTGCCGAAGGATGTACGACTGGTCGAAGAAGTGAGCCTCGAAGGCGGAGCGGTGTGCCAGAGCTAGTGCGTATGCATCGTGAGAGTGAGCGGTGAGGATAATCTCAGAGAGCCGACTGGCTGCACGGAGACTAGATGGTGGGTTGGCCCCTTTAGCTGCGAGCTTAGGTCACTCGAAGTGAACAGAGATGGGTACTGCTCGAGCCATTGCGTGGGCACGGCGAGACCAGAAGCCTGTTAGGTCGCGTTTGTCACAAGAGGCCTCATATCATGCATATCATACTCACATTAACCTCAAGCCGTGCCATGCTACCAGAGACGCAAGAGGCGAAGACTTGCCCGCAACGCTCGCGGTCGGACGGGACGTAACACCGCGCAATAGACACGGCTGCTCTGCCCTCCTGCGAGCTCGTTAGACCCAGCGCATCCCACAGACCCTTGGAGAGCAGTAGCGCGCCATCCTGTGCGCTGTCGAGGGTGGACTGGAGAGCGGCAGGGACGGGGTGGGGGTGGTCGAAGAGGAAGTCCATGCGAACGACCAGCGTGGGAATCCTGACCCCGCCCTTCCTCCCTGCCACAATTTTGGCGAGGCTGCTCATTTCCGTCCTCCCTCTTCAAAACGTACAGAAGACCTCCCCGCCGACATCTCGCGGATTTATTGCGCTTGGTGCCGCAGAACTGTAACACCACACTTTGTCAGAAGCACCGACAAGATCTGGAAAAATGAGCAGAGGAGGTAGAGGAGGGTTTGGCGGTCGTGGAGGCGGAGGTACGCTCGATCATTAGAGGTCAGGGATCTAGGTGCTAAACTTCTGCAGGACGAGGGGGAGGCAGGGGCGGATTTATGCAGCGAGATTTTGGCCCTCCCGACACAGTCCTTGGTGCGCACGTTCTACGTCTATCTACCGCATTCTCTTACTCACAAGTCTGCAAAACATTGCACAGAGATGGGCTCATTCCTGCACGCCGTCGAAGATGAGATGCTCTGCCAATCCCTCATGCCTGACAAGGTTCCGTACTTCAATGCCCCCATTTATCTCGCGAACAAGTCTGTCATCGGCAAGGTCGACGAGATCCTCGGCCCGATCAACGAGGTGTACTTCTCCATAAAGATGGAGCAGGGCATGGTCGCGAGCAGCTTCAAGAAGGGTGACAAGGTGTATATCGGAGGGGACAAGCTGTTGCCAGTAGAGAGGTTCCTACCGAAACCGAAGGTCGCCGGAGGTACGTCGTGCACTCTGGTCGTATACCTGAGACTTATCCGGGCTTGCAGGTGTAACAAGTATGCGTTTGCGCCGTCTCAGCCCAATGCATCTTACTGACTGTATATTTAGAACGAGGTCGCGGAGGTCGCGGCGGCGCAGGCGGACGAGGACGAGGCGCACCAGGCGGGCGTGGTGGCTTCCAGAGAGGAGGCTCAAGAGGAGGTTTCCGAGGCGGCCCCAGAGGTGGTGGTTTCGGTGGTGGGTTCAGTGGTGGGTTCAGTGGTGGTCGTGGGGGCGGTCGCGGCGGGCCAAGTCGAGGGCGGGGTGGCTTTGGCGGTGGAGGAGGACGGGGCCGGGGCGGCTTCCGGGGCTCGTAGTCGGCGTGGATGCTTCGCGTGCGACGTGTTGTTTTTTCTGTGCTGTATGTATACATCTCTCTCCTTTTGCTGACTGTATCTATGAAGGTCAGGCGTGTTGTACATGGGCTGGTATCGATACAGAGCGATGCGTAGCGACGACATCGGGTATAGGCATGTCGGATCAAACATCAAGGTTTGAGGGCTTTGAGTTCGGCCGCGACGACTTGGACGCGTTCTGAACGCTCCGACTGCAAGGGCACAGACTGAAGCACCGCGTTGAGTCTCATGAGGCGGCGAATGAGTGAAAGGGCTGACCTGCTTCAGCTCCTCCGATATTGCGTTGACCTGCATGGCGACCTGTTGTATGTTCTCGTAAGTGGTGGGAGGCACTAGGAGACGTCAGTTCATCCCTGTGACACGAACATGCAACTCACAGTCGCGCCCTGTTGGATACTTGCGGCCGTCGTCGTTGAGATCCTCTGCCGCAGCCTCCTGGTCGAGATCCCGCTGGCGTTGAAAAAGTTCCTCCATTTGTGATTCAATTTCCCTGGGGTGCTTCCGTCGCCGCGCGGCAATCTCAGAGTCCCACTGAAGAGACTGGTGCGCGAGGGCCCAGATGTGCCGGTCGAAGCCCTCGTCGAAAGGCTCCTCCTCTGCGACGAGAGGCGGAGATCAGACGGACAGAATGTCTACAAGGTATCGGGAACGCAGACGCACCTTCCTCAGATATGTCCATCTCCTCGAAGTTACGCCCGTTGATGCGGATGTTGGGGCGCGTCATGTCAAAAGTCCTGTCAATGAACTGAGCGACGCGTGAACCCAAGTCTCAACGCGCTGCAGTGCAACGTACCTGTTGCAAGTGCTTCAAGAGGGCGTCCCGCTCGGCCGTAGATCGCGCAGACGAGAGCTCCTCCTCGAACGCACTCATGGCCGCAGCCGTGTAATTAGCTTTGAGACGGTGCCAGTCTTGGATAGAGTCGAGCGAGATGCGTGCCATGTCATCAGCGTGTTGAGGATCCATGTCGGAGCTGTGACAATGAAGGTGTACACTGGTGAGGTAGCGAGAGTTGGAATGCAGTGAAGCTAGTAAGCTTGAAGACGCGATGGAATCGACTCCGAGTCGCGGAACGCGATATACCGCGGTCACGTGACTGTCTATCTGGACGCTTGCGTTTAGCGCTGGACCTCGTCTTGACCTTGTCAGTAGCGGCGGCGGCGAGCGCGTACTAACTTACTAGCGAAATCACTGGCACTGGCATTCCGTATGGCTATTCTTCACACACAAGCCTGTATTGGGCTGGATGATACCACACGAAATGGAGGAAATAGAGAAAACGCAGTGGTATGTCCATCGTTTGCCTCACACGGTAAGTTACTATTAGATACTACATAGTACTATCAAAACCTTACCCTGACAGGATACACATTCTGACCGAGATAGAACCGGAGTAGTACGCACCCATGTCATCTAAATAAAGTAGCTCACCATCCTTTTCATAGGTTTTTCAAATGGACACAGGTATCACTGGGAGAGGACTACCAACGTGCCCTCGTAGCTTCTAACGACCATGCGAAGAAGGCCGGCACCACCAGAGGCAGGCAGGGGAACCTACCTCGTGCTTGCCTGGCGTTGTTCGAGTTGCACTTCTCCGCTGGCACATCGATGCCACCATGATTCCAGTCGCCGCGAACAGGTCTGAAAGTGTAAGTGATAAGTAACAGTTTAACATCTCTAGATCACTTCTAGCCATACCTTAATCGATACAGTAGGCTTGCAGCCCTTCCCCGGGTGACTTTGCCATCCATCCAACTCCAAGTACCTCTACTTGTTGACTCCACCAGCGAGGATGAAGGTCTGCATTACTAACGTGCATCAAACCCAGCGGCATGCCTTGCCCCCGTGAGATGGATCCGTGCGTCTACAGACTCATTGCTTTGATTACTTACATACATACTTTCCACGTATGACTCTTCGCTGAATGTTGCGGCTTGTTGCCGGTGTCTCGAGGGCTTTCTGATGCTGATTGTCTCTCAGGTCATCGACAGCTTTACATGGTCCGACAGGCCGTAAGGCGGTATAAATGAATCTGGGTTCGCGATGTAGGTGCTAGAGCTCGCGTCCATCCAGCGTCCATGCACGCCTCTCTGTCACTGCTTGTCTTTGGCGCGCTTCTCAGGCTCGCACACGCTGCGACAACTAGTTTGGATGGGATCTACTCACTTGTTCAGCGTCAGATCCCCGAGCATGCGGACTCGTTCACGTTTTCGCTTTTCCAAGCTGATGGTGATTCCTTCGCGATCAGCGATTCTACTGAAGGTAGCGGTATCAATGTACAGTGTTCGACTGTCAGCGCTTGTGCAAGAGGGCTCTATACGTGAGTGATTGGAACCTCGTTATCGGTACCAAGATCCTGATCTTCGTGCAATAGGTACCTAACGCAGTACGGTGGTGTCGACATTTGGTGGACAGGGTCGCGCCTCAGCCAGTTGCCCTCCCCTCTACCCGCTGTGGGAATCCCCGTCAACGGACAGCTATTGTGCCATACAGGTATGTTATTGATTTATGTCTACGTCCAATTCCACTATCGATGCACACACTAAAGACATACAGATACCACTTCAACACTGTCACCTTCGACTATACCGCGACTTGGTGGGATTGGGATCAATGGCAGGCCCAGCTCGATTGGCTTGCTCTGCGCGGCGTCAACCTTCCCCTTGCATGGGTTGGCTACGAATACATCCTCATCCAAGTCTTCCAGGAGGTCGGTCTCTCGGATGATGACATCGCATCTTTCCTTTCTGGCCCAGCATTCCAGGCATGGAACCGCTTCGGAAACATCCAAGGAAGCTGGGGTGGACCGCTGCCCACCGAGTGGATCGATGGGCAGTACGCGCTACAGCAACAGATCGTCGCACGGATGTACGAACTCGGCATGACACCCGCCCTCCCTGCCTTCACAGGCTTCGTACCTCGCGCATTGGCGCAATTGTATCCCAACGCATCGATCGTGAACGGTAGCCAGTGGGATGGATTTCCGACCGATTTGACGAACGTGTCATTCCTCGAGCCATGGAACGATCTCTTCGTGACGATGCAGAAGTCATTCATTGCCAAGCAGCAGGCCGCGTACGGCGCCAACATTTCACATATCTACACACTAGACCAATACAACGAGAACAGTCCCTATAGCGGCAACACGGCCTACCTAGCAAACATCTCCAGCGAGACTTTCGCTGCGCTCCGAGCTGCGGACCCCGAGGCAGTTTGGATGATGCAGGGCTGGCTCTTCTTCGATGACGAGACCTTCTGGACGACGGACCGCATCTCTGCCTACTTGGGCGGCGTCCCTGGCAACGACAGCATGATCATCCTTGATCTGTTCTCGGAGGTGTACCCGCAATGGCAGCGGACGGAGTCCTACTACGGCAAACAGTGGGTCTGGTGCGAGCTGCACGACTTCGGTGGGAACATGGGTTTCGAAGGAAACCTTCCCGAGCTGGTCTCTGGGCCTATCCAGGCCCTCGCGGCTTCGCCGAGTATGAAAGGCATGGGCCTTACGATGGAAGGTCAGGAAGGAAACGAGATTGTATATGACATTGTGCTCGACCAGGCGTGGTCGGCTAACCCGCTCGCCATCACCGCCTACGTCGAGTCCTGGGTAGCACGCCGCTACCTTGTCAGCCCCCTTCCGGCTGCTGCCCAAAATGCATGGTCGATCCTCAGCACGACGGTATATAGTAATGCAGTAAGCGCCGCCACAATCAAGAGCATACTCGAGGTGGAGCCCGCCATCTCGGGTCTGACGGACGGTATCCTCACCGCTGTCCCGTACGACACGAACACCACCATCGTCCCTGCGCTACAGAACCTCATCGCGGCCGCAGGGGAAAATCCTGCCCTGCTCGCGGTGCCGGAGTTCCTGTACGACATCGTTGATGTGACCCGGCAGCTCCTGGCGAACCGATTCATCGACGCCTACAACGCACTGGTATCGACCTACAATGCCTCAGGCGCGACGTCGACCTCCGTGACAGCAGCCGGCGAACCGCTGCTGACCATCATCAGTGACGTCGATGCGGTACTCTGGACGAACGACAACTTCCTGCTATCCAACTGGATAGCCTCGGCGCGCAGCTGGGCCGGGAGCAACAGTACCTACGCGGACTATCTCGAGTACAACGCGCGAAACCAGATCACGCTCTGGGGGCCAGACGGAGAGATCACGGACTACGCGTCGAAGCAGTGGGCGGGTCTGGTAGGGACGTACTACTACCAGCGGTGGGAGACCTTCGTGGGCTACCTCGCGAACATCACGGCGAGCGGAACGTCATACGACAATACGACGCTGCATGAAGAGATGCTCTCCATTGGGGAGGCTTGGGACTCTGAGACTTGGAGTGCAGGGTGGGAGGTGACCGGTGATACCATGGATGTAGTGACTGGACTCGTGCAGAAGTGGATAGGGTAGTCTTACTATCCCGAACGTCCTGGAGTTGACGTGCTCACCGCGGAAGCTCCCAGCTTGCGAACCCCGGGCCCGACTGCTTCTTGTACCTACGCAGACATTTCTTGGTCCCTCTCGTGCCTCTGCAGGCGACGCTGCAATGTTTTGAAACGCTCATCCTGTGCGTACGCAATCCGCGCCTTCGCTTTCCAAGCCTGCCAGTCCTCTCTCGCGTCGTCACATGCAAGCAGAACATCAAGCGGCTGTACACGCACCCGTCCCGCACGCACCCAACAAGATCCGGACTCTCCGCTGCGTCCAGACAGTCAGCGAGCATCGCCTCGTCCGGCGCGAGATCGTTTTGCCCTGCGTAGAACGCTGCGACGTCGAACGCGAAAAGAGGCGCGCAGAACGCAAACTCCTTGGACGTGGTCTGTGCGAACTCCTAGTCGATGACGCCGACTATGTTAAGCGAGTCATCCACGAGGTTATGGTCGCCCTTGTTCTCCGTGTGCTTGAGGAGGAACTGGCCATCTGTATCATCCCTCGTTCCGGATGCTTGAGGCAGGATGGTGGGTATAACGTCGAGGAGGAGGTACAGGTGCACGAGCAGTGGGGCGACGAGCTCGTTGACGATTAGCTCTTCCCTGAGGATGAACACGATCTGCTGTTCCGCGAACGCCGTGTACATCTCGAGCGCAAACCCGAACGTGCCCGGGAGGTGTGCCGCGCCGTCCTCATCCCTTTCAGCCAGGGCCGTTGCACGCACGATCGGTCCCACCTCCGGCTTCATCGAGCTGTGCTGCTCGAGGCACCCGACAGCAGGGAAAGGGTGCATAGAGGTTTCCACCAGTATCGCAGCATACTGATCCAGTACCTTCCGTTTCCCCGCATCGTCCAAGTCCCACCACTCCAGCGCGTGCCCTTCAATCTTCTCCAGTTACCCGGGCTCTCAGGCGCGACGTCGTACACGTCCGGCACGGGCACGGCCGTCGACGCCTCGCTGAGCCAAGACCGCAGTCTGGACGTCGACGGGAGGGGCCTGCGCGCCGCGCTGCTGGACGCGGCAGAACCAAGATACGCCGTCCGCAAAGGTGACTTCGACGTGCAGGTTCTGGCCGCCCATCCTAGTCTGGAGGATGGCCTCTGAGCACGCCTCGTACATGGGAGACCCCCTCGGAGGGCACTCGCTCGAGCTTGGAGTGCATTGAAGACGACACGCACCAGTAGGGAGGTGAGCCGGGCACGAGAAGACCGTGTTGTCTCTTCGCGCCACCGCTCTGGCTCATCCTGCAGTGATCGGCGGGCTCATGATCAGCGATGACCTCTTCAAGTTGAGGCGTCGACTATGCAGTCACTCACATGTTCACAGTAATTAGGACATCGATGGTGCTCCCTCTGCAGATGCAAGGCGCAGATGTGCCGGTTGACCGTCGCACAACGCACAGGCTCCATTGTTGCCCTGGACCGCGTGTCGATGGCAGTCAGCGAAGTCACGTCGCACAGGTATAGCGGCATCATCGAGAGTCTGTCTGGACAACGACGAAATGAGACTGAGTCGGAATGAGAGAGTTGACACAGCTCACTAGTGCGAGTACTACAAGTAAGTAATCAAAACGCTGGGCTCGGCGAAGTCAGTGCGTAAAGGTGATTTGTTATCATGAGGCACTAAGTTTGAGCTGTTCAAAACGCCAATTCCGAGTCGTCGCAGTCGCAGCGCGGCTATATGTATGCTTATTGTATGAGATGAGGCCTACGGCGCCACTACTTACGCGCTAGTGCTGAAGCGACCCAAATGACTCCGTACCCTTCTGATGGTGGACCCACAAACGAGCATCATAGTACGGACATCCTGGGCGCTTCTACCAACGAGAACCTCGGGGTACTATATTGACTCATTGACGGCACTGGGTGGTCAGAATTGCAACGAGTTCGAACTAGATGAGCACAGGGCGTGCCAAGCGTACGCGACTTCAGGAGGAGAGAGGAAGCGACAAGATGATCGATGTTTGTGCTTGAAACAGTATCCACGCACCTGGACATGAATGCTGGGGTTGAACCAGAGAGAGTGGTGTTCCGGGCGAACACCTGGGGTTGTATGTACAGTACGTGACACTGAACAATATTGTAGTGGCACTCGCTGCACGCGTACGAGTGGGGCACAATACGGGTTCAAGAAATCTTTTGACAACAAGCGTCGCCTGCGTATGTGCAACAGGCCGCTCCGTGCTCGGAGAAGAGGAGGTAAGAGAGGCAACGACCGGCGCGCAGACACTGAGCAAGCACGAGCTTGGGTGAGCAGGCGCCGGGCCGGACATAGCACATTGGATAGCCGAGTGGTTGCCGAGTGGCTCGGGCAGGTGAATTTGATGACGGTGCCTGAGGACTCTCGCGGATGACGCAATCAACGCTGACCCACCACTGCCCACTGAAGATTCCGCTCGAACTTCGTTCTCAACCGTTTTCCCAGCGACCATATATAAGCCATGCCCGCCGCCGCACCTCCCAATATTCGCATCCACACTCATCGCCATGGCCCCCGTCCGCAACGCCCGTGTCGTCTTCAACGAAGTCCCCGCGCCCAACACATTCCCTGAGCCCGGAAAGACGACTGTCTACGATGATTCCGAAACCATAGACCCCGACACTGTCCCCCTCAATGGCGGATTCCTCGTCAAGGTCCTCGTCCTCAGCATCGACCCGTATATGCGCGGCCGCATGCGCGAGCCCCAGTCAAAAGCTACTCTGTGAGTCTTAAACCGCGCATATATGCGTCCTTCCGCACTCACAACACGTTCCCCAGCCCCCGTATATTGTAGGCAAGCCGTACGTGTCCCGCCGTACACCCGCATTCGTACGCTTGCTGACGCGTCCGCAGGTTTACCAACTTCGCCGTGGGACGCGTCCTCCGCTCCGAGCACTCTGCCGTCAAGGCGGGCGACCACATCTACGGGCACATGCCCTTCCAGGAGTACGCCGTCTTCGCAGACCCCGCCTACCTCGGCTCCGACGTCTTCCGCGTGCTCGAAAACAAGGAGTGCCTGCCTTGGAGCGCGTATGTCGGCGTGTGTGGCATGCCAGGTAAGTCCCGAGTTTTATTGAGTAGCTTGCGTAAATGGGGTCCTTCGTCGCGGTGCAATGATACCTGTGCCGATAGTATGATTTTGAGACACCCTGGACAATTCGTGCGGACGACCGTGGGTTATGCGATTCGCTGGTCGGCGTAGGCTGGGGAGATGTTGGCTGCCCGAGAACCCGCTGCTTTGACTGTGTCAACGGCTGCCCGGACGTGCAGAATCCTCCAAAGGCCTCCCCCGCCTTTATGGCCAGCGCGCCCCGAGCCCACCGCCCTCTCGTTCCACAAATTTTCACAGTGAGCATCGGGGCGCCGGCCCAGTTTATTTACCCGATCGCATGCATCCCGTGCATCACGCGTCGCATCCGACATCCTGCCTTGCCGTTTGCATCTCACATCATCCGGCCCCCCCTTGCTCCCTACACAGACCGAACAGAGGACCGCTTGCTGACCGGATCCCTCCACAGGCGCAACCGCGCACCACGCGTGGCACGAATTCGCGCACGCGAAGCCCGGCGACACCGTCTTCGTCACCTCTGCCGCAGGCCCCGTCGGCTCGTAAGTCCTCCTTCTCCCATGCCTCGCGGCCCGCCCTCCGTCTCGCAGTGTACCGGGATGATTCTTGTCATGACGCGGACACAACGCGCCATACAACGATGCCCCGGGGCACAAGCGACTGCGACGGACCGTACTGACGCGCCCCCCAGGACGGTCGTGCAGCTCGCGAAAGCGGGCGGGCTCAAGGTGATCGCGAGCGCGGGCTCGGACGAGAAGGTCGCCTTCGTGAAGTCGCTCGGCGCGGACGTCGCGTTCAACTACAAGACCGGCGACACGCGCGCCGTGCTCGCGCGCGAGGGCGGGATCGACATGTGCGTCGACTCCGCGCTGTATGCGTGTCTGGATCGCTGACGCTGACGTGCGGCGGTGTGTGTGTCAGCTTTTGGGACAACGTCGGTGGGGAGACGCTCGAGGCGGCGCTGGACGCGGCGAAGCGCTTCGCGCGGTTCATCGTGAGTGCTCTCTGTGCCCATGCGCGGGGATAGCGAGCCGGCTGACCGTGTGTCGGTGCGCAGGAATGCGGGATGATCAGCGCGTACAACGCGGAGGGGTACGCGCCGAAGAACCTGACCCTCATCGTCGGGAAGGAGATCAGGCTGAGCGGGTTCATCGTCGGGAGCCTGTACCACAAGGTGCGCTGCGAGCCATCCACCCCCACTGCTGTGTGCTCATCGCCGTCCCGCAAACAGTATCGCGACCAGTTCTACAAGGAGATCCCGGCACTGGTCGCCGCGGGCCAGATCAAGTACACAGAGGACAAGTCCGTCGGGCTGGAGGCGGCGGGCGAGGCAATCGTCGCTGTGCAGAAGGGCACGAACACGGGGAAGAAGGTGATCGTCGTCGCGGACGAGTGACTGCATGGTGGTGCAGGCACGAGCCCTAGCAGATTGTGAGTGCGCGGCAAGGAACGAAGCACAAATGACGATGTGATGTATTCACGGTATGTACTGTATGAAAATCAGCCTGCACATCGTTGTCTTAGTTTGACTGGGAGTGGTCGGTTCAGGCAATCAGTATACGCACCGTACCTGCGAGAGATCTTGATGTGGACGTTGGAAGATCGCGACCGTGACCGAAAGACCACCTGCTGACGGCAGATTGTCTCCACCACTCGAGGTATTGTACTAGGCGACCGCGACAAGCCAATGCCAGGGTGCTGCGACGTGAGTCAGTGCGCCTAGGCCCTCATTAGCTCCCGGTGTGCTCGTTTGATTGCGACTGCCCGATACCAGCATGTGCCAGTGAGCGACCATTGGCTGGTAGCAATGTTATTTCCGATACTCTCCAACGGACGGGGAAATACAGTATTGATGAGGGCTCTGTTGGCGATGCACATACGATACGCCTGGGACAGTCATGATATCACGCCTACTGCCTCGGATCAGCAGGAGCAACAAACACTACATGCATACTTATCCATTGCTATCAAGGCAGCGGCATGTCGTGGCGGACTCGGAGAGCAACCGAGGCAGAGGCCGTGATACAGGACTACTCCTCGGTATCTTTCTATGATTCAGTCTCACTCGCATAGCCGCCTAGCGGAAGACAAAGTGCTCTCACCTGCACGGGAACAAGCCTCAGATATTCTCGTCCTCGTCCTCGTCCTCGTCCTCGTCCCAGTAGTCATCCTCTTGTATGTGCACTTCATGTACAATCTCTGGGACTCTATCAAGACAGGAAACGTGAAGCCTTCCCTCCGCCCGCAGGTCCATCAGACCTGCATTGAGCACGTCATACATGTAATCCCGAGCCGACTCAGAGATTGCGCCGGAAGCGTTCCACCAGGGCCGCGCAGAAACACAGATGACCGAGATACGTGTGCGAGCAAGACGCCCAGTAGACAGGCTGTCTGCAAGGTCTCCCAGCTCGGTGTGCTCCAGCGTCGTCGGTGTGGCCGTCAGCGTCAGATCGACCAGCTTGGGCGAGTCTATCTGGCGCAGGATGGCCGGGAGGGTCTGTAGATCGTCCACGTCGAGATGGAGGCTGCGCAGCGACGACAGGCCGGAGAGGCCGCCTTGTGCAGAGAAGTGCGCTGTCCGATGTCGATTGGATGGTGCACAGCAGAAAGGTCATCGTAAAACTCACCTTTCCGCATTGGATAGTATGCCTGCCATGGCGAGGACAAACACTCAAACTTGAGATACAGGCGCTCCAATGTCGCTGCGCAGGACCGCAGGAAAGGGAGCACTAGGTCCACATGCGCGTTGTGTGTGATTGTGCCGAGTGAGAGTTCTCGAAGTTGCAGCGACTGGAAGGGTGGGCCCGGAAGGTAGGTATGGAAGTGAGCCGGTTGGAAGGTAAGCCTGAGACTCCTCAATGATGTCAGTGCTGGTTTCTGCGCATCTGGCGGAGTCAAGGGATTGGGCCTTGACTTGGTAGGAGGAACGTTGCATGAGTAGTGGATTGAGAGATCCTGGAGCGACGTCGCTGCGATGAGAAGGTTGGCTAAGGACGAACACGGCATGGCCGGTACTTTGCCTGAGAAGGACAGCTTGAGAGATATCACCCGCTGGCAAAGAATGGCGAGGCCGCGGCGAGATTCCAGAGAGAGCCTCTCCCATGACAAGTCAGAGATGTAGAGTGTCTTGAGGGCTGTGAGATCGTGCATGCGCATCATCGGTAAGACGGCGTCGAACCATAGTCCCCGGGTCGGCCACAAGCCCAGGGCCGCCTCTTGCCATGGCACGTTCGATGTATATACTGCCCCGTCCTTTTCTGGTGTCAAGCCCTCCAGGCTGATGTTCAGGCGACAGATATATGGGAGAATGGTCGATGTGGGATCGCATAGGAGTGAAGCGGAGCGTGGTTGGGCTTCCTCGCGATGAGGTAGGATAATGACCTCGCGAAAGCGGTGACGACGGGCTGTAGGCGACCAATGTCGGCATACGAGCGAGCAGCTCGTCTGCGTTTCCTCATCGGTGTGGTCCATGATCGCATCCAATAGTTCGATGGGAATCTGGGAGGGATCATGGACATCGCTCATCCTTGGGCTGTCTGCAGATGGGTGGATGTGACTGCGAAACGGATGCTGGCCGACTCGAAAGGCCGGTTCGAATACAGGGAGCGAGGGACGAACCGGGGGATTGTGCTGTATCCCTGAGGCTATCAACGAAGAGTTTCAACTTTCAACGAACTGGAGATCAGTATGGGTAACCGGCAGGACGACGACAGCGTCGAGTCGTCGTCGACGCGACGCGTTCTGTCACAGATCTCGTGACGTTGAATCTCTGTTTGTCGGTGACCGTGACTGTACGCGACGTTCCCCCGCGATACTAAGTATACCATCTGGCGAATTCTAGCAGGAGAAAACAACAGTTCATGATTTACGAGCCCGAGCCTAAGCCACAGTACCTACTGCGTGAAAACAGTTCGAGCGAGTAAGTATGGTGACACGTAACTTCGGACCTGCGAGTGAAGCCAAATCCAAGAAACGATCATCTGTCAGCAAACGAAAGTTAGTGAGTACACACGGAAGGTACATACACACATCGCCGGAATACTCCAGCGATCAATCCTCAGTGGCACCGTGCACGCGCGATGCTGACTTGAATGGGAGAACGGGTCACTTCGTAGTAGTGTTGAATCGCCTCTGGTCGCCAGCCGTGCCTGGAACGCCCCAAAAGCCTCCGGCACAGAGCCATCACGCCCCTTCATCATATCCCACAAATGGCTCCCGCACTCCTCAGCCAGCGCAGGGAGCTCTTTGTCTGCTCTGCATGCGTCGACGAATGGCTGGCGCTCGCTTTCACTCAGAAAGCGGTCCTTCAGCCCGAGGTTCGTCCTCTCCCGGAGGGTGCGCAGCTTCGCACAAACGTCCTTGTGCGGGAATGTGATGTGCTTCCAGGCGCGTTTCTGGCAATTGCGCGAGCAGTAGCGCGGGACGCCGCAGCCAGCGCATCGAGGGAACGTTCGCTGGAAGGAGGCAAACGTCTCGGGGCATTCCGGCGCGCAGCAGCGACGTAGCTTGGAAAGCCAGGCAAAACCCTGCCAAATGTTTTCGATAGGGTCGTCGAAGCTATCGGCTAGTTTCGCGTATGAGAGGAGGATTGACGGATGGTAGACAGTAGTGTCGTCGGGTGATTTGTGAGAGTAAAACATCGCGCCGAAACGGGAGAAGAAGACAGCGAGTCTGTCGAAATGCTCGTCGTCAAAGAGAGTGGTACCCTCTCGGAAGAGCATCAGGTAATTGAGAATGTGGTCGCACACGAAGAGGAGGCCGATGCTCTTCATCGAGCCCTTGTACGGCGCAGCCACGCGAACGAACAGCGAGATGTCGGCCGGATTCCATTCCCCAAGATCATGATGGTTCTGCAAAAGTCCATGATCATGAGGAAGTACATGCCCAGCTGCGTTCTACTTCATAGTCGACAGGCGCCCCCAGTGTCGCCGTGCGCTCCTGGCACAGAGAATTAGCTAGGCCGGTGATTCTCAACGGCATGTCGGGGCGAAACTGAGCGCAGATGAGGAATTATGGATCGGCCGCAGATAGCAAGAAGATCACCGACGAGTGAAAGGCCGTCCTGAAACCTGTCAAGTGGGCACCAGAGAAGGTATCGGCGTAGCCTTTCATTGACTGCTCCACGCCATGGGGAATAAGCTGGCTAGCGGCCACGGGCCACAGCGGACTTCCGGCGTTTTTTTTCGATGCCGTTTGAGGCCGCTCTTGACAGAAATACCGCCAACAGTCTTCGTTTCAACTGCATTGTTGAGTATGCCGGCCAAGTGGCGGACGAGCGCTTGAATGAGATCGTCGAGGGCAAACTGGTGAGCGACCTCAAAGGTATGCAGCGAGCCCAGCATCACCCTCTGATCGCGGCACAACATGCCTAGAGCTGAGCATGAGCATCTCTCCAAGGAGGCCCCGAGTTCCTCTTCGTCCTGAGTCGAGCGTGGCTGGCTCAGGAAGGCAGCACATGCACTCAAATACTCAGGGCCTCAGGGTATGTCTTGCGGAGGTGCTCGTAGTGCTCGTCGTCGGGTCTGTAGTAGCGCTCGAGTGGCGCGAAGCGGTCGTCTTTGCTATTCCGTCTCCTAGCAGCCTAAGAAACCTTTGAGTGGGGAGGACTAGCTATTCCCGTCCAATAGGTGGAGGCAGCCGCAGAGTGCTCTAGCGCAGCCCTTTGGACGCGCCGGGTCCTTCATGCAAGATGTGAAAAGCTGGGCGACAATGTCGATCTCCAACATCGCCTCAATCCTTCAGAGCAGCCGTCACGAATGTATCATCATGTTAGTCCCGCATTGTCCATTCACGTAGCGCGAAGTCGACTTACGTTTGAACAAGACAAAGGAGGAGGCAGAAAGGATCGATGGCTGGAATTCATAGCGACCACTTCACGGCGTGGTGGCGTGGGACCGTGACAGCGTACATCGCAGTGGTGGCGCAATGGCGCGGCAGCGCTGCAGTGCGCGTCCTGGGCCGGGTCGAGGTTGGTCGAAATTCGAGGGCTTCGTGCAATGCGCTTCGACTCATCAGTGAGTTACAGTAACAAGGAAGTGAGCAGTATTCATTGTGTTACACGGCATATCCGTAATATGACATTAATTGCTAAGGTTGAGCTCAGACCTAGCCCCCCCTACCCTTCCCGCGTTTTTCGAGCTGGCGCTGCAGAGCCCTGACATCCCTATCCTGCGCGTAATCAAGCTCAGCCTTCGCCCTCCATGCCTTCCAATCGTCTTGCGGATTGTCGTACTCCGACAACCCAGCCAACTTACGAAGACCCCAGAACAAGGGCGCGTACGTGTCTTCGTTGCCGACGTTCTCCTCCAGACAGAAGACCAGTCGATGGTTGATGCGCCCACTGCGGACGCACGCGGCAAGGTCTTTTCGTCCCACCCTCTCCAAGGCGGAAGCGAACAGAGCCTCATCCGCCGAAAGCTCGTTCCTACCGTCGTAGAACTCTCCGACGTCGAGCAGGAAGAGGGGTGCGCAGAACGCGAAATCCATGGGCATCGTCTGGGCCCACTCCCAGTCAATGACGCTCACGATGTTGAGCGACTGGTCCACGAAGATGTGATCGCCTTGTCGTCCATATGCTTGAGATAGAACTCGGCATGGCTCCGGATCTCTCCGGTAAGATCGCGGCATGACGTCGAGGAGGTATCGGTAGACAAGCAGAGGGACAGTCGGACTGTCAACGTAGAGTTCCTCGTTCAGGATGTTGTCGATCTGGCGCTTCGCGAATGCCGTGTACATGTCGAGCGCAGACCTGTACGGGCCTAGGAGATGCAGTTCCCCGCTCTCGCTCCTGGTGGCTGTTCTTTCATGAACGAGCGGCCCGATCTGGGACGAACCGGGCTGCCTGATACACCCGATGGCAGGGAGAGGGTGCGTCGCCAGTTCAGCCTGTATGCCTGCGAACTGCTCCAAGATCTTCCGCTTTCCGGCGTCATCTAGGTCGTACCAGTCGAGGGACGGCCGTCCACTTTCTCCATGAGTATGTACCCAACGCCGACATCGTTCCCGGGGCCCTCGCCGAAACGTCAAACACCTTCGGCACGGGTACGGAAGTGGTGGATAGGAACTTGAGCGTGGCAGCCTCGCTGAGAGGACCCGATTCGGATATCGAGGGTGGGGACTCCGCGTTTTGTCGCTGGACGCGACACAGCCATGATACCCCGTCGGCAAACAGGACCTCAATGTGATAGTTCTGGCCTCCCATCTGCTTTGGATGACGTCCGCTGAGAAAGCTTCGACCGGAATTGTGCACGAACCCCTCCTCTCAGCGTACTCGCCCTGGCCTGTAGTGCGGTCAGGTTGAGACGAGTGGCATGGCCGCCATCTCTTCCCCGCGGCTCGCGCATTTCTTGCTCCCAACGTTCAGGATCAGTCTGCAGAGTCGATCAATGCATAGCGCGCATTGCAGTCGATGGACTCACAGAAACCAGGGGGCATCGGTGATGGTCCTCTCCTAGGTGTGTGGCGCAGATGTGGCGGTTACACAGAATGCATGCGCGTCCGCGTACCGCTGGTCGCTTGCAACCAGACGGATCACAATGTGAAGAGGCATCACCGTCTGTGTATTGTCAAACTCTGGGGGGCATACGAATTAGTGGGCTCGTCCATGATGAATGAGATATATGGTGACTCACGGCTAAGCAGGAGCTATGGAGGGGAGGGTGATGTTGAGGAGTGAGTGGCGTACCGGTACTACCGGAGGACAGATTGGGGATAAGGATTGATGGAAGAACAAGGCGTTCGCACCCTACCTCCGCATCCTGAGGATACGCCAAGACGATCACACGTGTACCGGTGAGTCGATGTGGTTCACCGTGCGGGTACGCTGCCGCTGTTCCGGCGAATGGTTAGCGACTCGAACATGGGTCCCAAGACCGCAGAGAATGGAAGCTGATCCAACAGTCAGTAGCATGTTAACGTTCTGAACGCGCGCGCGCCGTGCTACTGCACGCGGCATTTGCCGTGTGGTCATGCTAGTACATATTAGAGTGAGGCCACTGTGTAGATGAGCGTAGATTTCTTCTGAAGCCTCACCAATACTTGTTGTTCGGAATGGTGCCCTAGACCATGATTTGACGATTTGACAAACTCTGTTCGCCGTTACTGCTATCCGAGAACCATGGACGACTGGGTCAGCGGGCTGCCAGTGCATCATGATATAGAGGAAGACTATGCGGTGCAGTTGCGCACTCAGGCACTGACAGTGTAAGCCGAGAGAAAATAGCATTGAAATGCATCTTGACCAGTCAATAGATCAGGATGACTTGCCTTCGGCGTCGGTAAGCGTTGCTGAACCCTTAGTATTTGTCATGGGCCCGATGTCTGAACAGTGGAAAATCTGCGGGTGGCACTCCTCGAGGCCTCACGCCAGCCTGGGTACAGCAAGTTATATATGATAAGCGACTCCTTTAGCATGTTACACGCTGTCGGCAAGCCTCGTCCCTGCGTTTTTGCAGGGAGCGTCAGGCGTCGTAACTTGCGAACGACTACACCTTCCAAACTGGCAATACACCTCTCCGGTCCTCCCGGCCACCGTCGTCCTCAGGCTCACCACTACTTACGCCTCAGCCATCCTCCTAGCCCACAGCGGCCACACCATGGGTGCGAACCAGTCGACGCCCCAAACAGACGAGAAGGTCTTCCCCGCGGAGACCCCCATCCAGGTCAGTCGCCCGCCACCTCACCTCGCCCTCACTGACACTGACACCCGGCCCCGCAGTTCTCGCAGGATGTCGTGAACCAGCTCGCGGACCACATGGCCGCGCCCGACCCGCCGCCCGAGCGGCAGTCGAGCATCGACGCGCAGATCCGCGCGCGCATCCAGTCCGAGCTCGCGCGGCTCCGCGCGGAGGAGGAGGCCGTCGGCGCGGAGATCGAGCATGCCTCGAGAAGGAGAACCTCGACCGCGAGCGCGCCATGGCGGCGCGGAGGAGGCGGGTGAGGGGACGGGGGCGGTCAAGAGCAGCGCGGCGTTGATGGGCGACTTGGAGGAGCTGAGGAGTAAGGTCGACCGCTTCAAGGCGAGGAGGGAGGTGGAGGGGTATGCGCAGGTGCAGCAGAAGGGAGAGGCGGTCGTCTCGTGTTACAAGTGAGTGTGGTCTTGGTTTGAACGGCGGTGTGTATTGAACTGGCGTTCGTGCAGAAACAGCCCATCACGAGCCTTGGACTGTTGGCGGCAAGTCAACGAGTTCAAGGCCTCTGTCTCTGAGCTAGAAGAGGTGTGTCGATTCATCCCTCCGCTCCTTCCCGTCGCTGACGGCCATGCAGCAATACGTGCACTCACTACACTAGCATGCAGATATACATTTGCATAGATTGCGTCCCACTACGCACTACATGACATTGCCACAGCGTGAGCCCGAAAGGCATTACAACATCGCATACAACAGCAACGTCAACAAAACCCAATGTAAACCAAGAAAAGCAAAAACACAACATTACCGCTACACAGCCCAAAAGGTATACACTACATCGTATCATCAGCTCGTGAAAGGTCCAGGCAGCTCTACCTGTTCAACGTCTAGTGTCTCAGTCCAGTCAGTAGTAGCTCGCTAACCCTCGTTGCTCTCTTCGCCCCCAAACGCGTACCCGACGTGCTCGTCCGCTTCTGCTTCCGCTTCCGCGTCCACCTGCGAATACGCCGAGGCAGCGCTCATCGTCGACAGCCGGCTCTGCTCCAGGTCGTCCACCGCGCGGCTGCGCCTGTTCAACGGAAGGTAGTTGCCGAGCCACGACCGGCGCGGGTCCATGTGCCCCAGCGCGGCCATCACGAGGCTCGTCGACACCCGCTTCTGCCGCTCCTCTCCGCTCTCGGTCGAGTAGGCTGACATGGAGCTCGCTGCGGAGACCTTGTGCGTCACCTGCCGCTTGAGGAAGGGCTGCACGGGCGAGGAGGACGTCGGGCTTGGGGATTGGGTGGGACTTGGCCGGGTGGACTGCGCAGGTTGCGCGGGGTAGCGAGTGGTGCTGGCTTGCTTGACTGCGTGGGGAAGGGTGTCGCTGCGTCTTGAGATGGTCGGCGGGCTGGCTTCGGCGGGGGGTCACGAGACAGTCGGCGGGGGCGCGGGGGCGCCGCAGAATCCTTGAAAGGGCTTTGCGGAGGCGTTGCCGGGCGCGATGAAGGTGTCCTCGACACAGCCAACAGCGGTGCCTGCTCGTTCCGCGAGTTCGCGCGACCGAGGGGGCTAGGGCGGACGGGCTTGTGCGGATTGACAGGTCCCTTGGACGGCGGTGCTGAAGGCTCTGCTGTTACCCTGTGAGCGGTCGTGAACATGCTCGTAGCTTGACACGCACCAGGCTGAGCCGTCTTCTCGGATGGGTCCTCCTTCAAGTCGCGCACCGTGCCCTTGAGGGTGGACGCCGCCGACGCGGGCGTGCTGACGAAGGAGACCTTCTTTTCGCGCCGCGAGGTGCGGGAGGAGTGGGGGAGGGAGGTGAACGAGTTAGAGGATGCATTCCGGCGGGTGTTCTCCCGGACCTGCAGCCTTGCCAGCTGTGCAGACGTTCAGTACTCGCCAGATAGATAGTCAACAATGTCCAGACAGACCACCACGTGGAGGGTCCGGTACAACCAGTCCATGGATCCCTGCCCACGTATGTTTGGTGGATTCAACGGCCCTAACTGCCATCCACGGTAGTCTGTCCGGATGTATACGAACGAGACACGCACCGTTTCCTGCCGCTCCTTCAACGTCTTGCGCTTTATGCACTTGCCCCACCACACCCAAGCGACCACGATCGCCACAGCAAGGACGACACCGCCCGCTGCCCCGCCTGCGATCGGTGCGACCGGGACTGAGGACTTTGTGCTCTGCGTCACGGCTGTCGCGAGGGGGGCACCCGAGTAGCTCGTGGTGGTGATGACCTCGACCACAGAGTTGCTGACGGTCTCGGTGACATAGGTGGTGATGGCGGTGGGGTAGCTGGCTGAGGAGCTGGCCTGCAGGTCACCGGTCGGCTGTGACGAAGCAGAATCCGCGTCGGTGGGGGTTGCGCTCATCCGAACGAGTGAAGGCAGTTAGAGGCAGATCTGCGGGACAGAGAGAGTCGTGTATGGTCAAGAGGACTTTGCAAACGAAGGGAGGGTGGAAGAGAAGGAAAACATGCAAGTCGCTCTCACAGTTGGCGTGCCTCGTGCCGTCCGGATCCTCCTCGGCCTACATTCGCCCACCGTCACCTGCCCTCCACGCCATCCTTAAGCTTCTCCTCTCTCCCCATCCCTATTCATCCCACTGTATGGCCAGCACAGCGTTGCGCGCGAACATGTGGGCATGCTGCTCAGAGGCAGGTTGCGACCGCGCCGATCACACTGAGTTCGTCCACTGTGACCCTCTGTATAGACGAGTCCACTGCCTCCCTCGAGCGTGGCTGTCAATAAATATGTCATGATCTATGCAGAATTGAAGCTTGTCCTGGGTGCCTCTGCCACCTATGCTACGTACGATGTACTCGACACCGAACATCTTGCTACTGCATCACATATCATACACTCCCAGTGTCAATGCTGTCGTACTGAGACAAGTCCAAGGAAGCAACAGGTGCACGCGCGATTCATCGTGAGGTTCACTGCAACAGCGAGCAATAAGGCTATTAGACAACACTACAATGAATCTTGGCGTCGCAGTATAGATCATAGAGCAAGCGATACAGTAACACAAAGCAATTTACATACACAGGCCTACTACGCAGCCGCGTCCTCCGCCTCCGCTAGAGCAGCCTCGTTCAACGCCTCCGCCTCCGCCATCATCTTCTCCTCCAGCACAGCCACCCGTGCCTGCGATTCCCTGCGCTCCGTCTCCAATTCCGCATACCGCTCCTGCAACGACCGCTCGCGCCTCTCCAGCTTCTCCACCTCCTCCTTCAGCGCAGACACCCGGACCGGGCCCATCGCGCCCTCGTTCGTCTGCAACCGCACGAAGCTGTCGCAGTCCACCTTCACCTTCTGCATCTCCTCAAACGCGTCCCCGATCCGCTTCGTGAGCGCCTTCGACCGTGCCTGGTAGCCGCCCAGAGTGACGTTCAGCTTCTTCTCCGCCTTCGCCGCCTTGCTCGCCTCCTTCGCCATGTCCTGCCGCGACTCGTCCAGCAGCGCGGTGTACCCGGCTATCCGCGCCGCCTCCGTGAGCTTCTCGGGCTCGATCCACGTCTTTGAGCTGGCGTCGTACGCGAGCTGCTGCCGGATGTGCGCCCACGAGAGCGTCTCGTCCACTTCGTCTTGACCGGAGATCGCCAAGACGCCCTGTCTGAGCTGTTCCTCGTTCGCGCCCGGATATCCAAGTGCCGCAGCGAGCTCGTCCCGGACAGCCGACTTGGCAAAGTCCATCGCGTCGTCCGGTGGCAGTTCGTACGCTGACCGTGTGCCGCCAGGGTGTGCTGTGCCAGGGAGAGGATGTGCGAGCGCGTCGTGCTGCAGAAGCCTTGCCAGCTCTTCATGCACGAACTTCTCCGCATCCGCGAACTGGCTCGGCTCCTCGTCGAGCGACAAGTCTGCAGGAGCCGCTCGACGTCCACATTGCGGGGCGCGGTAGACCACGCTGAACCGCCTGCGACCTTCTCGCCAGAGCCTTCCTCTCCTCCTCTTCCCGCATCCTCCTCAGCCGCGCATCCCGATCCCCCGCGTCCTCCTCGGCGAGCGCGCGCGCCTCCGCTTCCTCCTCCGTCTCTTCCTCGTCTGGCACGAGCAGCTCGAAGTTGTTTTCGGGCTTCGGCAGGCTCATGAAACCCGCCTTGAGCGCGCGCTTCGCGGATGTCATGCGCATCCGCTGGTCCCGCGGCGTGTCACCCACGGATGAGTACTGCTCGCCGTTGATGCTCAGCGTATCCCGCATTGGTGTGCGCATCAGCGCAGAGCCCGGTGTCGCTGCGACTTCGCGTGGCGTGGCGGCGCCGTCGGTGCCGCCAGCATGCAAGGCGTCGCAAGGGGATTGGGCGTGAACGCGACTTGGTGTCGTGGCGTCGCGCCTTCGAAGCCGGTGCCTCCGGTGGGGTCTGCGTGGATGGGTGTATTCTCGTCGCCAAGCAGAGGCGTCTGGGCGGCCATCATATTGCGTAGATTCCGGGCCTCGGACATGACATTGTCGTCTGCGGTGCTCCGATGTCAGGAAGTAACAGGCGTGTGGTGAAAACTGAGACGTACGTTGTACCTGTGTTCTCGGTGTCCGCGCCATACGTGCCCTCTCCAGACCCTCGAATTCGCTCAGTAACCTATTGCTCGCATCGCTGCCACCAGCAACCAACGCTTTTGCCTGCTCGCCCGCCTGCCCAATCTTGACGATATCCTCCAGCTCCGCCTCGCCCACCTGCGCAGCAGGCAACACAAGCTTGCGCCTCCGCCCCATCGACTCCGCCTCCTTCAGCTTCTGGATTTGCGCATCACGCGCGGCGACAAACTTGGTTTGGTGGGGCGCTCCGCCGCCACCCTCTTTGTCCTTTGCCTGTCGCTGCCGCTTGCGACGCTCCTCCTCCTGGTCGTCCGCTTTGCGCTTGCCTTCGAGGCGGCGGAGGCTCTGCCCAACGGGTGCGGTCGTCTCACGGGCTTGCTCGTCGGCGGTGTCGTAGAAACCGGGCGCAGCCTTCTTTTCGAACGGGATGTCCGCGTTGTAGTCCATACCCTTTCGCTTTGTCTTGTGTCGCATGCTATGGGGCAATGTCAATGTTGAGTAATGCGGAAGAGATAGCACACGCACATGATGCCAGCTGCCTTCAGCTCTCGCTTCTTCTGCAGCACCGCCAATCGCCGAGCCTCCTCCAACTGACGTTCACGAGCCTTCCGCTTTGCCTTCTTACCTTGCGTGTTGGCCAAACGAGCACGGGCTTCCGACAACATCTCCTTCTCTGTGCAGGGCATCAATATCTGTAAGTTGAGACTACCCGTATCGAGCTCACCGTCCTCATCCATGTCAATTGGGTCAGGCCGCGCAGGCTTCGTCTCCGGGTCAGGGTCGATCTCTCCCGGCCTTAGCTTCCTCACGTCGTCCGCACTCGGCCCCGCCTCCTCTCCCGGGCCAGCCAGACCAAGCTCCTCGTGTTCCTTCGTCTCCGCCTCGTCAAGCAGCTTTGGTACCGTCGAGGCACTGCGTCGCAGTGCGGCCGACGATCGGCGCTATTGTGCGCCATTGGGTGGGCATGAGCTTGGCGAGGTGCAGCAGCTTTTCGTCCTCGGTCTTGGACCATTCTGTTTTCTTGATGGAGGGGTCGAGCCATTCGTACCACCGGGCCTTGCACTGCTTGGGGGTCTTCCGAACGAGCAGCGAGGATATGCGGGCCCTGCGGTGAAGTGTGTGAGGCAACTGGGAGGGAGTCGAGCGCGGTAGACTCACCATTGGTTCTTCCCGTACTTTGCGATGGCGGCCTTGAGCACCTCATCTTCGGTGTTCTGAGAAACATTGTTAACACGCCTGCGCCAGTCGAACAATGGACGTACGCACTTTCCAAACACCTACCAGTCGCGACACAAGCGTGTATCAGCGGCTGTCCTCGTCCAGCACATGACATCTGTTTACGCACCTCCTTTATGATTATGCGGACCATAATGGAGACTAGGATGAGAAGGAAAGGAGGAGACACCGGCAGCAACGACTTGGTCGAATGCTGGAATCGGTAAGCGGTCCAAGCGCTCGCCGCCGCCACGTTTCCAAGCGGAGCTCGAACTGTTTGCCTCTATGGGCGTGCTTGCGTAAGAGATCAGATTCAGATCTGTGGCAGATCCAGGTCATCGTTCAAGTTACTCTTCTCCAACTCTTCCACTTGGATCGCTTCCCTTTGCGTCGTCGTCGTTCACTAATCGCTCATACACGTCGCCAATTATATGTGTACACACATTATGATGACTTTGCAGAACGCGCCTTACAGCCGGTGTGTCTTCGGGACACAGCTTGAAAAACGACCAATATCATGTTCATACTATTTAACGTGAGTGGGTCTTTATGACCATGTGCGACCGCTCTTCTCATGCAAAAAAAATAACAATGAAGGTATGCCTACTAGAGATCATTCTGTGTTTCCTTCCTCCAGGTCTTTATCCGACAGAAACTCGCAAGAGGACGCACCGCGCGGAGGGTCTGGACTCTGGAATCGCGACTACCTCAAGTCATCATTTGTGACATTACTTCACATCTATGCACATCGGCAACTCTGTTGTGCTCACACTCTACGACCTCAGTGCCTGTGCACCGTATGATATCAGTGGTTTGACTTCATCAAATCTTGAGGGTTACCTTACACGCCCTCGGTGATCCTCGCCGACTCGGAGGTGCCATAGCCTTGGGATCCGAGCGGCCATCTACTAACAGTAGCTCCGTCGCAGTATCATTGCCCCCGGGTTCAGCGGCGATTGAAGCCAAGCAGCGCCAACTCAACCCACATAACACCGACCGCTAGACGCATTACAGAGATGAACAGTCCTGACTGGCAGGCACCGGTAAGTAAGCTCTGCGAAGAGGCCGCGAACGTATGTATCATTCCCGGTTCCGTTTCAAGTACGAGGTAACGCCATACCGTACCCCGGTCCAGCGTATGTCGGGCGGCATTGAGTAGACGGCGCTGCGATGGCCATCTTCTCCCTCGAAGCGGTGTGGATCTGATTACCGGCGAGTGTCTGTATGTGCGTCCTCCTTGCTGTCTGAATAGTAGGTTATGGCTTACACAGTGGCAACCCATTCCGCACAACGTGTTCCATAGCGCTGACAATTCTCATGTAGGCATAGGGAATTGGATTGGAATCCGCACGGCTCCGCGTCTTGGACCGTCGTTCCGTTCACAGCCGCGTCGCGGAACTTCTGTGTCCAAGTTCTCGAGGCAATGACCTTCGTCGTGTGATTCGGAAGCCTTCGCGGGTGCGGGTCCCAATACGCCACCACGCACTTGGGAAGAAGGGCAACTACCTAGGTTACCGCGGTGAACTCCTAATGTTTGTAAGCACACTCGACTCCGTGATAACGAGTTTCTTGTTCGGCGTGGGTAATGTGATATCAACAGACTCAAAGTTTAGCGGAAGGTCTCGGGCATCACTGCAACCGCACCGCAGTGCATCCAACCTTCTTTCGACCGCGCGCCAGGCTGTCGTTCCGCCTCAAGTGCTTTGGGATGTAGTCAGATGCGAGCGTGCTTCCGGCAGAGCTGCGCGTGATGGCGACGGCATGGACTGCCCAGTCTGTGGACTTACAGTGAGCAGATTCCTGCTGTATGATGCGGTCGAACCGACGCACAGGTAAGTACCTTAGGTAGTGCTGCGCGATGAGGCGGTGCGCAAGTCACCGCGTACCGGTGGGCTGCCCGAGCATATGGCATCGACAATACGGCTAACGCCGCACTCTTGATATCTTGATATCAGGGTTGGTGGTGTCCCTCACAAAGGCGTCTTTCTCCGAAAGATGCTATGAAAAACCTGCCCGGCGCCGCATGGTGGCCGGGTCGTGACATATGCACATAGACGTTCGGGTGCAGAACGGGTAAATCTGGTTATTCATCCGGTTAGATTGCCTCGTTGACGATGAACGAGCGGTGAATTCGTCTATGCAACCAATACAGACTACATCTGGTCATCATTGTATCGGAACCCTGATGTCATCTCAGGGTGTACCCTCGGCGGTTGGGTCTTGTATCCTACTTTCAGACAGGAAACGTGGTGATATGTAGCCACCCCGCGCAGAGCAGACACTCAGGACATCTTCGGAGCACAAGGACATGGTGACCGGTAGTGCCAGTGTCCGGTCTGTCCTTCTGGCATCTGTCTGAGGCGTGCGGCGTGCGGTGTGGGACACCGTGCTTCGCGGTCATGGTACGCGGGCTTCGCTATGGGATCCTTCCGCCACTATGACGCTCAACGCGTTCTCTGTCGCCCTGCGATCCGGCGGCAGGAGCGCTGGGCTGTTTCCTGCGGTTGCTCACGCGGGGGCTGACGTTGCGTCGCTAAGTAGGACGTCCACAACGTGCGAGCCATCAGCCATGTCTCCATTCTGCATGGCCCGTTATGGTCGCGCGAGGACAGGCTTGGGAACGGTGCAGCGCTTGCGCGGTTCTATCTCCCGGAAGTCCGCCTTGGCCATTTGCCACAACGATGGACTCTATTGGGACGGCCCACATGTGCGTCCGCCCCGCCGCAGGCCGTGCGCCGGAGGCTGGGTTATCGCACATATTCACTTGGCCAGGGCCTGGTCGGACAGAGGCCGGACGCTGTTTGGCTAGACTCTGTCATGCCTGTCGTTCACCATCAGCGTGGACAAAAGGGGCCAGGGGGTGCGAGCGATGAGCCGATAGAAGTTAATATGGGAGCAGTTATCTATGCGGCGCGCCTTCGTTGAGTACGGCGTTGCAGTGCGAGTGTGGCCGCAGCTATTCTGGCCTTCAACTTTACGAGATGCGCTCGTCATTCGGTGGGTTTTGTTATTCGGGGTGAATTCGGCGGGGGGGGGGGGCACAGGCTGGGGTTTAGACGGAGTCAGTTGCTAAATGATCTACTCTGAGATGACCGTGTAAAATGGAGGCGTTGTTGTTGTTGGGCAGCTGCCGTTCGAGCGCCATCTCGGCATATCATCCGCCAGGCTAGCCTCCGGCATCATCAGACGCTGATGAGGCTCTACCCGCGTAGGTGAGATAGGCAGCCATACCTGGTCTGAGCGCACGGACATGCTCGCGCCACCACAAGGCGCGCGGTGGACGGACGGAGGCAAAAGAGGGAGAGGAGCCGCCAAACGACAGTGGACAGAGGTGAGTTACCGGAAGACGCCGGACATACGGGGCCGCCAATATCGTGGGAACTGTGCATTGTAAATGGAACTCCGGCACGCCAATCTGTCAGATTCCGCGTTCGGGAATCAACCGTGCTCCCGCGCCTCCCGGCACTTGCGCCAGGCGCACGCCAAGCCGCCGGTTATTTTGCACTGCTTTGTGGCTCTTGCAGCCCGTGCATAGACTGTTGCGCAGGTTGCGGCGGTCGTGCGAAGGACGGGTTCACGACAAATGCGAGCATTCGTGCGGACGAGCTCGGGAGCGACGGAGACAGATAGCGAGGTGATTTTGACTGGCGACGGGAGGGCGTCACTGGCTCTGGCGTGGGGCGCGCGGGGTGTCTGGGACGGGCGAGCAGTGGCTGGTATCAGCGGAGGCACTGTCAGCTGGTGCACGCATTAGAGAGCAAGGAGCGCAGCTGCCAGCCGGAGGCGAAGTAGCCGGAGACGTCCCGAAGAGGCAACTCGCCGGCGGCCTGCTGGGTTGGTAGGCCGGCGCCTGCGTCGGAAAGCCTATAGAGATAGCCGAGGCCCCGACGCCCGGCCGGGGACTCCGGATAGCTCCTTAGGGCGGGCTACTTCCGCCTCTCATCCATTCATCACCCTTCTTCCTCTCACCACCTCCTCGTCCCTCATAACCCCCGCACGTCTCGCCGACCGCCTCTCTCCCCCTCCTCGTCGTTCCAGCCGCCGCACAGCCCAGGCGCGACCCGACGGGTTCATATCTCAGGTCGCTATCGCCGGCGGTGATTGATTACCGTTAGCCTCGAGTCGGCCTTCATACAATCCACATGGACCAGCAGCCCCCGTCCCCCCTTCAGCAGCCCGCCCACGGCGAGCAAACCGTCTCTCTGTCCGATGATAAGCCTCCGTAGGTACTGCTACTCACGTCGGGCGCATCTGCTCACCGCCTGGAAAATCGCCGGTCTACAGCGCCAAGCCGCCCGTCGTAAGAGGCGCGAGGGCCTGCACCGTATGCAGAGCCGCAAAGGTAACCACCGTCGAGCCTTCTCCATGAGCGCGTTGACGACGATGCTGTGAAGATGAAATGCGTCGGTGCCGACGATGGCAACAACATTCCCTGTCAGCGCTGCAAGCGCTCTGGTGCAGAGTAGGTTCTCCCACAGCGCATCCCTTGTATCCAGCGCAAACGTTTCACAGATGCATCTTCGAGAAACACCGTCGCGGTCGGAAGCCCGGTTCAAGGTAGATCTGCGCTCGGTATATGCGCCCTCTTACTGAGATGCCGTTTACGTAGACTATCGGAGGCGTCCAAAATGCTCCGACGACTGGAAAAGGGTCTCAACAGCGCAAAACAGAAGTCGAACATCAACGACAGCTTGACCCTTCCCCCGCTCGTCGGGCCTTCATCAGCTGATGCTCGCTTCCGAGATAATGGCGGCCCCAGCGGTTCCCACTACACGGGGCCAGAATTGCCTCCGCTGAACCTTCCTTCTCATATCCAGGACGGTTATGCGAGGTCCACCCAGACCTCTGACTCGGAGATGGACGAGGACGACGAAGACGACCAAAAGGACGGCGGTATGTATCCAGCCCGCGTCATCAAGCAGAATTCGCGCAATTCGTCGTTCTTCAAGACCATCCTCAACCCTGCGACGAGACTCCCGTGGCTCGGTCGTCGGGCGCCTCAGAGCGTTCGTTTTCTCAGCACCCGCCATCGCCGCACGCGTCCTCTCGGCCGTCGACTTCAGTGGCATCGCTCTTTGCAGATGGTCCGACGCTGAAGGACCCCGTCGAGGCAGGTCTTCTAGCAGAGGAGGAAGTTGAAAAGCTCTGGGACATGTTCTATATCCGCCTCAATCCCTTCATCAACCTATTTGACCCCGCCCTCCACACCTACGCGTATGTCCGCGGCAAGTGCCCGTTTCTCTTCACGGCGTTCATCATGGCCTGCTGCAAGTTCTTCAAGCCGGAGATGTACCAGCCGGTGCTGCGGCTCGCGCACCAGTATGCCGTGCGCGCCTTCGCGGAGAACTGGAAGCGTGTCGAGGTCGTGCAGGCTTTCGCGTGCATGACATACTGGAAGGAGCCGGACGACCCGCGCACGTGGACGTACATCGGGTACGCGTGCCGCATGGCAATCGAGCTAGGGCTCAATCGCTACGTCGGGCGGGGGCTTACGGGCGAGAACGACATGCAAAGGCGGGAGCGCCGCAACCGCGAGCGGACGTACCTTGTGCTATGGGTGCACGACCGCAGCCTGAGCATGCAGACGGGAAAGCATTGGATGCTTCCGAAGGACGACGAGCTGGTGAGGCACTCGGGGACGTGGCACTCGGAGGGTGGGAGCCAGACCCGCCAGGAGGACGTCATCGTGTCCGCGTTCACGCAGCTCCGGGGCATCGCTGCGAATACGACGGACGTGTTCAACATGGCGCAGGGCGGGTCGGCGTCGAGTGGAGATGACGTTGACTATGAGGTCCTTCTACGCGACTGCAACTGCAAGCTGAACCAGTGGGTGCAAACTTGGTGCGAGGAGATGAAGGGAGGTAAGCATGTCCGCTTTCTGTCAGACTCGATGAAACATCGCTCACACTCTTGACAGCGGGTGGCTCACGATTCCACCTCTCGATGCTCATGTTCTTCCAGCTGCACGTGCGGCTGTTCCTCAACACCTTCGGGATCCACTCGAACAGCTCGTCCGGCTCTTCGTGCAACGTCGAGGCGCTCAACGCCTGTCACACCGCAGCGATGTCGGGTCTCAAAATCGTCGCGCAAGACTTTGTCGACTTGCAAATGCTGCGGTACGGACAGGACTCGATCACGGTCATGACAGCGTACTCTGCTGTCGTCTTGCTCAAGGTGGGCATCAGCGTCATACAGCCGTCTTTCTGACGCTGACGTAAGTTGGGTTTTGCAGCTGCTTCGTGCTAGCATCTCGCCGTCACTGTCGGATCTCAGAACCAATGCAATGCAAGAGATCCACAACATGATCGGCAAGACTGCGAAGGCGTATCACGACGCCGCACATCTCAGCCAGCAGTCGTACTCCGCAGCGTATCACGACCGCTTCCTGCGGTCGCTCATCGCGAACGACCTCCAGAAGGCGCAGCAGCGGCAGGCGGAGCGCGAGCTGTACTCGCGTGAGATGGCCAGCACCAACGGGCGCGGCGTGCCGTCGTCGTACGTGCCTGCCGGACAACCTCCCACTCGGCGAACGGCTATGGTCAGCAGGTGTACGGGATGCAGGCGAATGGCATCGAGCACCCCCAGGCGCCCCAGCATAGCGGGTACTACTCGCAGTCGCCTGCTGTCTCGTCGGCGTTGACGTCGAGCACCGCCTCTTCGTCGTCCTCCCCGTATACGCATCCCACGGCCTCGTCGTCGTACATGCCGCACCGCGAGCAGGACTACCCGATGTCGGACTCGACGCACCGCGGCGGAGGCATGAGCAACTTCAGCCTGGCGGGGATCTCGACGACGTACGCGCAGTACCAGGCGCAGCCGATGGAGGAGCACGACTCGATATACTGGCGGAACATGTTCAAGGACCTCGGCTTCGACGGCGGCGCAGAGCCGCACCCCCAGGTACAGGCCCACGCCGCGTATGGGAACGGCGGGTACGTGGCACCGGCGGGCGCGATCGCTGAGGCGGGGGCGAGCACGAGCGGGATGCATATGCCGGTGCAGCAAGCCCCGGTGCACCCGCAGCAGTCGCATGGCGGTGTCACGTATCGGGAGGCGCCCGTTGAGTACGCTGGGTACCAGAGCCACGGGGGATACGCTGGGTACGTCACGGGGTACCAGGCTCCCTACGGTCGGTGAGGCCGGCAGCGTTTCCTCGGCGTTCTGTCGTCCGAGTTGCATGGACCTTCTTGGACCGTTCATCGTATCCGACCCCATCCTCCAAGTCGCATCGCCTTCTTGACCTTCACCCCGCCCCGTACTTGCATTTGACCTTCGCCTTCGTTTACCGTCGACCGTGCCCTCCCTTCCTCCTCCCAGTATGTACGCTTGGTCCCCCGTATCTTTGTCCCTCCCCTGTGTTCCCCGCCCGTCGCGCGCACTCGACATGTAAGATAGGCTCCATGTCTGCCTGATATTTCCCGGATGTTTCCCCGATTCTGTGGCGTCGTATATTGGTATTGTAATGTGTGTGTGTGACTTCACCCGTACTCTAGATTCTGCGCAGACCGCACGTCGGTAGTAGTGTAAATTATGACATTCGAAACGACATGTTGATCTTGTACTGGATACATTGGCGTGGTTGCGGATATGCCCCGAGTAGGCGAGCGTTACGTGAGTGCAGGCAAACAACTCATGTGGCTGAGCGAGGACGTGCGCCACCACGCGTCCGGGCAATCTGATCTGATCTAGCACTCGCAGTACCCGATCTGGGCCAATGGATGACGGGAGGAGCGGGATCTCGGGAGGATCTGGGCTCTGGTAGATCGCCGTGCGTTGCATGTGGGCGCTGCCGTCACCGATCGCAGGCCCGACGTGGTCCTCCGGCCATTTGCGGCCTCTTGGAGCCTCCGCGCGGCGTCGGCTACTTGGCTCGTGCTTGTCGCCGGCGCGGGGGCTACACGTAAGGTCGAGCCTAGGATGCCGGGGTGCGTGCGTTGTTGGGCCTTGTGGATGGGGCGCCGTGTCGTGTCGCGCAGGGGCGGGACTGGCGTCGTCGTCCGCGCCGCTCGCTTGCTTGGAACGGGAGTGATGGACGGCGGGCATGGTGCGTTGCTGTTGCTGCTTTGCTGTCATGCTGACTCGCGGGCACGCTTCGTCGGAAAGGTATCCGCGTCTGCGGTCGTCGTCACCGCGGCTGGCGTACGACAGGGAATGCGGACGCATGAGCTGCATTCGGCGTGGCGGCTGGAAACATTCTATGTAGAACCCAGGGGTACGGTAGCCCTGAGTCGTTGAATCGATTCGGATGTGCAGGGATCCGTATTTGGAGCGCAAATCCGACGCAGTCATGTAGATCCTCGTGTTGACCAACTCGTCGTGCGGTGCGCTATCTTCTGTTGATCTTCTTGTGCTTGCGACACTGATCGTTCATCAGTTGAAGGCCGTACATACCAGCTAGTAGAATGACTATGCGTAGTTCTCAGACGAGCCAACAGTGGCGTGACTGGCAGTGACAACGTGTCCAGTGGTGGTGAGTCCATGCTTAGTGCGTTACACAACGCTACCAAGCGCTTTACAGCGTAGCCCGAGAACATGATTGACATGATGCCATACCGCACGCGGCGAGTACGGATTCAGGTCAAGATATGGACGCGCACTCACTTGACCTGTCCATGCAAGTATTCTGCATACGTGCAAACCTTCCGGCCAATGTCGATTCTTCAGACAAGGCGTTTGTGGTTCATTACAAGTAACATCTCCATTCTCAACTGATCTAACCGTGTCAAGATGGGAGCACACAGGAAAGGCGTTATTACAAGAGAGCCACCCTTGCCCGAACCGCCACATATGCCAGCAGTCTATAGATGACCAAGATCACAAGCAAGAGTGCGGTGAACTTTGCTGTGTTCCTATCTTTGAAACCGAATGTCTCGATCAACTGTTCTCCCGTAGCTGCAATAGACGTCAGACCCAGATCATGATCATGCATCGCGGCAAGAGGTTTCACACCTGCAAGGCACTCTCCGGAGGCAAGCTGCTCCTGCGTGCAGTTGAAGACCAAACCGCTGAACTCGTTGATGAAGGCCACACGCCTGCAACAACAGCAATATCGGTGTCAATGCGCCGGATACATTTGCGATATACAGCTTGCTCACGCTTGATAAGTCAGCGCACTACCCCAGGAAATGACTGCGAGCCAGCGAGGAAGCGTGACAGAGATAATCCCACACGTCTGCGCAAGCACTGTCAAGGCGCACGAAACGAGCGATACGGAGAGGCCTCCGTTAATCACCCAGCCTATGGCAGAATGTCAGCGGAATACTGGCAATCCTCGTCTAGCACGACGTACTGGAGAAAATGATCTACAATCGACCATCAGCATCAGCCTTCAAGGTTCAAGCCTCAATTAGCAGATTAACGTACCCCGATGCTTTCTCCAAAGCTGACCAGGCCAAAAATACCAAACGAGAACTCAAAGAACCTCCGCGCGTCGATCTGCAGGCCCATACCCGCCATCATGATGACTGAATATATCTGAGGATCACTGGATCGTCAATCACTCAACATCGATGCAGTGAGATGGGCGGACCATAGCAGCTAGAAATTGCATAGGGACTTCCTGAATCGTGTACGACATGATGAAGGTAGCGGCACTATAACGGGAAGCAGGGTTCTTGTATTCCCTATACATGGTACGTTATAGCCAGCCATGCCTGAGAGCAAGCATCACACACCTGTAGAACGCGTCTCGTTCAGCAGGGTATATAGCAATAGACGCAAGCATCCCTGATGTCTGCTCAGTATTTCTCTCTACCATTGAAAGACATCTATCACTCACCGACAAACGGCATAGCGCTGTTCTCCATCAACAGTCCGATCCTATCCTGTGCACTCGCAGGCCCGTGCCCGAGCCGCAAAAAGAACATCCAAAAGATCAAGACAAGGAATGGAGGATTCGCAAGCCGCGCCACGAAGACGTCCTGTTGTCTCCTCAGGTTCTTCCAGCTGCGACTGAGCACCACCGGCAGCGCATACTCCGACGCGCTCCTCTTTGGCACACCCACCGCATGGCCGCTCGGCGTGGACAACGCATCAGACAAAGGGGCGTCCTCCTCCGCCTTCTTGAGCTCGTGGTCCTTCTGCCACGCTTGGACCAGCGCATCTCGACCCTCTCCACACACAGCATCCACGACCCAGTCCGCGGGGTTCCACCAATCGGGCATCTGAACGCCGCTGACGCCGTCCACCCAGTCGACGACGCCGTTCTTGTCGCCTGCGTACACTACCTTCCCACCTGCGGCGAGCACGACTACGTCGTCCACCTGCGTCCAGACCTCCGAGCGCGGCTGGTGCACAGAGGCTACGACTGTGCGGCCGGAACGCGCGAGCGCACGGAGGGCGTCGATTACCGAGAGCGCGGAAAACGCGTCAAGGCCGGAGGTGGGTTCGTCGGCGAGAAGCACGGAGGGATCTGCGAGCAGCTGGACAGCGAGCGCTAGGCGACGTTTCTCACCACCGCTAATACCCTTGACCGTCTGCGAAGTCATCAGGCAGTGCGCTCGATAGATATCGGGACCGACGAACCTCACCACCGACAACGTGGTCTGCAACAGGCGTGAGGCCCATTGCCCTCATGACATCTTCCGCGCGCTCTCTCTTCGCGGGCTTGGTCATACCGCGCAGCTGAAGCTCCGCAGCGTAGTGCAGGGTCTCTCTAATCTACAGCGCACGGTATCAACGAACCTGCAGGCAACAATACAGAAAATTGACGTACAGTGAGTGCAGGCAAGAGCCATTGGTCGCTCTGCTGCACAAACGCGACCTGCTCACTGTGGCCTGAGGAGGTAGGCCGACCATTGAAGAGGATAGAACCTGCCACAGAGAAGCGTGACGGCGGCAGCTGACCTGCCATCGCCTCCAACAACGAGCTCTATAATGCGAACATCGTCAGCGACCGCGCCGACCCGCAAGAACGCGCATGCCTTTCCCGCACCCGACGGCCCCAGCACGACCGTCAACCGCCCAGGCCTAAACGTCACATCCACACCGTCCAAAATACTCTTACTAGCGGTGCCCAAGAGAAGCCCGCCCTTAACGATGATGCCCATGTCCTTCAGCTCCACGTCGACCCGCTCGCGCGTGGGCGCCTCCACCTCCTCGACCTTCGCGGGTTTCTTAGGCCGCTCTGAAGAGGAGAGTTTGTTCTTCGCGTGCTTCACTCCGCCGGGGTGGTAGAACTGAAGGAGGGCAATCTATATGGGGAGGAGGGAGCTGGTTAGTGAGAGGCAGGTAGGGGAGAGGGAAGAGGGTACACACGGCCATGCCGAGGACGACGAGGATGAAGCCGACTATACCGAGGGGGTAGACCCAGAGGGGTGTGTTGAGGTTGAACCGGAGGCCGACGAGGACATTGTCTCCGATGCACTGATTTCTAAAAAAGACACCGGCAACTGAGACAAGGTAATCGCGTGGTAGAGCAGGGGATTTGTACCGTTGGACGCCTTCGATGCCTGAACACGAGAAGACTCTACCTCGGAATTGGGTGATTGCTGTCCATCTGAAGCCATACTGTGAGACCTCACGCATCAGTGATGCGGGCGATGGGCCATGGGAGATACATACGAAGTACGGCGACAGCCATTTCATCCAACCAATATACGCAGGGAGGTTCACGATCAGGTACCCCGCGCTCAGAAACATGGCGATGGACAATCCATTCGCGATCAGGGATGCCTGAGCAAAATTACGGTCGATGGAGGCCGCTAGGAGGGCATAGGCGAATGAGCCGTGCTGTTGCAGTATGCACTGCATATAATGTGAGCGCGCCTGATGATGCAAATGATGGTAGACGTACATTGCCGATGAATATGAATAGGTTTCTCGCGAGATTATCGTGGCGGAAGCCGCACCTAACAGGAGTTTATGAGCATACGATGTGATCAAATGGAATCTAACAGACTTACATGAAGTAGAGGATTATAGCATATAGGGTTGGTGCGATAATGTTGATGGGCAGGAAGGCGAGCAGATGACTGCACACCCAGGGGAGCACGTCATATAGTCGATCCTAACCCTGTGTAAGCAGTCTTGGACGCATTGAGCCGTATTATCGAAACACACCTCGCGCTCGCGATCAAATACCACGAGCTGCCCGCAGTCTATGTAGATATAGAGTATAAAGGATAAATAGAAGAACATAACGACCCCCTGGTAGTAAACCGTCTTAAGCGTCTGTATGCCGGCGGGGGTCTCGGGCGGATTGAAGAAAGTCAAACCTGAACGACGACGACACCGTCAGCATCAACAGCACCCCTTGTGATTTGCATAATTGAGCGAGAGACCAACCTGCCATGACGCCGATCACAGCAACCTGCAGCAGGAAACCCAGGAGCAGCCCATTATCCCGATACACGTTCTTCATCGCCCGATTAGTCAGTACGACGACCTGCTTGACGAAGCCCGGCCGATTCGATTTCCTCCCCTTGTCCGCGCCCACGTTCACGTCCTCGCCGGCCCCCTTGGTCTCCCCCTTATCGCCCTCCTCGTTCATCTTCTCCCTCTCTGCCCACGCGCTCTTCAGCCGATCCACCCGCGCCTGGCTCGCCCTCTCCGCATCCTCGTCCCGTGAGTCCACCGCGCTCACGTCGATCAAGAAGTCGAGCGGGTTCGTCTGCGGCGGGCACGTGTATCCGAGATCCGCGAACCAGGGGAGGACGTCGCGGCGGAGCCCGGAGTAGACGACGCGCCCGTGCGAGAGGAGGCAGAGCCGGTCGAAGAGCGGGTAGGCGTCGGAGCGCGGCTGGTGGATGGACATGATCACGGTGCGGTTCCGCCGCGCGAGGGAGGACAGCAGGGAAAGGACGGAGAAGGCCGCGGTGGTGTCGAGGCCGGTTGTGCTGTGTGTGAGTGTTGGAGGGTTGGTAGGGAGACGGAGGAAGGCTACTTACGGTTCGTCTAGGATGAGAACGCTTGGTTGCCGTACGAGTACACAGCCAATCGAAAGCCTAATGAATCATTGTCAATATCACGTTTTGAACCGGGATTCAGCCACCCAATGTAGTACGAAACCCGGGATGGATGCGCACGAGACATGGGACTCAGAGAGCTCACCTTCTCCGCTCGCCACCCGAGATACCTTTCTTACCTGACGATCCTCCGCCGACCAGCGTATCCGCTGCTTTCTGTAGACCAAGCTCCCCGATGGTCCTCTCCACTGCCTCATTGTTCCCGCCAGCTGCAAACCGGAGGGTCTCACGAACGGTCAAGCATGAGAGAAGGAGATCGTCCTGTGGCACGAAGCCGATTGCATCTGCCACCTTGATCCTTGTGGCGGAAGTGGGGTGAATGGTGACAGAGCCAGCAAGGGTCTTCAGGCCGCCAGTGCGCCTACCGATTGCATTAAGCAGAGTGGACTTGCCGGACCCACTCGCACCGATTCTGTGCAGATGGCGTCGGTCGGTGAGTAGAGCGCGTTCCGTTACAGCTGTTGTAGAAATGATACACCGCTCGCGCGCGGGGGTGTGTGGCGCGGGGTGATGGCTGGCGAGATGGCCGACGGTTGGCGAAGTCACGCACCCACCGTTGTCGCTCAGATATGTTCTCTAGCTCGACTTTGACATAAGTCTCGCTCACGGCGACCGTCGGCCCAAACCCCAGCTCCACACACACCCCAGTGCAGGCTGGCCTATCGTCTCTACAACAGCTGTAAGCCGACTCCTTCAAGCAGCACTCACATAGCGAGGACCTCTCCGGGCTTGCACTCCAAGCTCACATCTTCCAATAGTAACTGCGGTTCTTGCACAGAATTAGGACCGAGAATACGCCTCGCGATGCCTGGTGGAAGTTCCACAGGGATTGGAAGCGGAAGGGGGACGCCCGGTGGCGGAGCCTGGATGGTCAGCGACTGGACGAGGAGGGTGTAGGAGACGAGGTGGAGGTCATTCGCGCGGTCTTGCTCGTCGCGCGCATTCTGAGTGGCCTCGCTGTCCATAGGCATGCCCACGAATACAGGCTGCTGCAGAGAGGATCGTCACGGAAACAGATGAAGGCGAGGAGGAGGCGCTTGTCTCGAGACTCGTCAAGAGTCTAAGTCGGTTAAGTAGCTCAGGAGTAACCGGGACATTCTTTTCGCGTAGATATACTCCCGTCGGGCAATCTCGATAGGGAAGGCTGGCTGCCGCATCTTGGGCGGCGCTGGGCGGCCATGTGCAGGCTGTGAAGCTTGAAGGGCTCCCGTAACCACTCTCGGCCCCTCGTACATGACAGACGCCTTGCAACATACGGCGCTCGCCGCTCTCACTCGGAAGCCGTCGCAAACGGGTATCACTTGGGACACAATCAGCTCGCACTTGGCTCACAACGTGTACAATAGAACAGGTCCATATCTCACCATAGAACATGCAAGTACCCACAGCTCGGAGCTCTCAAGCGGTGGCCAAGGCTCGATCTCGCCGGGCTGTTCGGTCGAACGTCGGTGAGGCATGTTTGCGGTCCGGAACTTGTCAGTTCACTCATGACAGCAGCAAAGACGGAAGGTACAGCGTCTAGAATACACAGTGGCAAGCGGGGTGATGGACGGGAACAAGAGGCGGTGAGAAAGGAGGTACGAGGGTCTCCGTGTTATATAGCCTATACGGCATCGCCGCGTTTTCTCTGGCAGCGAAGACGACCCTTTCCGGAACGTGCGTTGAATGCAAGTTCTGCCCTTCATCACGAGGCAAAATGCTTCCGTCTCCGTGTGCATTGCTCTGCGCCCAGTGCGCCTGAGGCCAGCTGGAAGGTAAGTGTCGTCACCGCTATTCATGGGAGCCCGCTCGTGCGCCGCTCAATATTCAATATTCAATCTTGGCTCAATCTCATCGTAGCTCGTGTGCTAGGTCTATCTGACTCTGTTCCCCGGGATGAGAGCCATCTGTTCACCAACGATGTGACGCCTACAACAGGATGTGTCGAGGGAGATCCAAGCACTGATTGACACACACCCTATCTCGGCCTCGCGGTATAAGCTTGCATAGCCTATGAACGCTTGAGCATCGATCGAGATCTTCTCCCAAGGCAAATCTCACCACCTGTTTGTAAAGGCAGAGGGTGGGGTGTAGAGCACCGGCATAGAAGCGTTCTCAGAGTATGAAATATGCATGTCTCTGCCCAGTCTATGCCAGGAAAGTTCAGCCCTATTTCTCGCCGTCAGATAATCTGCCGACTCGTCTCTGGACGTTATGAAACCTACTATCTATCTTCTGAGATCGGCCGCCTGAGTCAGTGAGTGTGCACTTGTGTACAGACTCTCGTTGATTACGACGAAACATATGCGGCCGACGCACCAGATGGCAGCAAGTCCGTCGTGCAAGGCGGCACAGGGTCCGTCTAGTCTTCTTGACTCGGAAGCCATATGCTCAGCGCGCGTAGCGTCGACAGAATGGCGTTGACTCCAGTTCACAAAACATCTGTGGGTACCTTAGATTTGTAGGACATGATCGATTCACGGGTGACGAACGTCCAGTGATCTCCAATTTACAGCCATACGCGAAAACTCTGGGGCGTGCACTGACAACTCACCCGTGTAATGAAACGAATGCCTAGATTGCTTCGTTGGTGAGCTTCTGTGTACGGTTTGGTATTATAGATGCAGCCCTTACCTTGCCTCTGAATGCCTGTCATTGTCCATTGCCCTCAGGATGCCCTTGCGACGGTGGCGCGTCCACGGGCAATATCTTCTTCTCCTTCGCGTTCCTGCGACGCACTTCCACGGCTCGTGCTCTCGCTGCCTCCTGAGCCGCTGATCTTCGCTTCGAGCGTGGCTTGGTTCGTGACTTGTATTTCCCTTTACTTGTCATATAAGTAGGTCTCGATGTGCTAAAAGCGACTCGAGTCTTGTGTATTGCCGAGTGCAGTGCCTTGTATAGATCTGAAAAATCACTGTCAGTTCCAGGGCTCAATCAATGATGGTGTAGGACCTTACATTACAGCATACGTGTGTTCCGGACAAGCCAATATTATGCACCGTTGCCTCCGTGCCAGTGCAGCCGTTACGACGACTGGGGAAATGCGTGGCACGCGTTCACGTGATGGATGAAACGCGTCTGTGGCGCGAAGTTCGTGTGCAAGCGTATTTATTTGTAAGTAGTACATACCCGCCTGTGCGATGCCACGATTAAACTTCAACGAGGCAGTCACCCCAACAGCTTGCTACTCTTTATAAGGATGATACTGTATGTCGAATGGATGCTATGGACATTTCATATTGGCCATATCATCTCATCAGAAGCAACTTTTCCCAGTACATTTCTTCTGTTTGTCAAAGCAACAAACTGACAGAGCTCTCACCATGAGATTTTTACATGGATTGACATCTATCACTATGTATACGGAGAGTGTGGAAACTTGTTCTCGACTCGGAGGTCTGGATCCGACGACCGCGATTTTGCGGACAGCCACTCAAAGTAAATAGAGCCAAATAGCCTTCGTGTTGCCTGATCCCGCGTTCTTGTTCAGATTCTTGCATTTCCATCGCACTTTCTGCGTCAGCCTGCTATCAGCCATGGCCGACGTGCGCTACACACACGGAACAGAAGTATACGTGGTGCGCGCATGCTACCACGAAGACGGGACCGACCTACTTGCCGTGGGTGGTGCACATTCGGTGGAGGTTCTAATGGTAGTAAGTGGACGCGTTCATGGTTAATATCCGGACGTTGATTGGATTCAGTTAGACATCAGAGTTGTGCAAATGCATTGCTAGCTTCCACATTGGTACCCGTATCACTGCTCTTGCATGGTCATCCAAAGTCACCTCACCTTCAGTTAGCGACGTCTGGTCAATCGAGTACGCGCCACATTACCTCCGTCCATCCTTCCGTCTGACTGCACTTCGTTTGACAGACTAGCCGCGCTGGAGCCGACCGCGAACTCTTTCTCCTTTCAAAATCGTCCGGGGATGACGAGCACATCTTCCAGTTCGGCGGAGGCATGACTGGCCATCATGGCAAGGTCAACGACATGACCTTCTGCGGAGGACACGGCGAGGAAAGCTCAAGATATTAGCAACAGTGTCAGGTAAGCAGAGTCCCAGCACTCTGTTCGAGAACCCGATCCACGGCGTGCTACACAACGTGTTCTTGGCCACATCAAACAAGTAATGCGTTGTTCGTTGTTTCGTACCACACGGTGGCAGCACGCCACTCCTCTCTTGCTACACCTTCCAAAGACTTTGGAATATGTTCCCCTTGTGCTCGCTTCGCATCAGACATGCAATTTTCACTGAGGTATGCTGTCCTTGCTCCCGATCCTGCTGACCAGTTTGAGCTTGAGGATGTCTTCGTAAATTTGCTGCTAGTGCAGTGGAGGTGATGCGCCTGTGGCTCGCGCGAGCTACAGGGTGATGAAATCGCCGTGGATCGGACCTTCTGCTCTGATTCGTATGTCCCTGACCACGCTCCTCTTGCCAACATCAGATGATAAACTTCTTATGGTCTGGGACCTCAATCCTTCGATCAACATTGTCTCCCCCCCTCCCCACTTGACGAAGACGGGGTCTCGAGCCGACCGCAACCCACAGTATACGTGGTTGCCTTCCCGCACCCGCTCACCTCCGTCAACTCGCACCCCACCACGAGCAAGGAATTGCTCGTCTCCGACTGCCGCGGTTCAATCTTCCTCACAGACTGGCGCACAGAGTGGGAGGAGAACGAGCACGACGCGTGGAAGAACTCGAGCGTGGTCGAGCTCATCGAGCCGAGGGCGCTGGCGAGCCCTGTGATTGGGGTGAAGTCTAGGTGGACAGGGTCGGTGTCATGGCGGAGGGACTCCGTAGACACGTGAGCGTCTCTGTCTCCCTCCCCCTTTCCCGCAGAACCTGAGTGAATGCATTTTGCGGACAGCGTCGGCGCTGTCTACGGTTCAAGATTCTCCATCTGGGATATGGGGACCTCCAAGGCGGCAAACCCACCGTCACGGGCGCGAGCTTTCCCGAGGGCAGCACGCTCTTTCGGTACGTTCTTAGCTTTGCATCCGCTCGCTCATCACTCACTCACGCGCCTTCTCTGACATGGACAGATGGTGCCCCACCTACCATGAGTATTTCGCCATTGCGAGCGGCTCTCCTGCAAAGGGTGCCGCCATCCACCTGCACAACGCCAACTACATCAACGCCGTGCCGACCGTTCTGGGCATCGCACCTCATCCTCAATACGTCCGCACGTTCGACTGGCTGGCGGGGAAGACTATCCCGAGGATAGCCGCTGGGGTAGGGAGGGAGGTCGTTATCTTTTACATTGGAACGGAGTGACGCGTAGGTGTCTTGCCACATCAACGAGTAAGTATTGGTCGAAGGTGCGATGATGAGAAAGTCTAAGTATTGTCAGACACTAATTACAACTTGGACACTATGTATACATAGCAAGCCCGGTGACACCGGGGCGCGCCCTTTCCCCAGTCTAGAAGTCCACGTTAAACTCTATCTATACTGCAACCAGCCCACGGAATGAATGGTCCTAATCAGAAGATCCTGCAAACATCCCCTCAACCTCCCTGCTCTCACACTCCCTCAGTCGTTTGATATCGAGGTGGTCGGGGTCTCGTGACACGACCTTGTACCACCTCGTCCTGTGTGAGGAACGCTCGCCTGTATCCAGCCCGACATAGAGCAGGGTAGAGATCCGCTCTGCGATCCCATAGGCTAAGTCCAGCATCGCTAATATGTTCTTTGCGCTGGAATACGCCCAGTTCTCGTCGCCGGGGGTATCAGTGCATGTATCATCCACAGGGACGACAACGGCGTTCAAAGGCGCCCTACCAAGGGTGTTGATATGGTGTCCTGCATTGACGCGACCCAGGTCAGCCAGCGTTCCATCAGTCAAACCAACCCACTCACATCCAACCAATTCTCGACGCTAGAAGGCCCTCCCAAACTGTAGGCTCCGGCTCGGACCCCTCTCTGCGACCGCACCTTGTCCGTGCACACAAACCTGACACACCTGACGCTCCGCGCCACGGACTTCACCAGCTGCGCTACCGCCCAATGGTCCAGTGACAGATCCACGTCCCGGCACGTCAGCGTCGTCGGCGCCATCCCTGCCATCGTCTCGAGGGCGAGTCCGAACTGCTCTTCCACCCACTCCGCGCCAACGAGCTCCACATGCGGGACGGGGCGACAGAGCGGGACGGGGCGATCGAGCGAGACGGACTCCAGGCGCGTCCAGAGATCGCGTCCGACCTTCTCCTCGGTGCACCGTGCGCACACCTCCAGCTGCCGCACCTCCGGAAACGCGCGCGCGAGGGCGGGCAGGCTCGCGGCGTCTCGCACGCCACCGAGCGTGAGGTGCTTGACAGCCGGCCACACCGGGTGGGCTCGAGCGCCTGGACGAGGTCGTGGTTGTTGACGAGGGTGAGGCGCACGAGGGACTGCGTGAAGTTGTGCAGGAGGCGGTCGCGCCCGGGGACGAGGTAGCACGTCGGCGCGTCGAAGGAGGTCAACCTGACAACCGTTGGTCGACTGTGCATCTCAGCGAGCACACGCAGCGCATGAGGGCCGGCGTATCCCTCGAGGTGAATCTCGGAGAGGTTCTTGAGTGAGGTGATCGCCTCGGTGACCTGGGAGGGTGCGCTGGAGAACAGACGTTCTGCACCATCCACCACCAGTACGCGTAACCCTGTCGCAAGCGATATGATGCGCGCGACGTGGTCCGCCAACACGTAGTCCTGTTTCGTGCATGTGTCCTTGCCGTCCTGGATGGTAAGCGCTCCGAAGGTCAACGTCCTGATATAGGACGCCCGCTGCGGAAGGTCGGCCAAGACGCAGTAGCAAAACGAGCGCAGCTGTTCGCCGACCTCTTTCTTGGTGCGGTGGCCCAAGGAAACGTCCCTAAGTATTGTGGGCAACGCGCAAGCATATGCTGCCCGGCAGGTGGAAGCAAACTTGAGGATGTCGTTCCCGGACAGGTAGGACACGATGTCCTCGAGTATCTCCACAGGAACGCTGACGATGGACATTTCGCTGGGTCAGTGGTTACCTGGGCGGCGAGAGGGTATCAATGTGCTGTTATAGCTTGGAGGTGAGTCCGAGGATGTGTCTGCTGAGTTTTAAGATGCACTTATACTACCGACCGGAATGAAGGCTACGAGGCGCGCAGAGTGGTGCGATGTGCTATTCGCTTCCTATACAGTCCTCGTCGCTAAATAGAACTCAGTCTCGCAGATGCGCAGATAGAGAGTACCCAACGTACTAGGACCTGCGGCCCGCGGCTCAACATTTGTCTACGCGGCTCGCCCAATGTAATAGATAATGGCGTCGACAAATCGCCGCGGCTGATGAGTGAGTGTACTAGCACCATGCTTTGGTTTAAGACAGTATATCAACATAGCAGCACGAAAGCGAGGTATTGAAGGCATTTGTACGAACCTCAAAAGCACCCGAAATTCAACCGGCTGTCCGACGGGTCCACTGTATCGCTGGTTGTAGTCATACATACATTATGAGCGCCCGGTATCGCGACGCGCGACGCGCCCACCCGAAGACGCGCCCACGTGACGGACGTCACGCAACCCTATTGAGAAGCTCAAGCTCAAGAGTCAAGGCCTCAGGCCCAGGCTACAAGCTCAAGCTTCAAAATACAATAAAGGCCCGGATGGCAAGTATGTCTCCACTCTATTCTTCTACGACACTGCACTGAACCCGGGCTTCCTCGTCCGCGACATTGGCCGCAACACTGATTCAGACTCTCACACCGCCGCTCTCGATCTTTGACCCTGTCCATGTCTAGCTGTACAATTGTAGCGGTATACTGTCACAGGGGGATTTCTAGTCATGGATGCAACTAGCGCGCGTTGTACAATACGTGAATGTCATGCAACAAACAAAGCAAGGGGTGACGGCGGATGTGTGAGCCAGGAGGGGATGCGCGGGTCCGGGGGGCGGCGTGAGCGGAGGGGAGGAGCGGACGGGTAGAGAGGGGCGCACACGGAGGAGATCCAGAGCGAACAACAGCACAGTACACGCCAGCCGGCAGCAACCAACCAACCAACCAACCAGACCACCAAATGGCTGGCCGATCATTGGTTCGCGCACTGCACCCGCGGCTCGCCCTCCTCGTCTTCGTCCATCGCGTCGCCGCCTGCGCTCGCCCGTGCGCGCTGCCGGGTGTCTGCCTCCTCGAGCTCGACCTCCTCGAGCGTGATGCTCTTCGGGAACTTCTCAATCGGCGTGCGTGGCGGGAGGACACGCTCGAGCGCAGAGATGAGCGACGGGTCGATGCTGTCAGGGAACTTGATGGTGAAGTGCACGATGAGGTCGCCTGGTTCGTGATGCCGGTAAGAGGGCATGCCCTGGCCAGAGATGACCTTGATGTCGTCTGAAGGCGCAGGCTATCAAAACGAGCTGCGCGACAACCAGCGATACGGAATACATACCGTTTTTGATAACCTCGCCGGGGTTGATCTTGACGATGAGCGCCCGGTCGTCGAGATGCTTAATCGCGAACTGACCGCCGCCGAGCGCCGTGAGCAAGTCGATCTCCTGGTCGAGCAATAAGTCGTCGCCTTGCCGCTTGAACCGCTCGTGCGGCTTCTCCTCGACGACAATGATCACATCTCCCGGGGTGACGCCCGGCGCCTGGTCGCTCTCCCCGCGGAAGTTGATCGTCTGGCCGCCCTTCATGCCCTTGTCGATGTGCACCTCGAGCATCTTCTTCTCGCTGACGACCTTCTTCCCGGTGCACGTCTTGCAGCGGTCCTTCACGTTGATCATCTCGCCTGTCCCGCTGCATGTATCGCACGGCTGCTGGATCTGCTGGATCATCGGGCCCATCTGGCGCAGCGTGACGCGCACGCCCTGCCCGTGGCAAGTTGTGCACGTCTGCACCGCGCCCTCCTTGCCGCCCTTGCCGCTGCACTTGGCGCAGATGACATTGCGCGTGAGCGAGAGCTTGGACGTCTTGCCCTTGTACAGGTCTTCGAGCGTAACGTGCACGCGGTGAACGAGGTCTTTCGTCTTGCGTGGCCCGCGGGATCCGCCGGCACCGCCGAAAAAGCCTCCGCCGCCGAACAGTTGGCTGAACAGATCCTGGAGGCAAGTCAGGTTGGGGGCGCGACGGAACCGAAGAGTGGCGACGCACCTGAGGATCCATCCCACCCATGCCGCCCGATTCTGAGAGTCCTCCTTCTCCCCGTGCATCGTAGATACTTCGCCTTTGTGGGTCTGAGAGAACTTCATATCTGAGTGCATAGGTTTGTCAGCGGTCGATTGCGCCTGTCCTCGGCCACGACGGTGAGTGCATCGATGGCGCGCAGCGCGCAAAGTGGCTTGCGCGCTGCTGACGCATGTAGGGATCTGCTTAGCGCCAGCACTGCACTAACAATGCGGAGGCCACGAACACGCAGGCGCCGATCGCGAAAATATCGCGCCCGATGCCCAAGGCCTCCACATTGTCTCATCGAGCAGGTCTTCCGCCGTCCGCCATGCACCCCCGCCAGGCCAGGCAGTCCAACAGGACACTCACGCGTGTGTCACCTCCTTGAACAGCTCCGGGTCACCACCCTTGTCTGGGTGCAGTCGTAGTGCTCTAGACAAGCCCAGGTCGTCAGCACACGGCGCTGCACAGCTGATCGAGGACTCGCAATCACTTTTTGCGGTAGGCCTTCTTGAGGTCGGCGTCGGATGCGTCTGGCGAGGCCTCCAGGAGGTCGTAGTATTTGCTGTGGCGCAGGGCGTACCGGAGGGACGGCGCCTGATCAGCACTCCCGTCCGCGCACTGCTCTGATCGCGCACTCACGTTTCCTTTACCATCGTTGTCGTCGCTGCGTGTCGCGAGCGCGGGATGCGGGGTGGGTGGTGGGCAGAAAGAGGTGTTTGGGACGAGGGAGGGAGTAGGCGAGGCTGAAGGGAGAGAGGCGCGATAAAAGCAGTGAGGGAACGCGATGGAAGACCGTCGAATGCACCGGAACATTCGCCGCTTGCTGAGCACAATAGACGCCCAGCCACTCCGCGCCACAGCGTCTAAATCCTGGCGAAGACACGCTACATACACATCGATGTTATACACTGGTACTAGACACCGTCCTGCACACGTTTGATCTACTACTTGGACCCCACGGCGACGCCCTCGCTCACGTCGGGGTACACGTCGAACCGCCGCTGCACCGTCACCGGGATCCCCGCGCGCGCGTCGTGGAACGTCTTCGGGTCTGCGAGACGCCAGAACGTTCTCAGCAATGCTTTCACGAGCCCGGAACATATAGCAGACTGACCGATGTGCGCGTACACGATGTCCTCTTCGTGCTCCGTCTCTGCGATCACCTTGCCCCTGCGCCGCGCATCAGCACCAGTCGTCGAGAAGACGGCTGCGACGGAAGCTCACATGGGATCGACGACCATGGAGTGGCCCCACTAAAGAATCAAGTCACCGAATGTACTCGAGCGGCCGACCCAGCGATCTGCGACTCACCGCGTGGTACCCAGCTGACATGTCTCGTGCGGGACTGCACATCGAGAAGTAGACTTGTTGGTCGAGAGCTCTGCGTGCACGGTCCAGTCGTTCATGTCCCAGCGAACGATGCGAACTCGTACCTTGCTCGTTGCAGAAGCTCCCAGTGGAGAGGCCCCGTCGTGAGGTTAAATGCCCCAGGGTATATGAGGACCTGGCAGCCTGGGGATCGTCATGGTTAGCAAAACCTTGCGCGGATGATCGTCCGTCGTACCTTTCCGCGCATTGATCATAGCAAGCTCGGGGAAGCGCACATCGTAACAGATGCCGAGTCCAATCCGGGCGAATTCTAGGTTTAATGTCAGCCAGTGGGGAAGGCTCCAGCTGCTGTGAACCCGATATTCAGACCACTCGCGCGCGGCAGTATGTGGAGCAGGGTTATGGCTGGCGAGATGAACGACGGTCGGCGAAGTCACGCATTCGCCAAAGCCCAGTGCCATCGTTGGCAGCGCGTGAGCGGAGGGCTATGTTCTTGACGTCAGTCTCACGGCGACCTTCGGTCCAAACCCCAGCTCCACACATTCCCAGCGCAGGCCGGACTATCGTTTCTACAACAGCTGTCAAAGGAGTGAATGCGTACCCGTATCAAAGTAGTTCACGCTTGTGCCGCCGGTGAGCGTTTCACTCTCCTGCAAGTAGGTGAGGCTATGCTTCTCGGGTGTCTAAGGAAGGTATGCGAACCTTGAAGGTGATTTTCCCAGGGATGTCGATGTCAAAGAGGTGCGTCTTGCGGTGCGTGGCGACGAGCTCCCCTATATGCGCATGAGCAGGAGCCGCACGTCCCGCAGGACGCGAACCGACCTGTAGGCGAGTACACGGTCGCAGTGTTGTACAGCTTGTTGTCCGCCTCGACGCGCTCCGGTATCGACCCTGCAGTGCGTGTACCCATGAGAACATGACGGGGAGCTCAGAGTCTTTCGCACGTACCGCCAATGAGCCATACCCCCGCCTCCCTTGCCGTCGCCGACAGCAGCTTGACCGACTCGCTCGCAGATGCCTCAACGTTGTACGGCTCTCCAGGCGTGTACCCGATCGTCTCTGCATATACGGGGAAATGCGTGTGCCCGTACGGAGAGTTGAAGCATTCCTGTTCCTCGCCATGAGCCGAGATGCACGGGCGAGTAGGAGGCGCTACGAACGGGCAGCACGACGACATTTGGCTTGGGCTTCGCGCCTCCGCTTCCGCTCGCCGCCTTCAAGATCATTTCGCGTGCATGCTTGAGGTTCGCTGGATACACGGCCGGTCAGCATTTCCAAGCCTATCCCGCCCGAGTCTCGCACGCACTGACCCGCCTTATCCGCACCGACCTGGCCCAGCTGGATGAGAGCGAGATTGAAGGCCTTGAACTCGGGTGCAGCAGCAGCCGACATCGCGCGTCTTGCAGGAGCAGTGAGAGTGAGAGCGGTGAGTCGCAGGCCAAGACGCGATAGGGTGGATAGGCCAGGGAGGAACATGGGCTGCCAGTGGGAGTGCGACTCAGACGCGCGCCTGCAGCCGAGGGGTCGATCGGATCTTGATTGGATCTCAGATCCCCTCATCGATTCGATCGCGCGACGGTCCCGGCGATCACAGACGCCCACAACCACGACGAGCGACCTCCGCCCACTGCCTTCTGCTCGTCACCGTCAACGACGAGACGACAGCCTCGACGCCGACGACCACGATGCCCACTCTCCTGATATACAACCCCATCTGTGGTGCGGGCACCGCAGAGCAGCTCATCAACACGCACGTCCTCCCCCTCCTCGAGCGTGCCAACCTCAAGCCCGACGTCGTCCTCGCGACCGAGCACCCAGGCCACGCCGGCGCGTTCGTCACCACCCACCTCGAGGCGCACGCAGGGCCCTTCACCGTCATCCTCGCCGCGGGCGACGGCACCCTCCACGAGATCATCGAGGCGCTCGTGAACACCGCGCCCAAGGGCCAGCGCGCCGCCGCGCCCCCCGCCAAGCTCAACTTCGCCCTCATCCCGAGCGGCACCGCCAACGCGCTCTACGCCAGCCTCTTTCCCCGCGCACCCACCGACGACGACACCGCCTACAAGCTCCGCAGCGTGCAGGCCCTCGTAGACGGCCGCCCGAGCGCACCCCTCACGCTCGCGCTCACCACGCTGCAGTCCCCGCCGAACAAGCGCGCCCCGCCGCGCGTCGCCGTCTCCGCCGTCGTTGCCTCCACCGCCCTGCACGCCGCCATCCTCGCCGACTCCGAGGCCCTCCGCGCGGAGCTCCCCGGCCTCGAACGCTTCCAGCGCGCCGCCGCGCAGAACCTCGCGCGCTGGTACCACGCGTCCGTCAAGCTCTTCCCCACCGCGGCCGCGAGCGTCGTCGAGGTGTACGACCCCGCCGCGAAGGCGTTCGTGCCGCACGCGCAGAGCACGGAGGACGACCCGATCGTCGACCTCGCCGGCCCGTTCGCGTACTTCGTCTCTGTCGTGAACGTCGACAGGCTCGAGCCGCAGTTCAGGATTGCCCCGCTGTGGCGGGATGCGAAGCCCGAGGGCGCGGCGCTGGACGTGGTCGTGCTGAGGCCGGAGCGCGACCCGAGCGTGCAGATGGACTCGGAGGAGACCAGGGAGGCGTTTTCGGAGAAGGTCAAGGGCGTCATGGGCGGGGCGTACCAAGACGGCGCGCATGTCGGACTCACGTACACGGACGATGGCTGTGTGCTGGAGAGCGGCGAGGGATGGCCAGTCGTGGAGTACTTCCGCTGTGCCGGCTGGGAATGGGAACCTGTGAGTACACCCATATGCTGTCTGTAACCAAACTCATGTTTACGCCGACAGGATGACATTGACGACCGGGCACATCTCGTCTGCGCGGATGGCGACATCCACGAGATTGTGAAAGGCGGAAAGGCGACATGTACCGCAGCAACACCTTCCGACGACAAGTCCGGATTTGGTGTCTACATCTAGACATATGTGGTAGAGTTGGTGAAGAACGCCCAGAAGCGGCTTGCGCTCAAAATACGGACCACGAGCATTTGTAGTTATAGATCGATAGCGTGTACGACGTGCGACAGAGAGGTATTAGTCTTGTGTATTCTGTGAACGTCTCATCAGGCGCATCCCTGCTTCTATGTGCCCATCACCGGGTCCAATCGTGTATAGAAATGCAATGTCCTCACTGTGGGAAGGAAATCACATGAAATCCAATGTCGTAAACACTCATTTGGGAAAATGAGTGTTTGCCACACTTATTCGGGACGCAGTGAAAATGAGTGTTCGTACTGGTACTGTTCGGAACACTCATTTTGATTGTCTAGCACACTCGTAGAGATTTTCACGGTGAAAAACACTCAGAATGATGTCGTGCTAGTGTCGGTTACTTGATAATGTTCACCGTGGTTTGGTACGAGGCTTGACGACGGTATACCAACAGTGTCTTACTTACTCGATAAATGGCAACAAGGGCAGCGTAGCCGCGCCGCGGCGACCAGCCTCTCAGTATGCCGTGGGACTACATACACGAGCTTCTTTGGCTGAAGTCTCTTGTGTGCGATGCATGAATGAGTCTGTTGAGTGATTTATCGGTGATTCCTACATGTGCTGTCCGCGTTGGTACTGTCAGTTTAACAGTTAAGTTAGGAGACTTGTTAGGGGAGGCGCGTGAGGTCCATTTCACGTGACGTGGCGCGTCGCGTTTGAGAGTCCGACGCGCGTTGGTGGCGTCGTCAGCTCAGCTCTCGATCTCCTTCCCTTCCCACTCTCTCATCCTCACTGCCAGCTCCATCACCCTGGCGGCAACCTGAAATCAGCCTCTTATTTTTGGGCTGTGACGGCGCGTCACGGAAGAAGCTCTCTTAGAACTTTTCGCACAAGCAACCTCGAGTCGAAATCAAGATTGCGCTGAGCCACCGCGAACACAGTAGTAATGGACCGATTGCCGTCCCCCAGCTGGGCGTAGTCGTGCTGTAGCATTGTGCCAATGCTTTCTGCGGTGATAACATACAGTCTGGTGCGCATATATTTGCTAATCTGACTTTGCCGCAGTGAATCACCGGAGTGCTATCGGTGGATACACAGTACGTCGTCTGCGGAGGTTGGGTAGAAGTGGATGAGTGCGACAGGTACGCCGTGCGTTTTGGGGTGGTAGTGAGGTGCCAAGAGCTCGCGACCGTGCACAACGGATGACACGTACACACGACCCACCGGATCCCACAGAGTCGTTGTCGCCATTCTGCAGGTCAGTGATGTATCACTTGTATTGTCTTGGTTGGTGACACATCATCAGGAGCTGATAATAAGGAGAGGCATTCTCATTCTACTTGCTTCTCAGATAACTGACCATTAGTGCCTCTTACTAGCAGTCTCGCGAACGCCGAACATCCCTATTCTGAGCCTCGAGTGCTGCCTGGAGTCGTGTCCCGGAACTCGTCATTTCATTATCGAGGTGAGCATTTGACCTGCTGTCAGCAATGCGGTACTTGGAGGATCGCCGTAGATACCAACGTATGTGCGTAGATCGTAGTACGTGATAATATGAAAGGCCACAGTGTTATACTTCGATTGTTGAGTCTATTGGGATGAGAGACGATAGAAATAGTCGTTATCAACCGTCAAACCGAATGATTCACACACCGCAAAGTAATGTCAAAGACGGCGAAAATGATGTGGTTAAACACTCATTTTGACTAGGGGAAATGTCCGCCGTTCAGTGGTGCAAACACTCATTTCGAACACTCATTTTCAGTGTGTCGAACACTCATCGCACCGATATCAGTGTTTATGACGCTGGTTATGAATGTGCTAGAGCACTCAATTCTATTGGGCACATCTCGTCTGCGCGGATGGCGACATCCACGAGATTGTGAAAGGCGGCAAGGCAACATGTACGGCAGCAACACCTTCCGACGACAAGTCCGGGTTCGGAGTCTACGTCTAGACATGGTGGAGTTGGTCAAGGAAGTGGCTTGCGCTCAAAATACGGACCAGGAGCATTTGTAGTTATAGATCGATAGCGTGTACGACGTGCGACAGAGGTACTAGTCTTGTGTATTCTGGGATCATCTCTCATCAGGCTCATCCCTGCTTCTATTTGCCCATCACCGGGTCCATTTGTGTATAGAAATGCGATGTCCTTATGCAGTGACGTTGCCACTCGCCTGACCGGAGAAGACCTCCTCTACGACTGCCTTTGCTTTCTGGTGCACCTCCTCGATGGTAGCGGTCGCATCGATCTGATATGTGTAGATGGTTAGGCAAAGATGCGCCAAGGTGGCATGGCGCACATACCGAGGCGACTTTATGCAACTTGGTGTAATGCTCAATGACGGGCATCGTCTGCTCCTTGTAGACATCTGCGAGACATCAATGCTAGCCTTGATGTGCAAGGCACATGGACGTACGGAAACGTTTCTTGATGCTTTCTTCATTATCATCCTCCCGGCCGCTCGTCTCGCCCCGCTTGAGCAACCGCTTCGACATCTCCTCCTCCGTCGTCGTGAAGAACAGCACCAGCGAGCTCTCGCACACCTGCCGCCTACTTCAGCGCATCCATGTCTCGCACCGACATAGCTCAGAGCGCACCTCGTCGTCGAACTTCACCGCCTGGTCCATCTTCCGGGGGAACCCGTCGATGAGGAAGCGACCCTTGCCATCCGCCCAGCCCTCGCCGGACCGACTCTCAGCGACGGTGGCCTTCATGGCGTTCTCGAGCAGCTTGATCGTCACCTCCATGGGCACGATCTGGCCCTCCTTGATGTAGGTGCGGATCATCTCGCCATACTCGGAGCCCTCGCGGTTCTGCTCCGCCCGGAGCAGGTCGCCAGCTACGTGTTCCGCATTTGTTAGGACTGCGCACGGAGCAGACGCTCGAGAACACACCAGAGAGGTGGCAGAAGCCAAAGTCGTTCACAAGGTTGGCGCACTGCGTGCCCTTGCCTTGGGTAGACGGGAGACGTTACAGCGAGCGTCAGCAACGTGGTACGTGCGAGCCTTACCGGCACCAGGTCCGCCCAGCACGAAGATGACGGTGACCTTGCTCTTGTCAAAGACCCGGGTCGTCTTCCCCTCCGTCGCGCTCATCCCAGGTGCAGGTTCGTCAGTCGTAGCGGGGGCAGCCTCAGAAGTCGCAGACGCAGGTTCCACCGTCGCCGAGGGTGTCGGTTCCGTGTGCGCGCTGGCAGCGGGTTCCGCAGTCTGGTGAGATGTTGTTTCAGCCGCCTTCTTGTCTTTCTTTTCCTTCTTGTCCTTGTTCAGGTGCAGCGCGTGCGAGAGCTTGTCGAGGATGGGCATCGCAGAGACTCGGAAAACACGTCAATTAGACGCCTCGTCACCGTCAGACTTGGTGTGGTGGCGCGGGGGCACGAGCGGGTTGTCCTGCTGGCGGGGCTGCTGGGAGGCGGGGTAGGTCGCTGCGCGGTGGCGAGCGAGGAAGTAGAATGCGCCGAAGGAGGCGAGGGAGAGGCCGACGAAGAGGAACGGGTTGGGAGCCTTGTTCGGCATTCGCTGCAAACGACGCTTCAGCGCTTCAGCAAAGAGGCGGTGGCTGCAGCTGTTGACGCGTGTGTGGCGGGGCCTTGCGATCCTAACACACCCAAACAACGCTCGCACACGTGCTAGCGTGTTCTGGACATTCAATTGGGACGTGTTCTACGTACTTTGAAGTTTCTGCAGTACTGTCCCCTCTCACGACGCGCACGGCCTCCGAGGCTTTCGTCGGTATTGAATTAAACTATACTATCACAGCTGTGGACAGTTCGGGCCGGGCACGATGCGGACGATGCGGACTTCAACTTCATCTTCACCGGCGGCACCATTCCATTATATGCCACTGGTCGCGATCAGATTTGTGGTAGGTTGGTGCTTCCTTGACGCGGTCTAATGTTTCTACATTGACTCTGTGTCTACTACTGCGTCTCCTAGCCTTTGACAGCACCACACAACACAGTAGCATCGTAGCAAATCGCCGTCAGCCACCTCACAGCTTCGATGGCGCGATGCATCCGTCACTGTGAGCCAGAAGTTGGCTAGAAAATTGAACGAAACTCACTAGGTGAAAGCAAGTTGTCGTCTGGGCATGCCCAACCACGTCTTGTGCTAGTACGTGGTGTACGATTTGTACCGGGGCCAAAATTGACAATGTTATGTACGGTCGGCAATAGATACATGATTCCTATCCGGCGGCATCCCGTATATCGTCACGCCAATTCTGTTACAGTCGCCTCGTGAGCGGCACAGGACGTCGGACGTGGATGATTCCGTCTCTAAATAGTCAGAGCGGTGAGTTTCAGTCGTGGTCACGATTCGCGTCAGTACGGAATCTCATATAATTTGTAGTACGGTCGACGTCCCCTGGGTTTGTTACCATCCCCTTAGACGAGCTGGCGTGACGAGCATAGGTCGAGGGACTGAGCTGATGTTAATAGTTATGGAGGTATGCGATGTGTGTGCTCACTCTATTCTTTTCAACTTCGACGGGCTGCGCTTTCTATCACGGTTGGGCTCAAAATTCAATGATCACAATCATTACCAAGCCTCTCCGATGTGCGGGCGGGTTCAGACCTCGCGGTGCGCTGTTTTTTCTCCGGAGATTTCGCCGCAACTAGCCTCCATATGTCTTTCATACTAGAGGCCATGCGAGTTCGGAGCAGCATACGCGCCAGCGCTCAGAAGACTGGGCGATGACATGGGATTGCGGCTGCAGGGAGATTCCATCCGTGTGTCTGGATGCAGGAGCTCATTCCGATGACATCACCGTGAACCTGCATATGCAGTGCGTCTCACTGATGCAGTGATGTCACGGCAGATAATGTCTTCCTGTAGGCCTTGTATGAGTGAGTATAGGTGAGAATCTAGCGTAGCAGACTGCAAGGTCCCAGCTGGGAACTTTGATGACATCGGCCTTGTCCTGGTGCTTGCGAAAAGGAAGACAATTATATAGAGGAACGAGGTAAGTGAAAACCCACTGCGGCGCATGGACGGTGACCGCGTGGCCTGAACTACCCTGTACGTCGGTGCCAGGTTTGCATCAGAATCCAGCCACACTGCGTCCTCGGATTCCATGATGACGCTTCGTCTTCAATGTATGGAGCTCCAAGGACTAGCGAGACGGTGTATGACCTGTCTGTAGGGTCCAGGCTTCCCTGAGTGACTTGCTACTAGCGGGGACGGTGGTTCGAGCAGACATGCAGCGGTGAGCGCCGAGACCGCAGAGACGCGACGCGGGGATGCGGACGTCACATGAGCGTGTCACTGACAGCCTCCTGGGGAGCGCGAGCCCGCACGGCCGCAGCACTCAGGTTGTCAGTGAACATCGACCACACGTTTCTCACCAATGCTATACTTAATCTACCTCCGTGGAGCGAATGACTAGAAAATGCTGCATTCAGTCAGATGGGCCACTGCCGAATCAGACTCAGTGCCAGCGTGTGACGACTGTCCAGCTGTAGTCACTGGCAGAAGATCGACTTCAAGTTCAACTTGACATGCCAGCATATTCTCCTCTTGTTGGACTTAACCACTTCCAGTCGTGTACCTGGGCTTATAGGTGAGTCTGGACATCTTCTCCGAAGTGAAAGCATGGAATTCTCTGTCTGGGTACTATGACAGCATTCATTAGAGGTATACAATCCGCCATTCGTTAAGTACTGTCATATGACTGCTCGGGATCTGAACATGGCCAACAATGGGCGAAAACATCATCAAAGCTGCGATATATTGGCTCTAGCATCCAGCAGAGCCGTTACATCCGTTACTACCGCTGTAGCTACTTTGACCGTGTCCGGTTCTTCGCACTGACGACATCCTTCCCTGCAACTTTATCAATTATCCATAGGACTATGAAGTCCTGTTTTCTCACCAACAGCACTCGAAATAGATTCGACCACCAATCGTGCGGTCGTAGCCTCAATTCGTCAGACATGGAGGATTGGACTTCGCTGTACGCGGCTTGGTGAACGTGCGTCGCTCAATATCGCTCTTTCCACACATTTCTGATCCTTTCAAGGATGCTGACTGAAGTGCTCGTGTCCAATCTTTTGGCATGGTGCATTCAAGGCTCTATCGTGCATCCACCGTTCAATGAATCGGCGGGAGTAGGTGCAGCTGAGCCAAACCACGTTATGGCCGGTGATTTACTCATCCGATACAACTCATCACTGTTCTCCTTGCTCAGCGCACAGGTTCACTATTCCCTGCATCTCCTTTCGTGCACCACACTCATTCAATTGGCTTCGAGTAATTATTTCTTGATGCTTCTCGGCGTTGAAACCAGTGCGTGTCCGAATCACCACGACAGTCGTTCTCTGCAAGGCATTGATCCTCGGTCTTTTTTGTGACAGCATACGGGATTCCTTCACTTCGCATCTGGCATCGTTCTGCCTCCGCCGTTTCCAGTCGCCGAACATGCAACATGTCCGTGCTATCCGACAGTGCGGAGAAATGGACTAAGCAAGAGGTTTGGTGACCCGTGTGGTCTCCATTGGATGTCATCGGCCTGATAGCTACTAGGGGCAAATGGAGACAGGTAAGGAAACAACTATAAAAGTACGATGCCCGGGATGCCAATGTTTCTTCATCCTCCAAGTGGGAACCTGAACTAGCCGCAATGTCGCTGAAGATCGTCGCTATCCTCTTCTCTCTTGTCGCCACCGTTGTTGGAGCGACTGCAGGTGCAACCACCTCGGCGGAGCTCGCTGCTCGGGTACGCGTTGCGCCCACTTCCGGAGGCTGCCCATTATTGACCTTGCATTTACAGGCTGATTGCGACACCGACGACGCTGTGCCTTTCTTCCGTGCCTACAGCAACGCTGGCACGGACCACTTCTACACTACCAACTACGACGAGATGAACAACGCCATTACCAACCTTAGCTACTCGTACGAGAGCAACATGGGCTTCGTCTTCAGGATCCCGACCGTCTCCACAACTATACTCTATCGCCTCTATCTCTCCGACTCGATTGATCATTTCTACACCACCGACCAGAGCGAGGCCAACCACGCAATCCAGGAATTGGGATACAACGACGAAGGCACCTCGGCCTACGTCTTCGAGGCCGAGGTTTGCGCAAGCGTTCCGCTCTACCGCATGTACGACGCGAGTATCACCGATCACTTCTACACCACCAGCGAGTCGGAGCGGGAGAACGCGATCAATGTGCTGGGGTATTCGGATGAAGGAATCGCGTGCTATGTCTTGCCGGACCTCTGATATGAATTCGTATGTGACTGAGTACTGCCGTATAAGCGAGCTATCGTGGCTGACACTCATCGTGCAGGTATACCGAGCGGACGCGGGTTTCAACACCTGCTAGCATCTCGCCTTTGGGATGTGGATGTCGTTTTTCTTGAAGTTACCTCTCTTTTAGTTCGTTATTCCTTCGACTTGATACACGGTGTAGAGACATGCTTGATTCAACTCAGGCCTGTCATTGCGGTATTTGACGCTCCCTTTGAGCAGGAATGGAAACGTGAGGTAGATGTGGGTCTGAGTCAATATGTTTTTGTTCAGCAGCAGGCCGCCCATGCTGGCATTTCAAAAGAGGAATCTGAACTCGTCTCGGATTCAAACCTCAAACCTGCTTTCTTAGGTCACAAGACTCACTGAGCAAAGATGATATTGCCCGTCTAGGAGGTCTTCACGGTACTCAGAAGTTGGCAACAACTTGGAGACAAGTCCGCTCTGTCTGGCAGCGCGAGCACGCAGTGAGCACGACACGGCCACAACCACTTGAAGCAGTGACAGCTGGGAATTGATATTGAATATTGGATAGCGAAGCGGCTCGATGCTGATGACCTCTGCGTGCGAAGGGTATATTTGACTGAACAGTCACTGAACTTAGCCTGACGCTCAGTTTTTGCACAAACCCTCTCACGCCGCCGCCCACGGGAGTTGGGCTGACGAAGACCAACATTGGATCACAAGTATAGACGGTTCGATTCAGTCCGATCGAGCAGTCGCCGCAGATTAACAAGATGAACAAACAACAGTGGCCATGGACAATATCCGGCCCTGAGCAGAACTCGAGAGAACGAAAGGACGAAGAGAATGAGCGATATGATCTGGACACTCCGAAAACGTATACGAGGAGACGCCATGTCAAGGGATTGACTGGAGTTGAATCCAGTCTGCATTGCCTACATCCGACGATCAGTACATGACTTGGACATGATCGGTGTAGGAGTCGCTCACTCTTCGTACGTTAGAGGTTAGGAAGAATGTACGCGGCGACACCCTGGAGGACATAGCCATCGTCCTTGACGACTAGGTCCGCCTCGGACTTATTCGTGGTGTAATAGTGGTCGGTGATGCTCGCCTTGTACAGCTGATAGAGCGGCACGCTGCCGCACACGTCTGACGTGTAAACATAGCCGACATAGCCCGTGTCGACGTAACCTTGATTGGTGATGTCGGTGTCTGCGCGGGTCGAGTTCGTGGTGTAGAAGTGGTCGTAGTTATCCGGGTTGTAGAGTCGCAGGAAGATGGAGGACGAGGCGACTGGCGAGCGGAAGATGAACCCGAGCCGGCCTCGGATCTCATAACCGTCCGCGACGGAGTTGTTCACTTGGGCGTAGTCGGTGCTGTAGAAATGGTCCGTGCGTGCACTGCTGTAAGAGCCCCAGAAAGGCGCAGCATGACTGGTGTCGCAAACGGCCTGCCGTAGCTAAAGGTGAGCAGAGGAGCGACAGTTGAGCAAGGGGAGCACGTACACGAGAAGAAAGCTCTGATACCGCTGGTGCTGCCAACACGGCTGTCATGGCGGTGCAAGCACCCACGGCGATGCAGATGATCGACTTGAGAGACATGGCTTGGTTGGCTGCCGGTGTAGGTGCAATGAGCGAAATTGGCTGGCTTATATTTGAGAACCGCGGTGGAATGGTCTCGAGTTGCGGCAGCCATGTTGGTGATACGTCCCGTGCATTACATTCCCGTAACATCTCCGGCAGTACTCGTCCGAGTCTGTCAGACAGGACTCGGACGTAAGGCAAGACAGAGACTAATGGAACTTGAACGCATCTGACTGCAGTAGTCCGGCAAGTTGCCATCCAACGTGCTTCCATAATCAGAGCACCTGGCATGAAATTGAGAGTCTGGCGTAGCAGACAGCAGGATTCCAAGTTAGTTCCGGACGGGATTTGATGGCACCGGTCTTGTCCTCGGGCTTGGGACAAGAAGTCTGTCTCGCATATAACCGTTGAATTGAGAGGCAAACGAGCAGACTAGAAGGATGAGGCAAATGACAAGACTCGCCGCGGTTCATGGAACTCGCCTCGCGCGGCTCTGGAGTACCCTCGTGTCATCGGTGGGTTCATCAGAATCCATGGCCAGCCATAGGTCCTCAGCCTGCTGGGCTCCTACACAGGATTCTACGGCGAGATGTCGAGATCCAAGGCCTAGCTAGACGGTGTCTAACCAGGTTTTCTCTGAGTGACTGGCGGGGATGAGGTCCGGGTGGTGGCAAAGGAGCTGCGCCGAAAAGGCCACAGAGACTCGGCGTCGACTCCGCGACGCGGGGATGTCGATGTCACATGAGCGTGTTGCCACAGGGAGCTGCCACAGGGAGCACGAGCCCGCAACGCTCGGCGAGTTGTGACTTGTCAGTGAACCACAGTGAAAATCGGACCTGCCCGAACTAAGCCAAGGCCTGCCCGGAGCAGGCCTTGACAGCCATTTGACGTGTTCCACCTGCTCGGAGCTGCCCCACCTGCTGCATTGGTTCTATCGGTGTCTCTCAATGGCGTTTTGTTACCTCAGACATAATCTTAGTTCGCTTACGCGCTATGGCCGTCCGCCTTAGTGCTTGAATGCCACTCCCCGGGCCGCATCTCGTTAACACAAAAGCTCTATCGTAAGCCGTACGCGTAAGTCTCTTTAGCTTCGCTAACGCTCTTCACTTGTGTGTTAACGCGTCCACGTTAGCCTTCCGCGCTCCGCCTATGTAGTTGTTCGAGCCATGCACCTCCCAGCAAACTCGTGACTTGCACGCCCGACCTCCGATGACGCCATGCAGACTCGAGAGACTCCAAGTCTTTCCGACTGCAGACGGCCTTCGCTTTACACCGCCACGTCGACATCCGCCGACATCTTCGTCCACGACGTGCACAAGCACACACTCCCTTCCGACTTTGTAATTCACTCTCTGCGTATCAAACGCGTGCAGGGCCGGCGGCGGGCAGGCAGGAGTGTGCGTGTAAGTATGTTACCTCCATGTATTCACCCTGCACGCGCGCCGCAGACATCTGACTAAAGCCGGTCTCCGCGAGTGGTTTCTCCTCGAGCGCGTCAACAAAGAGCGCGACTCGACGCAAATACTTACAGTAAGTAACACCCCCAGATACAAGCCTACATCAACCGCAACGGCGAACTTCGCGACCCGGACTACTGCGACTTCCCCGCCCTCCCAACCAGCCTGCACGGTCTCGCGCTCACACCACTGGCGTACAAGTCACGGCGCGTGTCTCCACAGCACTGACCGCCACACCGACCACCACTACTCATCTGCGCACCCTATCGTGCGCCCAGAGGGGGAGCGTGAATGGTGCGCAATCCCATGCATGCGGTGTCCGCCAAATGCGCCCTCGTGCGGGTATTGCCAAAAGAGGAAACCCCGCGAGCGCCCAAACTCGCGGGGATGCCCCTGCTCCCCCAGCCTCCTTCCACCAGGTCAACTCGCGCACGGCCTCAGGCACAGCAACACGGCGCGCACGCGCGCAGCCAGACCCCATGGCAAAGGCCCAGCGCGCAAACCCAGCCGACGAAGACACCGTGGGCCTGGGCGCAGCGACGAACTCACGGCAGGCGTGAACCACGAGCGGACGGCGCGGACGGCTGAACGGCTGGCGGGGATGGGCGAGGGCCAGGTCGAGGGCCAGGTCGAGGTCGAGGTCGAGGTCGAGGGTGAGTCCAGCCACACGCGAATGGGCTCACTAACAGCAATTCCAGGACGCAGTGACGTGCAACGCGACGCACACGACGACCGCGAGCACGCAGGGCCAATGCCCTGCCGCCCTCTGCGTCGTCCATCCGCGACACGGTTCCCTCGGACACGCCGACTGTATTTCGCAGTCTGTCCCCATCTGGCCGTCACCGCTCATCGACCTGACCCGCGTGCCCCGCTCGCCCTCCAAGCCCTCACCCGTCCTCTAATTCACCGCTCTCCCCCCTGTGCAGCTCGAACCCGCGAGTCCCGAGCTACCTGCGACGACTGACGATGCACCATCTCTCGTGCCTGGCCGTCCTTCTCTCCCTCGTCTCCCGCTCTCTCTTCTCCCGTTCTTCCTCTCTCTCTTTCCGGCTCTCTCTCTCGCTCTCTCTCTTTCTCCGGCTCTCTCTCTGAATCTCCCTCACTCTCCGTCTTGATGTCTCTCCGTCCTTACAGCACGCCTGACTGACTAATTGTATGTACTAGGATTCACGCCCTCTAAACCCGTACCAGCCGCGGCGGACCTCTCCAACAAGCCAACACCGCTCGGATTGGGCACCCACAAGCGGGGCACCTTCTCATTCAGCGTCGCCCAGCCCACGGCGAGCTCCGCCGCCCGGTCCACGCCCGCATCGCCCGCATCGCCCGAGAAAGGCAAGGGAAAGGAGAAGGCACGCTCCGCCCTGCCCATCCCGTCTACCTCTAGCTCGAGCTCAAGCTCAAGCTCGGAGGCAAATCCCTCGTCCACGGTGGGATGGACGCCGAACACGAGACGAACGTGGACGGGATCCCGCTCAACTCGTCGCTCTCCTCCCTCTCGCTCGCCCTCCAGAAGCTGAGCATGCCCGCGCCCTCGCGCCCTGGCACGAGCATGGGCTTCCATCCCGAGGCTGCCACGACGAGCGACGGGCAGTCTACGGCGCGGCCGACTTACGCACGTCCGCCCGCCTCCCAGCCGCACCCACACACGTCCCAGCCTCAGTCGCACCCCCGCCCGAACTCGGCGGCTGCGGGCCCGGTGCGCGCACCTTCTTTGCAGTGTGCGGTGACGGTGAGTGACTTTTTCAGGACGCCGAGGCATGCTACGTGTGCTCCTCCCACCACTACCACGGCCACCTGCCTGTGGAGGGGAGCCCCGTCAAAGGCGGCGCCGAGCCCGAGAGCGGTGTCGGAGAAGAGAAGGAGGAGGCAGTGAACGAGGAGGGCGCGTCGATCATCGCGCAGGCGGTCGAGCGAGAACGAGCAGACGCGGACCGGTCAACGCGTGCAGATCCTGCGGGGCCACTAGCTGAGCCAATTGTTGGCGAGGAAGAGGGGGTGGTGGACACGTCGATGCCCCCTCCGCCGCTGCCTCACAAGGTGAGTACATACAGAAGAGCGAGAGGAGGGGGGACGAGAGGGGGGATGACGAGAACAAGGGTGTGTGAGAGGACAGGGAAGGACTGTGAAACCGCAGACAAGCAAGCAGGACCGCGAGCATGCAACAGGACAGGTGAGCGAATGGGAGGGCGGGCGAGTGGATGGCCTTGCTAGTGAGGGGACCAGGAGGAAGGTGAACGGGGGCGAATGGACGAGCGGGCGGGAGGCGTAGTAGTACGGCAATGTATATTAGTTTAGTAGCATTAAAATTGATGGCAGTTTACAGCAGGTTGAGGCAGATTGAGATAACTAATGGACCTGCCCCAGCTGCCCAGATCTGCCCACGGACTAACACACCTGCTCTCGGCAGGTTGGGGCAGGTTGTGCGTTAACGGCGTGTTTCAATTGCCTGCCCCCAGTCAACCAAGAACTGCCCAGAGCGTAGTCGTTGACAGCAGCTGTCAAGACCTTCTCTGGACAGGTCCCAGCTTAGTTCGGGCAGGTCCGATTTTCACTGTGAGTGAACATCGACCGCACGCTTCTCACAACTACTATCCCGAATCTGCCTCCGCGGAGCAAAAGACCAGAAGATGTTGCATTATCCAGCTGAGCTCAGAAGGTCGACTTATGTAACACACTGGTATATTCTTCCCATGCCGGATGTTAGCTCTCCGAGTCATGGATGTATAGGTGTGGATTCATCTGCTACTATAAGCATGGAATTGTCTACGAATTACGACACAACCGATAGTGCATCATTTCTGGGTAGACCGCATTCGCCGGAGCCTGAGGTGTGTGATCCGCTGTTACATCTGTAGCTACTTCGACCGGTTCTTCGCACTGACGACATCCTTCCCTGCAACTTTATCAAAACCCGTAAGGCTGTGCAATTCTGTTTTCTAACCAACGGCGCTCGAAGGAGGATCGACCATCAATCGTGCGGTCGTGGCCTCATGTCGCCTGTCGTTGAGGATTGGTTGCTGTTCGCGGCTCGGTTAGTGCCAACGTTCGTCACTCAATATAGCAAGTTCTACGATGTCTTGTCCTTTCCAAAAATGCTGATTGAAGTGCTCTTGCCCGTGTTTTGTGTCTTGATGCATCCCGGATTCTGTTGAAAGTGGTCATCGACGCCTCGGTGCATCCACCGTTCAATTAATAATCGATGCCATGCAGCCAGACTACGTTATGACCCGGTGATCTGCTCATCCGGTACCACTCATCACTGCTCTCCAGGTTGCTCAAGCGCACGGCTCACTCTTCCCTGCACCCACTGTCTGCACTACACCTATTCAGTCAGCTTCGACCAATTGTTGACACCAGTACGTGTTCCAGTCATCACGACAGTCGTTCTCTGCAAGGCATTGATCCTCGGCCTTGTCTGCGACAGCATACAGAGATTCCCTCACTTCGCATCGTCCTGCCTCCACCGTTTCCAGCCGCCGAACATGCAGTATGTCTTGCTGTCCGACAGTGCGGAGAAATGGACTCGGCAAGAAGTTTGGTGACCCGCGTGGTCTCCATTGTATGGCATCGACCTAACCGCGACGAGGGGTGAATGAAGACAGGGAAGGGAACAAATATAAAAGCACGATGCCCAGGATGCCAATCTTTCTTTATTCGCCAAGTGTGAACTTGAACTACGAGCCGCAATGTCGCTGAAGATTGTCGCCACCCTCTTCTCCCTTGTCGCCACCGTCATTGGGGCGACTGCAGATGCTCCCGCCTCAGCGGTGCTCGCTGCTCGGGTACGCATTGCGCACACCTTCGCCAGCTACCCATTACTGACCTTGTATTCACAGGCCGACTGCGACATCGACGGCGCCGTGCCCTTCTTCCGTGCCTACAGCTCCGCTGACACGGACCACTTCTACACTACCGACTACAGCGAGATGAAGAACGCCATCACCAACCTCACCTACTCGTACGAGAGCAACATGGGCCTCGTCTTCAGGCTCCCGACCGTCTCTACGGCTATACTTTATCGCCTCTACCTCCCCACCTCGATCGATCACTTCTACACCACCAACCAGAGCGAGGCCAACCACGCGGTCCAGGAACTGGGATACTTCGACGAAGGTACCTCAGCCTACGTCTTCCAGACCCAGGTTTGCGCAAGCGTTCCGCTATACCGCCTGTACGACGCGAGTATCACGGATCACTTCTATACTACCAGCGAATCGGAGCGGGAGAACGCAATCAATGTGCTGGGTATTCGGATGAGGGGATCGCGTGCTATGTCTTGCCGGACCTTTGATGTTGAAGGTATGCGTCTCTGAGTACTGGCGTGTCAGCGAGCTGTTTTTGCTGACACTCATCGCGCAGGTTCATCGAGCGGAGGCGGGTTTCAACACCCGCCGGCATCTTGCCTTCGGGATGCGGACGCTTTTTTCCGACCTTGAAGTTACTTTGCGGTCGCATTCAGTTCGTAATTCTCTAACTCGACACACGGTGCAAATCGTGTTGAGTTCAACTGTCATTGTCATATTTCGACGCTCTTTCTAAGCAGGAATGGGAGTGTGAGGTGGATGTGCATCTGAGTCAATATTTTCCTGTCCAGCACGCCGGGTTTCTAAAGAGACGGATGTGAGCCGTCTCGGTATCAAGTCCGCTTTCTCACTTTACAAGACCAGCAGCAATACCCGTCTAGAATGTCTTATGCGAAACTGAAAGATCTACCAGAGGCGACGACATGAGTGCAGTTACTTCCGCGAGGCCATTCAATGCGTTCATTACCGTCAGACCGAGCTTTCAACGGACCGAGCAGGAAGTGTGTTGTTTACCCTTGGTTTCGACGTATTCGAACGCTCGTGCGAGTGAAATCGAGGGGAGGGAGGCAACAGCGAGAGACCTCGAACAACAGTAGTCCGTGCACAACAGTGCTAGCTGAGGAAAAGGCAAGCCCGCTCTGTCCTGAAGCGCGAGCACGTGAGCACGACACGGCCAACCACAACCACTCGAGGGTGGCACCTGAAAGCAGTCCTCAATCCGCCACCTCCACCCACATCCTCCTGCCCACCCTCTCTCTGTGCGTATCTTCCTATCCTTCAGCTATTTCGCTTCAAGCCACACCATACTAATCACACTCACCGTGAGTCGCCTCCACGTCGCGCACCAACTAGTTCGACTGAACTCGAAGCCACCCACCAGTCGCGATGGTCTTGACACCGAATCCAGAAGACCAGGGACCCCCACCACGGAGACCGGATGTGAAGCGGAAGTTGGTCGTTGTGGGAGACGGTACGGCGCGTTCAGACTCCATATCCCTCTTCGCGTGCGCTTGACGGCTTGAATCTCCTCTGACTTCGCATCTCATATGACGCGCACACTTATCCTACAAAGGCGGCTGCGGGAAGACATGTTTGCTCATCGTCTACGCTGAAAACCGTTTCCCCGAGGTAAGTACCTCGATATTCCTCCATGCCGATAGTTCTCTAGCTGTTACTGAATGGGATCCTTGGACAGTCATATATCCCGACCGTCTTCGAGAACTACGTAACAAACGTCAACTTTGATGGCAAGCTAGTCGAACTCGCACTATGGGATACAGCAGGACAAGAGGAGTACGACAGACTACGGCCGCTCAGCTACCCAGAAAGCGACGTGATCCTCATAGTATTCTCCGTCGACTTTCCCGTAAGTTTGCAGAACGTGCAGGATAAGGTACGCGTCCCTCCAATACCTTCTACTTGCCATTCACCTTGCCATCCTCCCCTCTCCTTCTCGCCTGCCCTACACGCGCACTAGTGGTACCCAGAAGTAGCGCATTTCTGCGAAGGCGTACCGACGATCCTAGTAGCGACCAAGATGACCTTCGAAGAGACGAGGGGACAAAGCGGATGCTCAACGCGCAGGGGCAGGTCCCCGTCGCCTCTGAGCAGGGCATCGCCGTCGCGCGCGAGATCGGCGCGAAGTACATCGAGTGCTCCGCGAAGCTCGGGCAGAACGTGCAGGAGGTGTTCGGGCTGGCGCTGAAGGAGAGCATGAAGGGGAAGTGGGGGAAGATGGTCAAGCAGCGGCGGTGCGTCGTGACGTGACGCGCGGGGTTCGGCACATGGACACGGACGTTCGAATGCTTTGCACCCTTTCGCAGCGCGTCGCGCTTTCCGGTACTTCCAGGACGATACCAATCATCTCTGCGTACATACACACATATCCTCCGTCCATCTGTCTGCTCGCTTGCTTGCTCGCACTCGCATCCGCACGTCTCCGGCCTATCTATCATCATCAGCTTTACCGTAGACCTTGTACGTTAGGGGATGTACTGACGATTGCTCACTCCGTTTTGAGCGTGTCCTGGGTTGGGTATAGGCGACGGGCGGTCCTCACAGAGACGATGGCAAGGTATATGAAGCAGAAGAGCATTACGACTGCGGTGCCGATGTCAACGACAGCCAGTTCTGCTAGGTTGCCCACTGGAATGACAAGCTCTGGAGATGGCACAGATCGGGCATCGGGTATGATAGACAGTGAGGACATCGGGAACATCTCAGACTGTATATGGGGTGCAATTTCGTCCAGTATGACCGGCTGTTCTGTACAGCGCTGAGCGGGGTGAAAACGATTCGATGCGCACTACTCACTAGACGAAGGACAAGCCCAGAAACCAAATGGAGGAACCGGTTTGATCATATAGTATCCGGGTTCGTCTCCGAAGGTAGGGCTACCGTACCTAGCATGCATAGGGACATCGACAACAAGCTCCAGCCCGTCTTCCCTCCTCTCCGGCAACTCGACGTCAAGCAGCAAGACAGAGCCCTCCGAGTCTACGGCTCCTACAGGCAGCTCCAGATCAGACGTTCCCCGTAAGGAAGACGAGAATCCGGGGCGCTGAACGAGTTCATACTGGTCCGCGTACACGTCCGGAGGGAGGACGTGCAGGACGTGTAGAGTGCAGTTCGCAGTTTCCGCCGCGTCGCGCAGTGTGATATTTGCTGTATGGGTGAAGTGAAAGCCCTGCCCGCTGAGCGAGGACGAGAGTTGAGACGACGTAGAAGCGGCCGCCATGCGAGTATTCCGAGCCTGAGTCGCAAGAACGAGAATGAGGAGCAGAGCCAGGAACGATCGTAGAGAACGACGCGGTCACGGTCCCCGGGCGCTCGACCATCGTGACCGCGCCGACCGTGGGACGGGACGCGCCTCATGGTGCCCGCCTGGTACGATTGTGCAGGCATTTCGAGTCTACCTTCATCCTGCCCCTCACTACCCCTGCGTACAACGTATTTACCGGAAGTGCCTACCAAGAGTGAGCATTTGTTTTGTTGCACCACGACCGGGGAGATGTGACTGACTGGCACTGGCACTTCCGTCGCAGCGCAGAGTCCTTCCGTCGACGTTGAATCATGTCTCCTGCTAGCGACCAACCCCGGATCCCTGTCGAATTGTTCGACGCGATCATGGACTACGCTGACGCAGGGACGCAGGCCACCTGTTCTCTTTCATGTCGACATTGGTCGCCCACCGCACGCAGACACCGCTTTCGCATGGTCCACATCCAACCTCGAGCGGATAGCCGCCCGCTGTCCGCATTGCTTCTGTGCGATCCCACATCGACCGTTCTCCCGTATGTCCGTGAGCTCCGCATCGATGAGGGCTTGACACAGGAGTACGCTGCCTTTGCAGAGGAATTCGAGATCGAATGGATGAACGAGGGAGTTCCCTGGCTCGACGAGATCCTACCGACCATCCGTGTTCATGAACTCATGGTGCTCAAGGATCTTCACATCTTCAACTTGGTGTGGGGGAGGCTCTCTATGCCGTCACGTTGTAGCCTCGCGAGCCTTTGTCAGCGCGCGGTCCGTCTTGAGCTGTGTTCCATGGCGGCTCAGGATGTCCCATGCTCATTCATCATCGAACTCCTCACTTCGGTAACATTACTTCAACACCTGTCGCTACAGTTTCGCTATGGCGCGCCTGCTGTAGAAACTTTCCCGACACGCTCCCGCATGGAGAACAGAGTGCTCACATTGGAGACGTTCATGGTTGTCGCACCGTCGCTCTGCTATCTCCTGGGTGTCCTGCACGCATTTCCAGTGCTCAACCTCAAGAAAATTACTCTGGGCCATGTTAGTGAGGGTGCGAGTGCGGTGAACTCATTCTTGAGAGCATGCGCGGGCTCTTTGGAAAATTTGACCCTAATATTTCGTGGCAATCCACATTTGTGGGAGGAGGAGTGGGCTGAACGTGAATTGTAACCATTGCAAACATTTTCTCATCTTTACTGAGAGCAACATTAGCCTACTTCTGCGCTCACGGTGGCGTTTCGGCCAATACATCGCTGCGGATGCTCAGGTTGGACGCACATCTACAATTTGCGCCGACCATCCTGCGTCAGATCAAATCACCTAACCTGAAACACATCTCCCTGCAAGTCACGCCGAACACGCTCGCCGCGACCGACTTGGATGAACTCGCGGATAGCTTGTCTACGGGGACTCTCTCACGGACACGTCCCAACGTAACATTCTTTTGCGCTCCCGATGAGATCCTCCAACCGGACATTAGGCCTGACCTGGCTGTGCAGTCGGCTCTCTTGAAGAGCATAAACGAGACACTGCTTACACAATTCGAAGGTCTGCGGGAAGAAGGAAGGCTTGATGTGATTCGCTGTGTCCAAAATCCCGAGACTGGAGAGATAGAAATCCAAGGACATTGAACTTGGCTCAGGCTGCGCCTGCCGGTCATTCTGACGGTGAGTGCTTTGGCATATCAGAACTGACGGTTCAATTGACTCAAAGTGGACGTACATTCAAGGTCGAGCTTTGCTTGAACGACCCAGCTGAGAACTCAGTTGACAAAATTCTGCGATATAAGCTATGATGCAGTGTACATGACCATGGATACGGCGAAATATGCTTGCTTCGCCGCTGTCCGAGAACTTCTCTGTCTTGCTCTGAGTTCATCAATCATTGGCAGGACTGACGATATGGCGATGTGTCAAATATTGTCAATTGTTACCGTGTCCGTAGCCACACATCAATATCTATTTTCCATAGCTAATGTGGCACACCACAGAATATCAGCTGCGCGATGCGATGGGTTGAAGTCAGTGCGCCTTGAGTGTACCCTACTTAGATCCCAACGTACACCGTTGAGACTCGAGAACTGGCGCTCTCGCATGCGGCATCACATGCGCGCGTCAATTGCCTCCGTCGAACATATTCATGCCAGCGGTCCTTCTAACTTCCTCCGTACTGTGTACAGTACTTATTGGTACGCGTTCTGGGTATAGCATCTACCATCTGGTGGCTGCACACCCACTACACACTTGGTTGGCGCCGCGTTGGTCTCGCTTCGTTGTCCACAGGCAGGTGCGGCTTGGGAATCATAGCTCAGCGCTCAACGTACAACCGTTAACTTCTTTCAGCACTACAGGGTTTCGAACGTCTACGCTGTACGCTAGATTGATATGATGCCTACTTGGTCCCGCAACCCGTGGTCAATCCCTCTGGAGCTGTGGGACATGATCATCAGTCATGTCGACTGCGAAAACTCGCTCTTGGACTGTGCTCTCGTTTGTCGAACTTGGCGACCGGCAGCGCGGCAACATCGTTTCAATGTCGTCAGGATCACACCGCAGACGAATGAGCGAGAGCCGCGAGAGTCTCCCTTGCTCCTTTCCGATCCGTCGTCGACCATTCTCCCATATGTGCGCCGCATTGACCTCGTGGAGGGCGTGGTGCCGAAGTCGGTAGTACAATTCATTCCGGCGATACAATCCCCGTCGGATGCTGCGCAGTACGGCGGTATCGCCTGGCTAGATGACATCCTCCCGACCATCCGTGTCCACGACTTGACGGCACTCCAGTGGCTCGATTTGCTTGAACTATGTTGGGAAGAGCTCTCTGCGGATTCGCGCGCAAACCTCAAGTACCTCTGTCGACGATTAACGACTCTGCGACACTTTACGTGCTCTCAAGACAACCCTGCGCGCCGTTGCGCCCTCGCCGTCGAGCTCCTCGATGCCTCGCCGTCGCTGCGGACGTTCACCTTCCATTATCATGAGGCGACTCCTACGGGCGTCGCTACTCTGGCCGATGATGCGCAGCCACTCGATCTCACGCCGTATTACGGCATGCGTAGGACGGCGCACCCTTTGACCAAACTAATACTTAGCGGTCACTTGGGCCCCATCGTCACCTGCCTCAACATTGTCCACCCGAACTTACGTTTGGAAGAATTGTCCCTCGCGGCCATCTCACCGGACGACGAAGGCACGGCGATCTCGCTCTTGCAATCATGCGCGGAGACACTGACGTTTCTGTCGCTCTTGTATTCCAAAAAATCGTACGAACGTAAGCTCCGCAGATCACCATCGTTCATACCTTCTGTTCTGAGATTATCGTCAGCCATGCTCTGCTCGGGTGCAGGCATCTCCCGTATGATTGCCCTCCAAACTTTCACCATCATGGCGGATCTGCAATTCGTACCGGCCATCCTGCGCCACATCCCGTCGCGCAGCCTGAAACATCTCACCATGAACGCTGCACCTCAGACGCTCTCCAAGACCGATCTAGGAGACCTTACGCGTGTCCTCACTATGGGGTCGCTCGCCGCCTCGCGCCCGCGTGTCACGATTATCTGTTGGCCTGAGAAGGTAGCGCAAGAGAGCGAGGACCCGGTAGCGTTGCAGAACATGCGTGACATACTCGTTGCGAGCCTGAAGGACCTGCACAAGGATGGCAGGCTCGAGATGCTGCGCGTCTTGTACAAGGATGGCTGCTTGAGTGGGACGACCGAGGAATTTTGACATTGGTCCTCCGAGATCTACGCTGTGAGTGGTTCTTTCGTGTTCAGTTCATGCTATGCTGAAAAGTGCGTCATCATGAAGGGAGTGCAATGGTTGAGGTAGCTTCGAATTAGGCATGATAAAATTAGGAACGAATATTGCCTCTGATGTGTGCTACGTATTAGTTTGCGACAAAGTGTCTGTAGGATCATGGGGCAAGACTCGGATCTCTCCTGAAGCCATATGTTCTCTGATGATAATCACTTTGGGAAGAATAGGGCAATCGTAAGCAAAGATTCACTCTGACTGTGGCGACAACGGTCTGTCCTATACGGGCAAGTTTCAGGTACTGACAGGTGAGTACACGTGACCGCAAGTACTTGAAAGTACAAAATTGACATCGATTTATCTCCTTTACGCCCCATAGCCATCCTTTCTCAGCCTTTCCCTTGTCCGAAACTCGTATCTAATCATCCGAGTCGCCGACAACTGTTCATTCCTCCTGCTTCAACCCAGTCCAGGGCCCAGCAGAAGATCGCGTACACCATGGCACCTCTTGGCAGCGCCGCTCCCAGCTCCCTGTCGAATTGTTGGACGCGATCATGGACCACGCCGACAAGGCGACGCAGGCAAATTGCGCCCTCGTATGCCATCATTGGTCGCCGATCGCACGCAGCCATCGCTTCCGCAAGGTCATCATCCGACCTCAACCGTCGGACCCGTACCTCATGACCGCCTATCTCGTATGCGATCCCACGTCGACTGTCCTCGCGTACGTCCGCGTCCTTCACATAGAGGAAGTCTTGCAGAGCCCGCCAAAAGGGGTCAAGAGGGGGACCGTCGACTCGGACAGACACATAACTTGCGCACCGACGAGCTTACGGCGCTCAGGAGCCTTCGCATCACGGGCTTCGAATGGAAATTGTTCTCGACGGGAGCCCGTTGCAGCCTCATGAGGCTCTTCCAGCAGTTGAACGATCTGGAACTGGTCTCGGTCACCGGCATACCGTGTTCAGTCTTGGTTGCGATCCTCGGTGCAGCGACGTCACTTCAACGCGTCTCCTTCTCCTCCTCCTTCCCCCTGACGATGAAACGACTTCACTCGACCTGCCGACTTCCGCGGATGCACGGAGGGCGACAACTGTGTTGAAGACCCTCTCTGTGGTCGGGCAGGTCCGCCTCTATCTCCCGATCATCGTTGCCGCCGTTCCTATGTCGCACCTAAGAGACATCACGCTCGGAGATCTAGACACTGATGACGTGGGCCCAGTGGTTTCCTTGTTGCAGGCCCGCGCAACAGCTCTGCAACGCTTGTCGCTCAAATTCCATCACAGATTCTGGATCTGGATTCGTGACCCACCCGTAAGGCCTGAAGGCAAGTCCCGGCTCGTTGATGCCTGTCTGCACCCGTGGGCTGATACCATTCTCAGCTCCTTACTGTGACGAACCCATTCTTTCGGGCATGACATCGCTTCGAAGCCTCCACCTCGAAGCACAAGACCTGCAGTACGTACCGGCACTCCTGCGTCAGATCGATCGCCCAAGCTGGTCGATCTGACCATAAGGGCGGTACTGTTTGGACCCGGCAGTAGCGTCCTGGAAGAGCTCGCGGAGTGCTTGTCCACCGGTGTGCTCGCTTCCGCTCGCCCCCGCGTGACAATCATCTGCACGGCAGAAAAGGACCATTTCATTGTACAACTTGACGTGCCCATGATGATAGACATGTGTAACGAGCTCCTGAAACACCTGAAGGACCTGCGGAAGGAGGGCAGGCTTCGGATCTTGCGTCCCGTTATGGATCCAGACGCTGAGAACAAAATCGGTGTGTAGGAGGTCTAAGATTTCCCTACCCAGCCAGACACTGTTGTGGTGAGTGTTTGGTTGTGCTGCGAGATAGTGTAGGTGTGTTAACACATTTCCACAGACAGAAGTTTCAGAAACGGGTTAATATGGTGACTTACTTGCCGCTTTCGTGACATTCATGGTTGCGGGGAGAGATGAGAGAAGACAGGATTGGGTGACTTCGGGCGCGAAATGGATTGTTGGCGGAGACATCACCGTTACACATGTAGATGACTGGGCGCAGGATGTCCGGTGGCGATCGCGCTAGTTGTCAAACTGTACAGCTGTGTCTGGACGTCAAACTGCGGTCGCTAGTACCCCGAGGTGATCGGTGCATAAATAGACTAGGAATTGCTCGTGTTCAGACCCGCCTGAACCACCTCCGCCTCGTGCTCTCAACAAGCAGATTCCATTAGGCTTGATTCGAGATAAATAACATCATACTCGCTGGATGTGGAATGAGACGCGATTGTGGCTGGCAGAGCGGTTGCGCCACAAGCGCGTCTGCTCAGCCACCGCGATCGCACGCGGTCGTGAGGCTGTTTTGTTAGGCGGCTGAGATGCTCCAACATCTTTCATCTCCGAGATGCGCTCCTCCGATATGCCTTCATGCCACCCCCTGCCTGCGTCCACCACTCAACTCACCCAGTCTATCCTCCGCTCTGAAGTTGCGTACACGTTGGCCACCCGCTCACACTCGGCGACCCGCATCAAGCAGCGACAGCGATCCGGTGTCTAGTTTCCGTTCGCGGTCTGCGGACCCCGCCTGGTCCTGCCGTTCACTCACTTCCGTCGGCTGTCGGCTCTGGCCAAGATAACGCGAGCCTCACTGTTTCGCTGGCACTGCACCCATGTCCTTTCAGCGAGGCTACCTCGATGCCTCTCCAGTGCTGTCGACTCCACCTCCATCGCCATGGCGGGCACGCGCTGAACATATCCGCCGCCGTCCGATTCGCCTCAAACAGGCCGCACTCCTTTTGACGGTGCTCACGGTCCTCAGCACCCTCATATACCTGTCTCGGCATCATCAGAGTGACTCCTACTCGTACGATGACTGGATAGTCGTCGAAGACCGTCGCATACCTCTCCAGTCTTTACAAGAAGTGAAGGCACCGGCATCCTCACAGAACGGGCACGACCACCGCCCACAACATGGTCCTGGCCGACCACCACAGATTACAGACGACCGTGTCGCCATACCCGTCGTCGATGCGTCCAAACTAGATGATACCCCCGTCAATGCTGTCGCTGTCGCTGCTCCGGAGCCTATCGTGTTCTCCCTTATCATGTTTTCAGAAGATTCCGCTAATGAAGGTGCCGTACTGATGAAGGTCTGTCGCATTCGTGCTTCTGAAGGTGTATGTTCCGACCGAGTCCTTTGTCACAGTCGATCCTCATGTACACTAGCAAACCTGTCCAATTCCATGTCATTTGCGACGAGGACGCGCAAGCCTACCTCGAGAAGCGCTTCCGACTCATAACACGCCCGGTGCACGACGTCCTGCTTCGGTTCTACCGCCTATCGCTGGACGACATGAGAGGGCGCATCGAGCGCGAGGGCGCGATCGTGTCTGACCACTCCGCCGGTACCCGTGAGTTTCATCCGTACCATACCCATCTATCAACTCGCACCCCGGCTCACCACAATCCCTTCCTCTAGCGGGCTTGATGAAGCTCTTCATCCACGAGATCCTCCCGGAGTCCGTCTCACGCGCGATCTTCATCGACACCGACGCGTTCTTCATCACCGACCCGGCCCTCCTCTGGGACCGCTTCTCGTCCTTCAAACCCGACACCGCCATCTCCATGCCCTCGCATCCCGACCAGTCCTCAGAGGAGTGGCACGACGCCAACCGGATCTGCTCCTGCATCATGCTCCTCGACCTCGCGCGCCTCCGTGCGCTCCGCCTCATGGACTCGCGCACGTACCGCGCCGCCGGCGCGCCCGCGCTCTCGCCCAGCGCGTTCGAGGCGATGTTCGGCACCCCCGGCGACGACGGGAAGTACAAGGGCGTGAAGCTCGGCGACCAGGGCTACTGGTGGGCGATCGTCTTGCGGATGCCGAAGCTCTTCGAGCACCTGAGCTACGACTGGGAGATGTCGAGCTGCCTGATGGACATGTACGGGACGGCGCTCGGCGACGACGCGCGGGGCTTGGAGGAGGAGGGGAGGCGGCAGATGCACACGTTGGACACACCGCACGAGGGCGAGACGGTCCTGCCCAAGATGCTTCATTTGTACGTCGCGTGTGTTGCCGCTCTTCTTCGCGCGCAGCGGCGCTAACTCACCTTCTCCGCCTTGCAGCAACTGCCTAGATGGCACACCGCACTACTACGAGTGGGAAGGCTGGTCCGACCCGCAGAACAGCCTCACGCAGCGCTGGCACCCCGCAGTCCAGTACCACGTCGGCTTCAAATGGGTGTGGCTCAACGCGCACAGACCAATGGGCACGCTCACGATCGAGACAGAGGAGAAGGTCGTCTTCGCTGACGAGCTGTTTGCGCAGCGACAAGGGAGGAACGTCGTTGGGTCCAGGGAGGAATCTTAGTTATTTATAGCGACACTAGTGTGATATACCGTCCATCCTGGGGCATAATGGTGAATGGATTTGTTGTGATGTGCTCTATAAAAGTTGCGGCGGTTATGAAATTCGATAAGCACTTTGTAGGGTTGCAGCGTTCAGCTCGCGAAGTCGGGCTGTACAGTGCCCTCTTTGATGTCATGGTCGCACTACGAAAGGAGCGGATAATATATATGTACTACGCTTCGTTGTATTTGCCCTTAACTCAGCAGAGTGATCGAGCGGGTGGCATGGGAGAGTACGTACCAGAGGTACCCAGTGAGGATTGGTAAGTTCAGAACTCCTCGAGCTCCGGTGTTGGTAGTTTGCTCTTCGCATCGACGACGTGACGCAAGAACCGCAGCCTACCCTCGTCCCGCAGGTCCTTCAACGCTTCACGAAAGGCGTCGCGCATGCGATCCCAGGCAGCGTAGTCGGGGTGGAGGATCCGGTTCAACTCGCATTCGCAGATGAGCGAGAAGCGGGGACGTGCGGAAGCGAGCGAGCCGGAGCGCAAGCTCCGTGCGAGTTCGTCCAGATCACAGGTAGGGAGCATCGATGGTGTCGCTCGTACAGTGATGTCGACGAGAGAGGGCGACTCTATCTGTCGCAGGATGGCGGGTACGTGCTGCAGCTGCGCATCTAGCTGGAGGCTCTGTAGCAAGGTGATGCCCGTAAGGCCGCCTTGAGCACAGAAAAGGACTAAATACGTCGTCAGCGAGAACGCGATGGTGGATGGGTGGAGCCCCCGTACCTTCGGGACGTGCAGTTGGATTCGGACCCGACAGGATCCATAGCCATTGCAGCTCGAACTTCAAGGACAAGTGCACGAGCCTTTCCGAACACGACTTCAGAAAGGAGATGGCTTGGCGGATGTTGCTCTCATTGAGAGAGCCGAGCGTGACATCCTCGAGTTCAGATGGCGAAAACGCATCGAGAAACGCTGGGAGATGGGAGCACAGCGGGCCGTCGACCGAGTAGGACCTCAGCGCGAGGGAATGCTTTGGGGCATTTGTCTGGGCGTCCGGACGTGTTGGGACAGCATCGTCGTCCTGTGGTGTAGTGTCGACATCCTCCATATCAGGGGTGCAGAACAGTGAGAGTTGCCGAAGCGTAGTGGCTGCAGTGAGAAGCTCGGCAACGGATGCGTGAGGTATGCCGCCCACTGCGTCTATACAGAATAAGCGCAGAGCGACCAGTCGCTGGCAGAGGCTTGCGAGGCTGCAGCGGGACTCGTCAGAGAGGTTTGACCACACCGCATTGTGGATGGTAAGATGTTGCATCGCCGTGAGATCGTGAACCCGGATGGAGGGTAGGATGTCATTGAACCAAGGATTCATCTCCGTTGTCTGCAGTAGCCTGCGAAACTGGTTCCAATCTTCCTTGGATACCCCTTCCTCGATGTACAGTCGGCGGATATAGGGGAGAACGGTCGACGTGGGGTCGCTTAGGAGCAGTGCGTGGGATGGCAGTCGGGCGTCGGAACGAGGTTTGACGATGAACTCACGAAAGTGGTGTCTGCGCGCGCTGGGCAGCCAGAATCGACAGACAAGAGAGCATTTCGCCAGCGTCTCAAAGTCCGCGTAAGACAGGATCGCATCGAGTAACTCGACGGGTATTCGAGAGTCACCGCGGAATGATAGAGACATCCTTGCCAATGGCCTGCCCGTGGAGATGTGTTATGTGACTGCAAAGTATATGTTGGTCAGGCCTCCGACAAATGTGATGAAGAACGAGCACTTACTATATGCGAGAGCTAAGAAACCTGTAAATTTATGGTCAACAGATGGACGAGGATTGCGCGTAAGTACTAGTAGTAGGGGAAGGGCCTGAGATCTGAGATCTGAGAGCCTCCGTTCAGCCACCGCCAGCCGCCAGAGCGCTAATCGACTGCTTGACGGAGTAGCGCTCTCCACCCCAGGCTTCCAGATCCCATCCTGTGAGCTGAGTACTTGTATCTTGCACCCCTAGTAATTGCTGAGACCCGCAGCACAAGTCCCATGGCTTGACGAGAAGCGCACATAGTACGGAGGTGATTGGTGGTATCCGGTTGTATTGAAGGTACGTTTGTCACTCGGCCATTGCGGGATTCGCTGTGTAGTGAACATATCACCTCTCTGGTGCTCGTCATGGTTCATTTCATGGCCTGGACTCAAAATCTCGCAGGCGGAGGCCGCGGCGGTTCAGACCATCCTCGTAGTAGGGAGCTTAAATATATCTATTCATCGCGAGACTATGTACATGATCCCAGTACCTACACGGAGCGTTGTGCACGACGCGCCAGTCACCTACACAGCGGACATCGCAGCGATGCACCGGCACGGATCTCTGCGTGTCGGTTTGCACCAACGGATTCAACCCGCCCGCCCTATCGCATTCCCAGGAGCTCCCGCTATGCCGCGAACGGGCAATATCAGCTTGTACGGCCTGCGCCGACGGTATACTTATTGCCTAAGATCGTGGCTCCCCACTCGCATCCTGCCCGAGCCGATCCCCGCGAACACACCATCCACTGGACTCTCCACTAAAGAAAGACAATGTAGGTACCAGGGAATGCAGTAAAAGCACTCACCTCGTTCAGCCCTGTCGCGGACGCTGAACACCCGCGGGCCAGGGACATGCGGAACCTTGCGCGGCCGCCGGTCTGGTCGGTGCGGAGAACGGTTTTGTCAACGAGGGAGAGGAGGGAGGCTCGGTAGCGAGACGTGATAGGCTCGGACTCGGGGGCGAATACCTCCCTCGCGAGCTGCATGCTATGAGCTGCTATGAGCCGGGCAAGGGGAATGGAAGTACATCTGCACCTTCGTAAGTAGTAACATGAACATGCATACAGGATGAGGTCGTCACTAGCGTAGTTTTGCTCAAATCCTGTCCGCCATCCACATATCATGGGCCTCCTTGATCTCCTCGCCTGGACGAGCATCATCCGGACGCTTGACGTCAACCAGATTCATCCGGTAGGGGTATCTAGCAGATGATTTCTCCCCGGCCCAGTCCCAGTCAACGAGTAGCGCGGCCGGCTGAGTCTTGGGCGCGGTCGCATTGCGCACGAGCACGTTCACATCGCGCACGTCGCCGTGCACATAACCCTGCTTGTGCAAGCTCCTGAGCCCGTCTCGCACCTTCGCCCGCACATGCTCTAGCGCCGTCCAGTGTTTGCCGCCCTTGTTGTATTTCGCGTCCCATAGACTCGTGTAATCCGCGGATTTGTCTTCCATGACGATCATAGTCCAATCATAGACCTTTTCGGCAGCATAGAGCTTTGGTGCGAAACCGGACTCGAACGCTGCGCGATGGGCCTCCTTGCAGTAGCGTGTGCTGAACTTGACGTACAGCGGCTTGCCGTCCACTTTCGTGCGAGCACGGAAGAGCCTCTTGTCCTCAAGTGCTTCGAGGTACTCGAATTCGTGTCGGTGGCCCTCGGCATCGGCGTAGTAATCGTGGAAGGGAAGCAGCCGCGTGGCCCACGATCGGAGAGGAGCGTCGCTTTGCTGTGACGGGCGCGAAGGTCGTGTACAGCGACGCGCAGAGCAGCAAGGGCTCGGGTTCCAGTTTCGCGCGCCACGGTGTTGGTGGGGTGTGCGTGCACGCTGAAGCTAGTGAGGTGTTCGACGTTGAGTTTGTCCGCAAATGTGGCAACGGCGATATCCACGTAGGGCCCTGCTCTCTCGCCGGTCAGTGATTGACTATCCCATGTTCATATACACAGAGCGCACGTACCGAAGTGCAGAACAAGTACGATCGGAAAGTTGATCTTCCAGAAATCTCCTTTGTCTTCGAACGTAATTTCAGCCCTTTCGCATGCTGCCAGGACAATACAGACATGTTCTTGGTAATAATGAATAGCTTCAAAGTAGGGGTCACCTCCGCCAGCACTGACTTCGTTCTTGATCTTCTGAATATAATAGAGCGTCCAGTGCCGGCGAGTCACATTATGGAGGAGATCACCGTCATTCTCATACTTCCCAATGGCTCCCTGCGCGGGATACTTAGGTAGAATGCACCACGTGTGGAGGACGTCAAAGAAGCAATTCCGACGGTCAGCGTCGAATGCATAGAGCTGTGAGGCAACATTACAAAGTTCTTCATAGCACTGAATGTCTCTGCTAGACGGGGTGATGCGGGTGATATCGTGACGAAGTTTGGCAAGTGTTTTGTCGAGGAGAGAGGACGGTATTGCGAGATGGTCATCTCGACCGCAGTAGATGTGGGTCACGGTACTCTGGTTCTCACCGGAGACATGTGCCGGAATGGGAACGCCCTAAATGGGGCTCAAATGCTTTCCCAAATTGTGACCGATAGGACGCAATTTGGGGTCAGCGGATATTCGAGCCTAAAGTATCCATATAAGGCAGGATATTGGCCCGCCGAAAATCTCGGGCGTAAACGTAGAACACGGGACGGGCGTGTATTCAAGTTAAGAGACGACGGATAAGGGGTGAGACAATATGCAAGACCAAAGTTCAAAAACGGGATTACCATACGAGGCCACCGTAAACTCGGCCGAGAATGCTATCAGTAGGTTCGTCGTAAATGGTGTCTGAAATGCAAAATATACGACACTCGTAAATTTTGAATTTGGGCTCGTCGCGTATTCGAGCGCAAATGCTGGGCTTAGGACGAGATTTGGGCAACTCGCAAATCTCGGGCAGAAATGCTGGATTTTCGGCGGCCCTATATGAGCGTGTCGATCATAGCCCCCTGAGTGGCCCGCTGAGCGGCGTCGTGATCGTCTATTGCAATACCTTAGTGTAGAGGAGTCTCTCAATTTCACATCAGTTTGTCATAAAACGCGCGGAATGACATTACGGGTCCAGAACAGTATCTATAATGCATGAACACGAGCACAACCACGATCAATCAGTCCAAGCATGTCAACCAATCCAAGCACAATCAACCAGTCCAACCATTCGTCCATCTCGAGTGCACACATTGGCGTGCAATGAAGTTCAATTTGACAACTACAACAACGTGG